GGACCGATCCCTTTCAAATTTTGCACGTAAATGCACATAATTATGAAGATCGTTCTTACACGGATCCAGACTTCCACGATTTTTTTCGAATTTTAAAATGAATTTTGAAATTTTCGAAATTCATTTTAAAATTTGAAAATCATGCTAGAACAGTGGATCGGTGTAAGAACGATCTTCATGGTTATGCGCATTTACCTCCAAAATTTGAAAGGGATCGGTCCATAATGAGACTTTTGGTACACCTGAATGCATTTAAACTTTTGGAATTTAACAGCCAACTCCCGGATGCTGCGCAAAAAACGGATTCCACGCCTATGTATACAAATCTTTGGCATACCATAAAGCAATGCAAAAACGTGTTTGGGAGTGCGCGACAGCGAAATTTCCCGTGTATGTACACGAATTTGGTGCTATGTACCGGGCCAAATCCCTTAATTTTTGTACATACATGTACAATAATATAGAGTGCATGTTATTCTCGTAAGTATGAACTATCAAGATCGTTTTCACACCAAACCCCGGTTGTACAGTTGTTTCCAACTTAGAATGAATTTACAGATTTCGAATTTCATTTTAAATCGGCAAAAAATGCTAAACCCGTGGTTCGGTGCAAAAACGATCTTCGTACACTACTTAATTGTCCATGCATGTACAAATCTTAAAGAGGATCTGCAGAATGAACGTCTGGTGCACCTGTTTGCGTTTAACTATTCTGGAATTTTGATTACGTCCATATTCAATAACTCCCACGTACCGGGTCACTTCCCTTATAAAGCGTAGCTCAGTTCTGTATGTACTGCAATAGTTGCAGAACGAGCAAACGTACTTGACGGATACAGGAAGTATTAGGATTCGTTAAGATACACTGGGATTTGGGATACTGCAGTGACTGATAACCCGCAATCCTTTATCTTGTATTCAGCAAGATAAAGGAAAATACGTGGAGGATACTGTGCCGGTTGTGGATATGGTGGGATACTGCGATTTTTGAAGAGGATACGCATGCAGACATCACTTAATACTCTGCACGTACTGCGAAAATTTGTTGCTGTGGTCCTTGTTTTTAGTTGGCGTAGCCCACACTATCCTCCATACGTGTATCCTCCATGTATCCCGTTAAATTTCTTATGTTTTCCTATGTTTCCCCATGTTTTCTTATGTTCTTATGTCTCAAGATTTTTAGTGGGATATTGTACATATGTAATATGATATGGTGATATAGAATACATAGAGGATACTGTATTGCAGAGATGAGTTTTGGGATACGGGAACCAACCGTGCAATAGAAGTCAGAAAACTGTGAGGATGTAATATCTCAACTCGTACGTATGCGAGATATTTAGAGGATACCGTGGGATATCGCGGGATACAAGTAAAGATACGGGATTTCGAAACATGCCTCGACAAATCTAACGCGTACAGATACAAAGCCGTCCATATATAAATTTTGAATATAGATATATATCATTATATCATTATATTCATACAAGCTTACCGACCAATGCGTATTTATGCGCCGTTTTTAACTCCTCGATAACTCGTGGTCAGTTTAAGTCCAGCCTGGTCTTAAAAAATTCCATATTTTCCATAGGTGTGCCAATAGATTTTTGTTTGTTTTTAATAACCAGTGGTCAGAAGATGGTTTCACCAGGTCTTAAGTATAGGAAACGTAAAGAGCACTCGAAGAAGTAAGTATTCACTGCACAGCAATAAAAAGTGCTTTAAAACATAATGACTGTAACCACGAAGACTATAGCGGATGCATAAATACTTGCTCTTTAGGTAAAATATTTATATTATTACGTCATGCAAAAGTCTATACGTATTTCAGAGCGTCAAAACGTCAGAAATTCAAAACGTAAGAACGTCAGAACGTAACACCGTCAGAACGTCAGAACGTCAGAACGTCATAAAGTAAAGAACATCAGAACGTTAGAACGTCAGAACGTAACACCGTCAGAAGGTCATAAAGTAAAGAACATCAGAACGTTAAAACGTCAGAACGTCAAAAAGTCGGAACGTCAAAACGTCAAGAAGTACGAACATCAGAAAGTCAGAACGTCAGAACGTCATAAAGTAAGAACATCAGAACTTTAGAACGATAGAACGTCAGAACGTTAGAACGCCAGAACCTGAACGTCAGAACGTTAGAACGTCAGAACCAGAACGTCAGAACGTCAGAACATTAGAACGTAAGAAGTAAGAACGTCATAAAGTAAAGAACATCAGAATTTTAGAACGTTAGAACGTCATAAAGTATGAACATCAGAAAGTCAGAACGTCAGAACGTCAGAACCAGAACGTCAGAACGTCAGAACATTAGAACGTAAGAAGTAAGAACGTCATAAAGTAAAGAACATCAGAATCTTAGAACGTTAGAACGTCATAAAGTATGAACATCAGAAAGTCAGAACGTCAGAACGTCAGAACCAGAACGTCAGAACGATAGAACGTCAAAAAGTTAGAACGTCAAAAAGTTAGAACGTCAGAACGTCAAAAAGTCAGAACGTTAGAACGTCAGAACCTGAACGTCAGAACGTTAGAACGTAAGTAGTGAGAACGTCAAAACGTTAGGAAGTTAATACGTTAGAGCGTCAGAACGTTAGAAATTCCGAACGTCAGCCTTTATATATTTATAATGACCTTTCCAAAACAAAGCCAATACTATCCAGTACTTAAGTGCCGAGCGCGGATGCGCGAGGCTACCTTGTATACAGTAATGACATACGAGTATATCATATTATAATATCTCAACTTTTATGGAGTTCCGTTTGCTGCTAAGTGTTGAGTATACAGAAGGTAATTCAGTATGGACAGGAAGTACTCTTTATTGGTCAAATCAAACAGAAAGCGCAATTCAGTATTGTATTTGTGTTTATATCTATCTAGATCTTTATTACCACGAACAAAAAATATGCATACACCAATGCTAGAATCCCAGACAGAATTAACAAAAACCACTGCTATCATCGGAAAGCTCATGTTCTAAAACGCGGCCAGACAGTGTTTGTTTTTTTTCGAAAATGCATTAAAGCGACCAAACAAATCACCTCCACAAGCCGGGTCTGCCATGTTAAGTTTAAGTGCATCCATACTTAAATGTCTATACTTAAAAATGTATGTCTATACTTAAAAATGTATGTCTATACTTAAAAAATTACTGTTGTTACGTTAAAAATCTTAGGTTTGAAAATAAAATATGACCTTAAAGAAGACAGATATTCGGTTAATCCCATAAGTTATTAACTGGGTCTTAGGGGAATATGGGATCAATTGCGCCCTTTCTAATTGTCGAACATAAGAAAATGCGTGAAACGTAAAACATTTTCATCTTAAACATTTCGGGGAAACGTCGAACATATTAAGCTGATCAGAAATCTTTCAATCAGAAAATCGCTGACAAAAATTCTGCATTATATACCCAGACAGGCTTTCAAATCCTAAAATGCAGTTGTGCAAAATATAGTACAAATCACTACGAGGTACAGAGTACTAATTACATTGACCAAAACACACGAGATAATTACACTGAATGAGCGACCAAACTACCACTGCTATCTAGTGCACACTGCCCATTAGATGAGTGAGTAACCAAACTACCAGTGCACACAGTCCGCCAGGTTAGTAAGGGTCACCGCCAGGTTCACCTGCAAAGCCAGTAGGCACGCGTAATGAGTACCCGGAAGTCCGCAACCGATTCTTGTTTAAAAATTGCTGTGTTGGAGAAAAGAATTAAATGAAGTTAAAATTTTCGCACTACTGAAGTTCATTAGCTATGCTACACCAAAATCTAAGATGTTAATACGTAAATCCAGACCCACGTACTGAGGACCACAAGAAATGCGGAGGCGAAGCCGACGTCATTTCTTGTATATATTATTATGGTACAGATACAGTACAGTGGGCTAGGTCAATTGCTCTGTGTAAGTTTTACGCGACGCGCAAGCGGCAGTCGGGTAAAAAATCATGACGTCACGGCGCGTAAGCAGGTAAACGATTTGATTGGTAAACCAGAATTCTGGGATGGGTTTTCAGCTTACCCGTGCGTGTAACCGTTGCGCTTCGAAATCGAAGCGCAACCGTTACCCAAACTACGAGTAACTCGTACTCTCCTGCACAGATGAACAAAATTTTGTTTGTTTGAACCAAAAGCGTATCCAGCGATCCAGATTCACACTTGCAAACTCATAATTAACTTTTTTGACGTATTACCACATTAAAGCATAAAAAATAAAATTTTCGGTTCCACTTCAGTTTTTCAGTTGTTCAATTTCTTTCTTGCCACGGAAGCGTACTCGACTTACGATTGGACGATAAATTTTTCGCTGAGTCATGGACAGATTTTTACGCGTTTCTCCGTTACCCGACGCGCAATGGTTACCCAGATGCAATTGACCTGGCCCAGTACTTGCTGCGTATTTACCGGACTAGACAGTAAGTATTAACGGTGTTGAGCGGAAGCGACAGTATTAACAGATGACCGAGCGGAAGCGGAGCAAGTACTTGCTGTATTTACCAAAAGATGCTGTCATTTAAATTGGTTTGTATTTGTACTTTGCCCATTCAGCGAAATAAGAACAAAATTCATATGAAAACAACTACAAAGCAACGAATTATTTATGGTTAAGGTAGCCCACTGTCCGCTTCCATACTAAACGCCTTGAAGTTGCCACTCTTCGGCGGTTGATCTCCGACTCGCACTTCCGCTTCCATGGCTTCCGGTTAGGATTGAGCAGTACACTGATCAAACATCTCCTCACAATCCCGGTCTATCCCTCATTCTCATTTTTTGGTGGGCCGTTCTCTTTGCAAAATATTTTCAGGGACAATTCTTCACTGATTGTCTGGTCACAGAGCGATACCGCCGAGCAGCTGGCCAGCAGAAGAATGTTTAGCAGACAGGGGCGGCGGCCATGGTGACGCGTCTCTACTACTGTCCATTGAATGAGCGTCGTGCATACGGTGTTTTCAAACAGTGTTTTGGCATTCGGTGTGTCAGCCGTGTTTACGACTGCTCTGGCACGGTGCCATCATTCAAATCATCCACACTCGCACAGTCGCTGCTGCAGGCTGGCCGCGTTCAGTTCAGGGAGAGTTTGTTCCGTCTGATCCTATTGGAGCGTCTGCACTGTTACGAAGGAAGTTTATCGATCCACTGCGGGCATTATTCACTTTATTCTGCACGTCTCTCTCCTGTAAATCCCTTCCTATCATTTTTCCCACATTTTCTTGCGCGTGATGTAGCCTTTACGAAGATCAGAAGATTTGTCGTGTGTTTTCGTCGCACTCGCAGCAGGTAAGAATAAAACTCGGGATTGCTGTGTTTTCCTTTTTTATGTATCGTTTTTGTTGCTACCTATGAAAATAAACATAGTCTGTGTTTGTTGGGTGTGTTGGTAAGGGAAGCAGGTGTTGTCTGATGCAAGTAGAGTTCGCAGAAAGCCAGCATATGGTTGGCGTGTTCTCGACGAAAACCGCGCGCGTGACTGGTGAAACAGCTGATTTGTTGCAGACACTGGTTTGTTTTTGCCAGTCCTTCTGTGATCTGTATTAAATCGTCCAGGTGGCGGAATGGTAAGCGTGCAGTTCCCTTGCAGTTTCGCCGTGTCACGTGTTAAGTGTGCTGCGTGCAGGGCAACGCCAGCGTGACGTCGGCGGCGCACGAGAAGGTGGAGATCATGTCGCAGACGCACACGGGCAGCGGGGGCCCTCAGGGGGCGGGGGGCTGCACAGTATGGCGGCGGGGGCGCTGGGCTCGCTGCCCCTCGGCCTAGGCGGGGGCCACCACCACGGCCACCCGCAGCACGCCCCCGGGGGCGGCGGCGGGGGGAAGGGCGCCCCCGGGGGCGGGGAGAAGCTGACGGCGGAGCAGCTGCGCAAGCGCGGCAACGAGCTGTACGATATGCGCCGCTACCCGGAGGCCATCGACTGCTACACCAAGGCCATCGTGAGTATGACGACGTCCTGTGTTTGGTCGTTGGACTGACAGAGGACGTGTGTCTGCAGATGAAGGACCCCTCGGTGCCGACGTACTACACCAACCGCGCCCTGTGCTACCTGCGCGTGCAGCGCTGGGAGCTGGTGTGCAAGGACTGCCACATGGCCGTCGAGCGCGACGCCACCTGCCTCAAGGCCTACTACTTCATGGGCGTGGCGCTCATGGAGAAGAACAGCTTCGACGAGGCGCTCAACTTCCTCTGCAAAGGTAGCACTTCCGGGTCCTACTGGGCGTGTTATATGACGCTGTTCCCTTGCAGCGAATGATCTGGCCATGAAGCAGCGGCAGTGCTTCGGCGACGAGATCACCTGCATGATCCGCGCCTGCCGCAAGCGGCGCTGGTCGCGGCAGGAGGAGAAGCGCATCCAGCAGGAGCTGGAGCTGCAGACGTACCTGCACCGGCTGCTGGATGAGGAGAAGCAGCGCCAGATCGACGAGATCATCCAGCGCAGTCTGCCGGTGGCGGTGGCCGTCAGCAGCGGCAGCGGCCGCGTCTCGTCGTCGCAGTCGCAGTCGGCCGGCCGCAGTCTGCCGTCCTCCATGACGCGGCTGACCAGCGCCGACAGTCTCCTGGAGGCCCATCCCGCCGCCGTCCAGGCAGCGGAGGAGCCGGCGGCCGGTCCGTCGACGGCGGTCTTTCATTCCAGCGGCGACGTCATCGCGCAGGCGCCGGCGGCGCGAGCGACGCTGTCGGAGGCGGCCATCGGTGAGGCGCCGACGGTGTTGCGCAGTCACTCGGAGAAGGTGGGTCCCGGCTTTCGATTGATTGCAGCTGTGGGAAGGTGAAGTGTCGTGTGTTGTGCAGAATCTGAGCAGCATCGTGGACGGGCGCATCAGCGAGGTGGAGCGCTTCCATCAAGAGAAGAAGGCGGAGCTGGACCGGCTGCTGGCCGAGATGGACGACCGGCGCAAGAAGCGCGACGTGCCGGACTATCTGTGCGGCAAGATCAGCTTCGAGCTGATGCGCGACCCGGTCATCACGCCCAGCGGCATCACCTACGACCGCCGCGACATCGACGAGCATCTGCGCCGTGAGTAGCCGTCCCTTTCGTCTGCTTAATTCCCCTAACGAACGAGACTCTAGCCTGCTAAATAGCCAACTAATCCGCCGCATCGGTTGCTCTGTTAATACATCCCCTGTGCTTCCCTTGCAGGCGTCGGCCACTTTGACCCGGTGACGCGCAGCGACCTGACGCAGGAGATGCTGGTGCCCAATCTGGCCATGAAGGAGGTGGTCGACCACTTCCTCTCCCTCAACGAGTGGGCCGTCGACTACTGACACTTGTATCGGTGACAGGAAACACCGTTAACCAACGCCCGTTACTATGCCCGTACACGTGGCGGCCTCCCGCCCGCGGGAGCCGCGCCACGCCGACCCGTATCCCGCTAATCTGTCTATGGATTCAGTCCGTTCTGCTTGTAACCCGCTTAACCGTCTTGTGATACGATACACGATACGATTTTAACGCGGCTCGCTTCCGTGCTTTTTCCTCACAAAATTAATTATAGCTTTATCCAGGTTTGCCCGGCTTCCGGTTGCACTTGCACCCGTCGTTGTTTCTTGGTTTTTGTTCGGTATGTTACTGATGTTTGTTGCTTCGTTGTTCCGTTGTGCATGTTATACGGATCATTTCGCTGCGTTCATCGTTGTACAATTCGTTGATTACATAGTATTTTGACATTAATATTGGTTGAGCGCTGCACGTGCTCGCATCCGTACATTGGTTATCATAAATCATTGAATCTACGTCGTACCTATCTGCTGATTGTGCTGAAGCAGTCGGATAATGTTACCTATTCGCATTTTGTCAGATTTTCTGCGGAAGATGAGTGTGTCTCTACATGTAAGTTCCAGTAATAAGTAATTATCATTAATTGGTTATGTTGCTATATTAGTTTGTGTACAAGCTTTGAGTACGCGTAATATCTGAATAATTTCCGCCGTAATTATTGCGCCACGGTAAATCGCGTGTACGCTGACAAAAGAGTTACAAAATCACGCATAAGATCTCGTGCAGATGAAGGCCATCAAAAACCTGCCAAAATACTGTATATCACCGACAACAGCCGCCATAACGCCCATAAGCGCCATTAAACAATGAGCATTACCTGTTTTTACGCGAAAAGATCAACGAACATGCATATAAATTTTGAACGATTGGGCTTCGTTAATAGAAGAAGCACTGTTTTGTGCCATACACGCCACCGTTACAGCTTCCGCTGCCGGTTGCCGTTGGATAGAATATTATGCTGAAATCTCGGTGCTGGCGATGCTGCCTTTGATGTAAGATGAGTGTAATAAATTAACAAGTCGGTTGTACTTGATAATTATGTTGGTGGTTACGTGTGGCGTTAGCGATGTAAGTGCCGTTTCATGTGGCCGGAAGCGAGAGCGACGCATAGTGGAGTTGCGTTGCGAATCCTCGGTGTTACCGGAAGCTGCAGTAGTTGTAGTTTTAAGGTGCGATATCGGTAGCACTGGCGCGTTGAGCTGAATTCGGTACAACTACAGGCGGATCCGGTATCGGTGTACGCACATCCGACCCAAGAACGTCGCTTCATTATACCGTCCATCGACTACTTGTGTTGTTGTTGTCGATCGTGGTGAATTCTGCCAACGAATAAGACATCGGGATTTGTCGAACCGATCGGTGTGCGTTTAGCGGCTAACAAGAAGTGGACCGTGGACGCTGAATACATTAATTTTATTTGATATTATTGACTAAGCGACGATGCGGTGGAGCGCAGCGCGGTTGCTGAGCGCCCTTCCGGTCGGCTTACTGCTGCAGCTGCTGCCCACCTGGCTGCTGCTCCTCTCCAACGCCGTCACCGCCCAGTCGCAGCAGCTGCAGTGCGGCTCGCCCAAATCCTTCGACGTCATCGCGCTTTGGCAGCAGTTTAATCGCTCGTACGTAATACCTCCGTCGCGCCGTCCGACTAATCCACTATAAATTATTCAGCTGCATACTCCTACATGTAATTTTATATACAGACTGTAAGCGCCATATATAGATATATGCGTCTATATACATGTCTACATATATACATATTTTATGTATATCTATATGTATGTATTTTATATATACAGATATGCATATCTTCGCCGGTGTGATTATAATTAATTGTTGTTTAGGCGGAAGAAGCGCATGTTGCCGGGTCAGCGTCCGGATCTGAGCGAGAAGGTGATCCGTCGCCAGCAGGACATCATCCAGCCGTGGAGCGTCGACCTGACCAAGAGTCACAACGTCGAGGAGGTGCACAACAAGATCGTAGGCGGCTGGGACATCCACGACAAGACCGGCGGCCAGATCTGCTGGCAGGTATGCACCCATATATAACATCGGGCAGAGTGACCTTTATGCAACACCCTATAGACATGCGTTTAAAATACCGGATGTATCTCTAGGTGGGCATCATCATCGGGACGGCGGACGGGTACTTTAACTGCGGCGGCAGCATCATCGGCTCGCACACCATCCTGACCGCCGCCCACTGCGTCTTCAGCCGGCGCGGCGCCGTCCGCCCGCCCACCGACTTCACCGTCGTCGTCGGCGCCCTCGACGGCGGATTCGACGGCAGCAACGCCAAGGAGGGCGCTGCCAACTGCGGGAGGTCCTTTAACGTCTCAAAGGTACGTCCCGTTCCTGCGACTGACGCCCGCAGTGGTAGTGAAGCGCCTTCTTAATCCGGTACCGGGTACAGGTTCAACCGCATCCCAACTACACGCCCATGAGCAGCGGCAACAACGACCTGGCCCTCTTAACGCTCATCGGCGACATCGACCTATCCGGGACGTGCGCCTGCGCCATCTGTCTGACGGACAAGAGCCCGGCGGTGGGCGAGTGGACGGCCGTCAGCGGCTATGGCGACGTGTCCGAGGGCGGCGCCGGTTAGTACTGCATTCGTCCCGTTGTCGGCACGCTAACCAAGTGTGACCTTTCCACTTTCAGACGACCCCAACCCCATCCCGCTGCGCTTCGTCTACCTGCAGATCCTGGACAACAACCGGCGCCTGTGCAGCTTCAACACCGGCACGGACGCCGACCTATTCCTGTGCGCCGGGGATGTGGTCGGCCAGGATTCGTGTCAGGGTGATAGCGGTGGGCCGCTGTTCGCATGGGACACGGGGAACAAGGTGTACTACTTAGCCGGCATCGTCTCCTTCGGGGAGGGATGCGCGCGCGGCACCGGCGGTCAGTACACCAAGGTGCAAAAGTACCTGCCCTGGATCCGGCAGAACGGTCAGTCCACCGGACTCAGTATCGTCTGAAAAGGGAAACATATGCAGCCCAGTCCACTAATCGATCGGATGGTTTATTCAGTCAACTCGTATACCCGCCGGGCATTTGTTTTCACACACGTTCCCTACGTGCTATGTATGCCATCCAAGGTGATAATAATTATGTATGCCAGCTATGTATGCCAGCCGGCTGGTTTTTATTTTATACGAATTTTTTACTGCAACGTTTTGTATGCTCACACGGGGAATGCAATTTTTCTTAACTGGATGATCAATTGCTGTGATAAAACAAAATGCTGGCCGAATTATTGGTTAGGTACAAGTACTAGTATTTTAACTTTAAAATAATAATATTATTATCATTACGGCACAAGAGCAGACAACCCCGAGGGGACGTCAAGTCTGGTCGAACAAAAACATTTAAGCGCTAATGTAAATACTTAAGACAGATCTGAGTAGAAATTTAAAGGCAGGTACAGAACTTGCATCAAGAATTTTGCGGTTAACAGCAATAATTTATCAAGCAGACGCATTAATCGAAATTCTATAGTCGTCAGAAGAAACAGTATACTGTATAAACATAAGATGGCGTTGGTTACGTCATAAACTGGAGTTGGGAGCTGGACTTTCTAGTTACAGTTCCCGGTTGTACTTTGTACTTGCAGCTCCCAACTGCAGCATATGATTCAGCACAACTGCAGCATATGATTACTGCATATGTACACTGTATAGAAGTACACTAACTAATTTACTCACTTACTGATAATCACACACACACACGCTGGTGCATCTGCTGTGCATACCTCAAGGATGCTCGCAGCCCAGATGCAGCTACCTGTGCAGCCGTGTTGCACGCGTGCAAGTGGTTGTTTACATTCTTTACCGCATGGAGCGGCATTGGCACATTAGCGCAACTGGCTCGTCAGCGATGGTGCTGCATACCATGCGCGTCTCTTATTGATTGAAAACACTTATAGTAATGCTGCGCACTTATAATATACAAATTATTTGTCAACTTATCGAGTAGTTTAATTGCTTAACTGGATTGTGCACGGCTTATATATAATTGTGAAACTTGACATGCGCCCAATGGTTGGAGTACTGTACGGATGGATGGATGGTACTGTACTATATGGATACTACTGTACACTGTACAGTTATATTGGTTTACTTTCACTGCTTGATTCAACAAGTTGTTTACATTCTTTTACACTATGGAGGAGCACTTTAACGCATCTGGCTCGTCAAAGCCTTTCAACGCATAGTAAGTGAAATATAATTACTTTTCAGTGGATATTACTAGCTGCTCTATTCTCAATTTATTTATACATATATAATCATGGAAACTAACAGGTACGATGGAATATTATCTTCTTTATTACTGTACATTATGCCTGTAGTGTGTAATCAATTTTGACAATTATTTGCAGTCTACTGCGTGCATGCTTATGCGTGCGTGCAGATCAACTGGAAAAAGTCCGCCAGGGTCGCTGCAAAATTTTTTCCACTGGAGCCAAAGCCACATTTCTGTTAACGATTACTCCGCTAATTGCAGAATTTATGAATTTCTTGTACACGAAGTAAGTGAAGCAAGTGTTTTTAGTTTATATTACGTTGTAACCCATGCTGTATTTGTCATGTTTACATAGTTTCGGGGCTGCTATAAACAACGAGGGTTTGAGTGGAAAAAGTTGGCCTGAACTTCTCAAAGAATTTTTCCACCTTGTCAACGGTATGGCGTAATTTGCTGATTCCGCAGTTTCCTGATTACAAAAATTATTATTATATGCTTGTATGTTTGCTCAATGCTTTTATAACAAAAAAATACATTTCGTAATAAAATCTAATTATCATAATTAATGAGTAATGTATTGTACAGTATTGCACTGTATATGTAGTATGTACCAGATACTTTTAAGGGTAAACGTTCTTTACATTTCTTAATAAATTTAGCACTAATGCTTTGTAATGCCAGGTAACAGAAATATGCAACGATAGCTTTTTTTGTAATTTTATTTACTGCTGCATTTAGGTTCCTAATAACAGGCGCAATTCGTTTTCAGCAGTATGAAGAGTATCAGCATCTTTTGCACCTAATAAATTAATTTTTCCAGAATGGAAAATCATCGCCGTACAACTTTGAAGCCGGACTCGCATGGCCGGAAATATTTCAGGTTCAAACATGGCATCAGCTTTTGCTCTTATTGAGTTGTATAATTTCTCTAAACTAAGAAATTTCCCAAAATTGAAAGTGGCGACAATGTTAACAATTCTTGGATTCTTTAACGATGCTTTTTGATAGCCGTATTTTTGCAGTTTCCGGTAATAGTGATCCAATAACGCGAGAGCATCACTGATGGACTTTGCACCATTAACTGTGATCTTGCCGTTGCGGTACACTTGGCAGTGCGATTTGTAAGGACGAATGGAACGGAGAAGAAGCCCGGAAAATTTATGTGGTGCATAATGAGAAAGCGGAGCGCGTTCGGATAAGCTGGGTAAGTCAATTGCGCAGCCAAGGTCAGCAGTTGCAACAACGTTAGTTATTTTCGCCATTCAGCCAATTTGCAAATGTCTCCGCTTTTGAAAGCGTTGTTTGTGGTAATGAAGTAAGCTCCTTAAACTTCGGGCACCCAATGTCTTCAAGATTAAACACTTCAGGCAAATAATTTTCCAAAATCTTTTGCTTTTCCAATCCTTTGGCAAAAAACGTCAAACGCGCAGGTCGTTCACCAATAAGCTCCAGCATATCCTGAATCGCCCTGGCGATGTCCAAGTATAAATAATCTCCACGATTATGCCAGACAAGTCCGTGTGAGTGACGCGATTGGCTCCTAAATTCAACGCGGTAACGATTAAAGTGGGATGGAATGGTGAATGTGTAGCACCTGCTAACACTAGTTGGGCAATCACAAAATGCCAGCTGTTTTATAAGCCGTTGGGAGCCAGCGATAAACCAATCAATATCTAAGACAACCCTCCGCTTTGAAGTCTCCATTCTGTTATCGGTACGCTAGCAATAGCTCCGCCCTTTGGAAATGGATTCCTTAAATAGGTATCCGCGCACGACAGCTGATTTGAGATTCCGACTACCCGCTTCAGTCCTTGTTGTGGGGCCAACGACTTCGGGGAAAACGACATATGTGTCAAAATTAATTATGGAGCGCGATAAATTATTTGACCAACCATTTGGACGAATTATTTTGGTGTACGGAGAAATGCAGCCAGCCTACGAAGTACTTCAGCGCAAAGTCCCTTGGATTGAACTGACAAAAAATATTCAACAAATTGTGGAGGATGAAAATTATTTTGATGGTAAACAAAATATTTTGTTGATACTGGATGACGTGGCAAGTGGTTTGGTGAAAAATGAGCATTTGGCTAAACTCTTCACTCAAAAAGTACACCATAAACGGCTTTGTGTATTTCTATTATTCAATAACCTATATAAACAAGGGTCTGCTATGCGAGACGTGCATCTTAATGCACAATATCTTATACTGTTCAAAAATAATCGTGATGTGAACCAAATCAAGATTCTAGAAAGGCAGACTGGTTTAAAACATCTCAGCGGAGCTTACGAGGAAGTCGGCCAGGAACCATTTCAACCTCTCATTTTGGATATGAAACCGGACACACCTGCCTATTTAAGGATTCGTTCAGCAATATTACCGGGAGAGTTGACTAAAATTTACATTAATCCACATACGACAAACTTGCCCAAGAATGTGTGATCAGATTTTAAAAGACTTTGCACCGTTTCTCCTTACCCTGCGATCGCTGAAACCCAAGCAGCGTCGTTTTCTTTTGGAAAATATTTCGAAACGACAACTTCGCTGTTTTGAAGAAATTTGTTTGAATTTGGTAAAGAATTCAGTGCCTCTTACCACCGATCAGCTAAAGGTGTGTCAGCGTTGGCGTCGACCATTAAAGCTGATTGCTCTCAAAAAATATCCTTTACGAAGCAAGAGGGAAATTTTATTACAGCGGGGAGGATTCTTACCTGCGGTTCTACCTGTATTGGCAGCTGTTTTGGGAACTGCCTTACTGAAATGAAACCGGAAGTGCATTATATTGTTCCCGCGAGCGAAATGAAAAGACTTGCAAGTGACACGGTTGGTCGTATTGTAACGGATGTCCAATTACAACAGCAGCCTACTGAAGTTGTGGATATTGTAAAACTGGACGATTTGATGAGAGATATAATTTCACGGAATACGCTAAGCGAATGGGAGAAAGCGGAACTGTTATCAAGAAACTTGGCTCGCTTTTTGGCGCTGAAAGAGTCGGCGTTCGGCCCTGACCAAATGGTTATTCCGCCTCCAGCATCTGTGCCCCCCATTCCAGTACAACTATTAAAGAAGCCGTGGGTACCCCCTAATATGCCTGATCGTATGTTAGATGCTTTCCTCCTATTCCACCTGCACCCCGGCAAAACGCAAGCGTGCAAAGCGAGAAGTATTTGATGAAAACACTTTACAAATCGAAGGTCCCATCGGTTCAAGAACCAAATACCAGTTCAACTGGATGACTATTAATAACAAATGAGTGGTGGTGGATGCGTTCCCTTTTCTTTGTCTTTGGGTGAAGGTATGACATGGAACTGCACATCTAGCTGTTGCGATGGATCAAGCAGTAGCGACGACGAATACGATGGCCAATCTACTGCTACGACAAGCGTATCTGAACCCTCAGCACCCGGGCAGCTTAACAGGGATTCAAAAGTTTCGCAGCCACTTTCCACAAGCACCAAACTATCAACAAACGCGGGAACAGCTGGAGCATCTGGATCCATATACAGTCCACAAATCTCGACGCAAAAGGTTCAAAAGAAACCCCGTAGTTGTCTCAAACCTAGCGGAGCAATATCAAGCCGATCTGGCAGACATGTCAAAATATGCGAAGCAGAACAAAGGATACCGTTGGATATTGTTTGTGATCGACGTCTTCAGCAAGAAAGTGAGCTGTCAACTACTAAAGAATAAAAGCGGTCTAGAAGTAAAACTTGGGTTGGAAAAGGTGTTTGCAGAACTCGGAGCTCCCATTAAATTGCAAACGGACAAAGGTCTTGAATTTTACAATAAGGATGTTAAGAGTTTTTGACAGCCCAAAAGGTTTTTTTGTTCTCTTCTGAAAATAAAGCAATCAAAGCATCCTTAGCTGAAAATGGCATACGCAATCTCAAGAAACGAATATGGAAATTATTTCGACACCGACAGTCTAAAGTGTACTGGGACGTTCTGGGAGATTTGGTAAACAGTTACAACAACGCAATTCATTCTTCGCATAAAGTCACGCCTAATGAGGTTAGCCAGTCCAATTCTCTGCAAATATTCAATCGACTATATGCAGAATTATTATTGGGAAAGCAGAAAAGCCAAAGTACAGCGTAGGTGACACAGTACGAGTAGCCATCGACAAAACACTTTTGAAAAAGGATATGAGTCAACATTTAAGGAGGAAATTTACAAGATACACCAAGTATTACCACAACAGCCCGAGCCCCTCTACGTATTACTGGATGAAGACGGGGACTTAATTCGCGGGAAATATTACGAAGCCGAACTCAGTCGTGTCAGAAATGGCTCATAATAGCTTTTATGTCACGCTTCCATCTGATGCCTGTATGCAACAGTTCCCAAAGAATAATGCAGCTGAATGGACCACAAAGTTAAAGAGCATGATATCGCTACCGGGACAATGGGAAATGGCATTGGTGGAAATACAGTATCCTAATTCAATGTACAATTTACCCAGTCCCCAAACGTTGCACGTTGACCAAATTACTTCTATGGATATCAACGGTGTTTTCGCTATGGAGAGGGACACAATTACGGTACCTGCAGGGATCTATGAGAAAAGTGACATCATTAATTTTATCAACAGTAAAGTACCACGGTTAAAGCCATTTCGCGATTCTACAGCGAAAGAACAGGCGGCTTTCCAACTAGAATTATTTGCAACCGAGCCCAAGCTCAAAGTGAAATTTCCCAGCGTACGTGTTTTTCTGGATTTTCCTCCCTCATCTTTGCATCTATCCCGTATGCTTGGATTTAAAGAACGACGATTTTCTGCTGCACAGTCTGAACAATATGAAAATTTTTAATGGAAAAACGAATTTTGCTTCCGCAGCTACAACACTGTCCGACCAGCAGAAAGCCCTGGCAGAGTTGCAACTGTTGGAGACGTCTATAACAATGACAGCAGATAAGCCCGTAAATATGCACATTGGGAACCAGTCAATTTTTGTCTACTGCAACAAGTGCGACTACAATATTGTGGGCGATGAAACTATGCAGCTTTTGCGCGCTTTCCCCATTAAAGCAAGTGTTCCTCGCTTCGAAATTGTTTCCGAAAGGTTTGAGGATCCACATTATTTACCTGTTTTATACGATCGACTGGACACTATTGATATCAACATTGCAACTGATCTCGGAGAAGCGGCAATTTTTCAGACTGGAAAGTCAATGGTAAAGCTGCATTTCCGCCCCATTCAGTATTACTATCGCTAAAAAATGCCCGTAATCCTCTTTGAGCCGTCACCATCGTTCTATCTGGATTTATTTGCGGGGGCCGCCACGGGCGCTAGTAGCCAGCACGGCTATGGAGCCGTCATGACACGCTATCGCGGGAGTTTAATGCAAAATGGCAGCGGATTTATGCTACCTAATTTCCTGCGCGCAATGTTTAGTAAATTAGCGCATTTTGCTGCCCCGGTTATTAAAGCAGCGGCACCACATGCCAGAGCAGCAATGGAAGCAGCAAAGCCCCACTTACGCGACGCAGCGACAACAGCTTTAAGTGAAACATCCAAGAAGGTAGGAGAGAAAATTTCGGAAGCGTTAACTGCGCAACCTCAACAGCAAGGAGGCATCAAACGGCTCAAGCAGCAGCACAAGAGGACAAAAAAGATAAAGAAACCTTCCTTCCGACTTAAACGGCTTAAACGGATTCCCCCAAGAGAATTTGAGGACGCATTTTAAAATGGCTTTTATTTTGGAAGGAAGCGTGCCAGCTATGCAGGTCGAGTCGGATTTATTCTCCGTTCCGGCCACTCTAGCGGATTTTGTGCGGACAGAAGAAGAACGCATTCTACCAACATCAGGGCAAACAGAAGAAATTAGTTCTGGAGAAATTTCCTTTTACATTCCCCCTTCAACGTCGGCGCTGCTAGTGCTACCGGAAATTACGCTAGAAATGGATATTGCAATCAAAAAGCAAATTGCAGGACTTGGTGCGGCTACGCATATTGAAAACACGGATCTGGTAGCACCAGTGAACTTGATTGCGCATTCTATATTCAGCTCGGTAGAGGTAACAATGGCCAACCGCCTGATAACTAATTCCACCCCATTATATGCCTACCGAGCGTACTTGGAAAATTTGTTGGGGTACACACCGGCTGCCCTAAAAAGCCAGGCAACAAGTGCTGGATTTTATATAGACACTCCCGGGTACCTAGAAGATCATGCCAATAACGCTGGAGAAGTAACGCGAAAAGCTATGTTTGTGACCAACGAGTACGTCCCGTTCAGCGCCAAATTATGTACGGACATTTTTCAGCAGGGAAAAATTTGATCACCGGTGTACCGCTACATGTGCGCCTCATTTTGAATAAGCCGGAATTCTACCTGCGTTCATATGCCAATCTTCCAGTGGATACCTTTAAAGCATACATTCGCAATCCGCGGTTGTACGTCAAACGCTTTGTGCCTAATCCGGCATATTTGTCTGCGCTTACTGCCCAATTATCGACAAAGACTGTGAAATACCCTATTGAGCGAGTGTGTATGCGTGTTAATGATATTGGTATGATTCAGAGCACAGTGCTGGCTAATTTACATATTGGAGCAGTACCCAAATGTGTTTTTGTGGGATTTGTAAAAAGCTCGAGTTTTCACGGGCTGCGCCGAGGTAATCCGTTTAACTTTGAACATTTCAATCTCAACTATATAAGTGTCGAAGTCGACGGACAGTCGTATCCCGCACAAGCCTACCGACCAAATTTCGCCACGGGTGATTATTTGCAATCATATGACGGTCTGTTGGAGACGCTTTGCCGCTTGCACGCACCGGACGGGGCGCTGCCTTTCGACCGTAAAGCATTTGCGGAAGGATTTGCTATTTGGGGATTCGATCTGACACCTTCACGGACAGGCCGGGGACCGATGAGCACCGTGCGCCAAGGAAATCTATCAATCCGCCTGCAGTTCGCCGCCCAATTAACTGAACCAATTATGGCCATTACGATGATGGTGTGGGATAATATTATTGAAGTCAATTCACATCGCCAGCTAATTGCGGATTTTACAGCGTAAAAACCTAACGTAAGTGTTGTAAGACTTAAAAATGCCGTGTTGTTGCCTGCGCGGTAAGCTTCAGGGTCGCCAGCGGGGGTGGGCGCGCCGTCGGCCCCTTTTGACGCTGAAGAGAATCGTGACGGATGTGGTAAACAATGGGCGACCGGAGCGCTTCGCGCTCTCGGTCGCCCGTTGTTTACAGGACAAAAAGGAAAAAAAGAAAAAAAAAATTCAGATTTTATTTTGAATGCAGATCGGCACTAAAATGGACACTGCTGAAATCGACCACGTGCTACGTTCAAGTACCGTGACGAAAGACGCTTTTATTGGTGTATTTGCTGCGGACATGTTACCACCGTCCCTGCCAATGAAGCTGCCATGGGCATGCGTTGTCAATACTGACGAAGCTGCAAAGCCAGGCTCGCATTGGTTGGCGTTCTACCAGGACGTCCCGGGAAAATTGGAATATTTTGACTCTTATGGTCACGAACCGAGATTTTACGGCATCCATATTGAAAGTTTTTGCAAGAACGCCGAGTTAGTTATTTCGCAAGCGCATCGTTTACAAATGGAATGGAGTACCGTGTGCGGACAGTACTGCTGCTTTTTTATTCTAAAACGATGCTCCGGCGAGTCATTTACCTCTCTTATTCATTTGTTCACCAATAGCAAATCGTCGAATGATCGAATGGTTTGTGCTTATATTAATCATTATTTTGATTTGAACACTGTAATTCGTGATCGCTCTATGATAATTCAGTCTGTTTTCCGTCAAATAATGCAATAAAATCTGGCCATCCAAACCCTTACGTATGAGTGTAGGTGTAGTTACTTTGTACCGCAACAAATTGCAGTGCAACAAAATATTACACTACAGCAACATTGCGCTGCCATGTGGATGTTTTGTTTCGAAATATAACAGGACATCGCATTTTGTACTCGTGGTCTTGCCAAAAACATGTGCTTCATAGCAGTTTTTCCTTACTGCATCTATTTCTATTTGGCGAAGCAGAATGGTTTTTCGAATTGTTGTGGACATCAAATGGTATAATCGTAATGAGAAGTCAATTATAACGGAACTGGCAATTAGTTCTGTTGATTTCCATTGTCTATATTACACCCGATTTTTGCTTCCTCCGGATAATTACATTGTTAGCAAGTACGGCATCAGTTCCACGAATGTCGATGAAATATTTGTTAAAGCTTTCTCGGACCTGGAGATTCAGATAAATCGAGCGTTCAGAAACTATCTGCAAAACGTTAAAGACCCCCTAAGCGTTGTTTTCTATGCGAAAGGTTCAGAAAAGTGCGGTATTATCCAGGATTTATTAAAATCTGATTGCATCAACTTGGACTCGTTAGGCTGCCCGCGCTTTTCCGATTTATGCAATGACAGATGCTACAGTCCCAACAAAGCACAGGCTTACTCAAACTGGATGCTGACTCAGTATCTAAAAGTTCCAAAAAATGCTTGCTTTGCCGCATGCCGATCCCCGACACTGGCGTTCGTCATCATCGACGATGGCGCAGTCGAATTTCAAGACCAGATCTAAATTACTATTCGGGTACGTGCTCAAATTTTGATGTTCTTTTTTAAAACATTTCTGACAAGGTTTACGAAATTGCAGATGAACAGGGTAACAGGTGCTGCATCCGTTGTGGAGCTGTATTCATTTCCGGTGAGGACCGCACTGAACAAAAAAGGATCGCGGATATTAACATGCCTGACATTTTTAGCGCATGAATCATTGAGCGATCTGTTTGGAAATTCAGATGACAACAAAAATGCTGTAGCGGAATTTATTCATATATAATCTGAGTATCTTGGGTGCATCTTTGAGACTAGTAAAATCACGTTGCCGGAGCTCGTCTTTACGATGACGCAAGTACCTGATCGTGTACAGGGCAACTCTAACGCCTGTACTAGTAACCCACAGTTTGCTGATACCGCACTTTTCAATCATGATTATGCTCTTCTTGATCATAATTATACTGTACCACGAGCTGATCTGCCAGCTTTGAATATAGCTGACGAAGTCGATCCAGACTTGAATGACATTAAAGATTATTATGTGCTCGAAAATATCGGAGCAAAATATTCCCAGAAATTTTCAGTTTCGTTCGAAACTTACAAATGTACAGTGACGGGGCTGGATAATCTATCGTTCAAGTATGCTGTTAAAACGATAACACTCGTTTTGAAAGATATTCTGGAGAGTGTGATTGCTGCGATTCCAGCGCATAACCTGGTGCGAATCCGCATGTATCAAAATGCTCTGCAGTATCCAATTTGGATGCCACCTATTCGGCGGGACCAAATAACAATTGAACGGTGGATGACGACAATAAGGCGGATTCTAAACTCTAATCAGGCTTTTCTGCTAGACGAATCATTTGAACTGTCAGTCCAGCACACTGATTTGCCATCCGGATCATGCAGAAAAAATGTATCAAAATTGTTGCAGCGGATTTTAGACAACAAAAGATGTATTACCCAGATTCGAAATACGGACTGTTTGTGTATGGCCAGGGCTATAGTTGTGGCACAAGCGCATGCAGATGGCGACAAAGAGCTGTACACAAAGCTTTACCGAACCAAAAAGTTGCAAGACCAGAAGACAAAAGAATTATTGTTGACTGCCAACCTGCCAAACAGAGAATTCAACGTGCAAGATATTCCCCGCTTTGAAGAAGTTTTACCGAATTATCAGTTTATTGTGGTATCTGTGGATCATGGAAATTCTATCGTCTACTGCGGCGCCTACTGCGAAAAGCGAATTATGCTGCTGCATCACGATCAACATTTTGATGTTTTAACATCTTTACCGGCCTATTTTGAGCACCACTATTACTGTTACCGTTGCATGAAAGGCTACGATCAAAGACAGTATCACCGCTGCGAGTTCAAGTGCCACCAGTGTTTGTCTGCAACTTGCAAAATGAATAAGCAAGAAACCATACACTGTCTGGACTGTAACCGCGATTTCTATGGGCAAGATTGTTTTGACAGACACCAAGCTGGGAGCAGCACCATCTGCGCAAATTTTTTCATTTGCCGTGAGTGTAAAACCTTTGTCTCTATGGTAAATCGCCGTATGAAGACCAATTACGATACAATTCATGGTGAGGACAATGACCAGGACCACGATATTGCTGAGGAAATCGAACTAGATGTTGACGATCAGCAACATCGATGTGGTGAGGTTTTTTGTGCGACTTGCTCGTTATTCTATATGCCGGAGAAAAACCATGTGTGTTATATGAAACCCGTGGAATTTACGGATAAAGAAAAGGCCAAGCACCATAACGACAAGCTGGCATACTTTGACCTGGAAACATATCAAGACGAGAGTGGAGAATTTAAAGTCAACCTAGCGGTGATCGCGACAAAAAATGAAAAATTTATTCTTCCAGAAAACGGTAATATTAACGGCGACATTTCACAAGAACTTGGCGATTTCATTTTCAGTGAGCGTTTCCGTGGCTACACATTTATGGCGCACAATTTGAAGGTAGCGAAAGTCAACACGTTAAGTAACTTCTTTATTAAATAAATTGATAATTTATTTTTCAGGGATTTGATGGATACTTCATTTTGAATTATCTCGTGAAAAACGGCGTTATTCCACGTCCGCTTATTTTCAACGGGAGCAAGGTTATGCAGATGGACGTGCCCAAACTCAAAATAAAATTTCGTGACTCTATGAACTATGTACCATCATCGTTAAAAAATTTTGCGAAAGCATTTGGTTTGCAAGAAACCAAAGGAGATTTCCCACACAAACTTAATAAGCCTGAAAACTGGAATAAAATAATTGCTTGGCCCGATCGTCATGACTATGGCTATCAGTCTATGAAAAAGAAAGAACGAAAGCGCTTCATGAAATGGTACCGCAAAGAGCGACGCCGTCACAGGAACAAATTCGACTTTAATGCACACTTTATCAAGTAAGCTAAACCCTTATGCTATTTACAGAATCGAACTTATCCGATTCGTTTTAGGTATTGCTCACAAGATGTCCTCATTTTGCAACAAGCGTGCGAAAAATTTCGAGCGCTTTTCCAACAGGTAACCGATGGATTATGCCCATTTGCGTCTGGACTAACCACACCCGGCATGTGCAATTACTTTTGGAGAGCGCGAATGCTGAAGGAAAACCAAATTGCGTTGATCGGCCCTCCTGGTCAGGGCAAAAAAGTCATCTGTCAAAGGAGAGCGTTGGCTACGCTGGATTGAAATGGAAAATGATGTAAAATTGCAAAAAAGAGCATCGAATCGGTCACTGGACTGTGGATGGTTTTGATCGGGATACAAAAACCGCTTACGAGTTTTTAGGTTAGTCAGCTCGATATAAATGTTATCGATCACATTCAAAACGCAATTCACCTTCAATGTTTTTGTGCAGGATGTATGTGGCACGGCTGCAGCGAATGCACAACAAAAAGCACGCTGCATCCCTTTCTGAAACGGCCAATGGAGGAAGTCAACAAAGCAACTGCCTTACGCCTTGAAGCTATCAAAACTATGGGCTATTCCGTAGTTTCGATCTGGGAACACGACTATGATAGCCGGCTCACTACTGACCTGGAATTTCAGAAAATAATTCAGTTGACCGGTATTGAAGAACCTATGCACCCCCGAGACGCATTTACTGGTGGCAGGACAAACGCTATCAAGTTGTACCACAAGTGCGATCCTGGAGAAAAAATCTATTCGCTCGACGTTATCAGCGAATACCCTTATATTAACAAAATCTACCTTATCCGGTGGGACCGCCTGTTATCATTACTAAAGATTTTCCGCCTGTGGAGAGTATTTTTGGAATAATTAAATGTCGCGTCATTCCTCCACCGTCGTTGTTTTTACCGGTGCTACCTTACAAAACTGATAAACTGACTTTTCCTTTATGCGCTAAATGCGTGACGGAACGCGTAAACGAACCATGTTCTCACGATGATGAGGACAGGGCTCTGGAAGGAACTTGGTGCACTCCAGAAATTCATCGAGCATTAGAAGTTGGCTATCGTATCGATAAAATATACTCGGCTTGGCACTATCCAGAACAAATGCAGTATTTATTCAGAGAATACATTGACCTGTTTTTGAAGCTGAAAACGGAAGCTTCTGGATATCCACCACAGTGTCAAACGGAAGATGAAAAAGACAGATATATTCAAGAATTCCTTGCTAAAGAAAATATTCTACTGGATAAAAAGAATATTGCGAAAAACGACGCATTGAGAGCTCTTTGCAAGCTTATGCTAAATAGTTTTTGGTACACATGTGAACTTATTTAATTTGTGCACGTTCATTATTTTTACGCTCATTGCAGGGGAAAATTTGGTCAACAGGAAGACCGATCCAACACGGATATGGTGGAAAAGAAAGAGGTATTCCATGATTACTTGTTTTCTAACAAGTACGAAGTCGCCGGGTTCGATTTGGTCACCGATGAAGTTATGGCAGTTCAATACCGCTCCAAGAAGGACTACATTGCGACGAGCAAAAAGACCAATGTTGTTATCGCAGCTTTTACGACTGCGTACGCACGGCTACACTTATTAAAATTCATGGAAATGGTTGGAGACCGTTTGTTATACCACGATACAGGTGAACGCGCGAAACAGTATTATCGGCAAATTGCTCATCCACTTCTTTATTTTGCAGACAGCATTTTCTACATCCATAGAGACGATTTGCCCGATCCACCAACGGGAACGTGCTTGGGTGATTTGTCCTCGTCTTTACAGCCTGACGAGTACATTGACGAATTTGTAGCGCTTGGTAAAAGAATAATTATCTAGATAATAATATGCGAGCAACTTAAAATGTTAATTCTTTGTTGTCCCAGGACCAAAAGCTATGCTTACCGGACAAATACTGGATGTGAAACGATAAAAGTCAAGGGATTTACGTTGACACGGCAAGCGAAAAACAGCTAAACCTGGAAAGCCTGAAAGAGATGCTACTGGAAAGCCTGGCACCACCGGACCAGCCAAGCGGAATTACCGTGAATTATCCGTTCAACATAACACGCAATAAGCGCAAGCTGGAAGTTTCGTCGGCGGAAATTAACAAACGATTTAAACTTACTTACTCAAAACGTAGAATTGTTGACTCTGATTTTAACACTCGCCCATGGGGTGATGTTTCGATTGAGTAAATCATCAACTTCCAGTGCGGTGCAATTGTTAATAAAGGTCCTGACACTGTGGCTTGCTCCGAAAAATGCTTCCAGCAGTATTATAAGAATTAACATAACAATAATGCAAGTCCCCACCACGGCTTCGCAAAAGTTTTTTTTACACACAATGCGCGCCATTGTAACAAAAGTCACTTGTTTTTTTTTCTAGATTTTATGCGTTCCGTGGTGCCTTTAATACTTACTTCCTCCCGAAAGACTGTAATTAGTTAACTATTGTATAAAATTTTAACTACATATATATATATATATATATAGTATTATAGTATGCACTATGGACATACACTATACAATTGTGATGACTCATATTCTGGAGTTGGGAGCTGTAGTCATAAAGTCCAACCGGGAATTGCAGTTGGAAAGTGCAGCTCCCAACTCCAGTTTATGACGTAACCGACGCCATTTTATGTTTATACAATATACTGTTTCTTAATGATAATAATATTATTATCATTACGGCACAAGAGCAGACAACCCCGAGGGGACGTCAAGTCTGGTCGAACAAAAACATTTAAGCGCTAATGTAAATACTTAAGACAGATCTGAGTAGAAATTTAAAGGCAGGTACAGAACTTGCATCAAGAATTTTGCGGTTAACAGCAATAATTTATCAAGCAGACGCATTAATCGAAATTCTATAGTCGTCTCTTTAATAACTCTCCCCGCCCGTGCAGCGTCGACTTTTGCCGGTTTTCGTAAGTTGTAGTGCACGGTGTTGTCTTTCACTTTGACCATGTCCAGGAGGTAGTCGGGAAGCGAAAACTGACTCTTGTTTCAGATCTTGTACAGCCACACCGCATTGCTCGGTGGAATATGTGAGGAATATATGTACCCAACTTCCGATACAGTTCCGGAGTAACCGGCATCTTGTAATCAATGATGGTTTTCAGAGCTTTGCGTTGTGGTCCGGCTAGCTTGTCGCGCTCAGTCGAAGACGCTGCAGACCATAGCGGCGACTAAGGTGCGATATGGCAACCGAAGCAGGCGTGTGCTGGCGCGATAAAGACATTGGCGCTGTGACATGCAGAGCCCTTGTTGTGCTCGTTTAATCATGGCAATGCCGAAATTCCCTTTCCGCTGTACCTTTCTGAACTGATCATTCCACTTCAGGTGGATATCGATTTCAACGCCGAGGTACCGTACAAGTTTTGATATGCCAACAAGTTGACAACGGACCAATTGATGACGACTTCTGGATCCGGTTGGATATTGCGGTCCTGAACATACATATGTATACCGCTTGGCATTTCTTTTCGTTTACGAGTATGTGCAGCATATTTTCTTCCATAACCTGGCCGACACGTACCAGTCCATCGTTCACTTTAGCGGCAGCTATGCTTTTTGTCTATACTTCTATAATATATATCAATATATATATATATATATCTTGGAAATTTATATTTATTGGAAAAGCGTGACGTACGCTCTTCGTGGCGTCAGAAAAATTTTATACTCTTTAGTCTCGAGACTGAACAGACACTGATCTGTCGCCCTGTCTGTTCAGCTATTCAGTCTGCAGCGAAGTTCGACAACGAAGCTAATCAACCCAGCATACGCTTCAACAAGTGAATTCTTGTGGCATTTAATCATAAAAATATGCCTGGCTTAAATAACGTTAAAAATAACACAACTATAACGTTAAAAGAAAAGTATACGTAACTGACTAACAGATTTTACACTTCAGTTCTGAATGTAAGGGATATGCTTAGAAAAACGTCATTCCAGTCATGGGTTATAAACTACAAGTACACTATAAAGATGAAATGTAAATTGCCTTCATTCGTGATCAACGAATCCTAAATACCGGAATCATCGATCGGTTCGGATTATCGTTATTCGGTTGCTGTATTCGGCTCCCCTGTCTTGCAGCTGGATGCGAGCATGGAAGTGGCATTGCCGCGGTTTCGTCGCCTCTTGGCTTCGGTGGATGACAAGGCCATCAGTTACCAGAACACCGTCACGGTGCTAACGGACGAAGGAGCTTGGTGGCTGGGCTACATTCAGGACATGGACGGCAGCAGCATCTTCGTGCATTTCGATTCCACCCTGGTCCCGCCCTGCTGGATCCCCGAGCACCGCGTGTGGCCGCAGTTCTTCCTGGATTCCGAGCACTTTTATCGCACAAGACAGCCTGGAGGGCGGGTGTGGGTGGCGCTGCGCGATGAAGACAACGGATCCTTTCGCTTCCGCCCCGCCACCTGGCTTGATTCGGTCTCAGGTGCGTATTCACCAACAAAGAATCCGTTTTTGAAAAATATGCATTAACCTGATCAGACGAAGCACTTTCATAATTCGAGCACGCCATATGAACCAAAAAATATGTCTATACTTAATTCAGAATAGTATGGACTTGTAGAAATTAAGTACCGTTGTACAGATCAAGTACTTATAAAAACCAAGTACTATTAAGAACCATATGGACTTATAAAAAATGTCAGTACTCAGCTTCTGAAGCAGAGAGTCAGTGTGCTTTAATGCGAAGGGACGCTGCTTGTGTTCAGGAAACGTTTTGTATTGGTAAGACACCGGATGAAGTGTATTATGTGCTGACATAATGAGAACTGTGTAATTTTGAGTTTTGCTAATGTTAATGTGAATAACCCAATAAATACTATCGTGCCTATCAAAAAAAAGTAGTGTTGCCCCGACAAAAAATGCAAAATTATTTTCAGAATATAACGACCTTTTCAAAAAACTTGAGTTAAACATCAAAAACAAGCCGTACGATTTGAACCGGCAAATTAAAATCGTTGTCAGAGCATAACCACCTTTACTCTAGATGCTACAATAAGCTTCGTTAAGTCTCTCAGAGCACAGAATTTCCCTGATGCCGTTTCTGGGTGTGATACTTTGAATAATTTCCGAATCCTCAAATCCAATACCGCGCGCGTTTGGTGCCGATGATGTAGTTAATAAACCATTTCTGTGCAAAAAACAGTTAATTAACGCTTCCAGTTGTAAGTTAATAAACGACAGCCGGTCAGCGAATTGATCAATACTCTGCACACCATTTATACGCAAAATTTTTAATTCTAATGAACCCGTAATTAATTAATTTTTTAATTAGACATTTTAACACGTCGTGGCAACTTATAAGTTCTGTTAGAGACTTATGCGCCCTTCGCGCACTTTCTAGTTTACGCTACCAGAATGTGTTTGGGTGAGCAATAAACACCAATTATAATATTATTAATTAGTTATTAAGATTGTACACGTAGCAGTGTCGATGATACCGATTGTGCGACGTTTCACCGCCAGACATTTCCCAACCAGACATTTCATCGAGTAACAATTCACCGCAGTAACGATTCAGATCCCGGAAAATTCGCCGACACAACATTTCAAAACTGTAACATTTCATATCCGCAACGTTTCGAAGCCGCAACTTTTCATGATAGTAACATTTCTCAACCTTCTCTCTGATGCGCACAATCCGGGTACGACAACCTGCCCTTTCCTGAATGGCGTACAGTAGCTCAATGTTTTAGATTTGCTTCGAATTCGGATTTAAGCTGGATGCAGGCCAAGTATTTCAAAACTGCTGCAGTCGGCATCGGCATACATTTTTCGATCTAGATGTGCAGGATTAATTATTTTTGACAATCTTTCAAAACAAATTAGCGGCAAGAGAGAAACCGGAGGCGCAGAGAATGTTGAGGCTTGGCTGAGCGTTTAATGCGCTTTGCTGTGGTTTACCATGAAATGGATTCTATGGAATATCAATTTGGGAAACATCAGTAGAAACCTGTAGGTTTCCGAAACATATTGCCTGGACGTCGAGTAGCGGTATCGAAAATCATGATGCTGTTTCCTCGATTTAACGTTTTTATTAATATCTTAGAATGACGATTGTTAAGTGTCGGTGAAAGATTTTGGTGTAACTAAATAACTTTGATACAACTGATATATAACTACTGTAACATAACTGATATAAGTCGTATAACTGATTTCGATATCTATATAACTAGATAACATTTTATATAACTGAACGACGTACTAATTCAACGCTGAGGCGAAGTACAATAACACTAAATAGATGTATCGCATAATTTTAAAACGATTGTTATGACTGTAAATTTGTAATAATTTACCCATGCCATTTATGCCAACGTAATGGTGTGCCTAAAACTGGTTACATTTGAGTAAAACAGTAACAATAAAAGGTACATCAGTTATGTTATTTTTATTGTGAAAGATGGGATTTGGTAATGGGTTTTAGGGCTTTTAGATATAATTTATAACAATTTTACAGAATATTATGCGTGGGTTGCCGCAGTTGCCAATAACAGGATATTTAGTAAATTTGTCGGTTTTTGAATTGTAGCAATCGAATCTCGTTAAGGAATAGCGGGATAGAGTTGTTCCAGTGTGCGCAATGTACTTCATGCATTGTTACGGGGCGGCAAATGTACGAGTCATGAAATGTTACGGTTGCGATATGTTGCAGTTGCGAAACGTTGCAGTTGCGAAATGTTGTGGCTTTGAAACGTTGTAGTTGTCAAATTTTGCGGATGAGAAATATCGTGGTCATGAAATGGATTCGGTGAAATGTTACGATGTGAAATGTCGCGTTGTGAAATGTCGTGATACCGATGAGACCCGATAGGCGTTAGCAGTAAGTACTTATTAAAGAATAATTATTGAAGTGTACAGTTACGGTATATCGTGGTGAAATGTAAGCATTGTGTGCACGAGTTTGTATGAGAAATATCCAAATTGGCGACTTTGACGCTCGTTATGCTACTCTCGAGTAGCTTTTTCTAAAGCAACATTTATGAATATTTGGGCGTGGATACAAACGTGCAAAAGACACATCATCGTGATATGGACCAGTTATGAGCGCTTATCTTATCTCGTGCGTTACTCAACTTTTGCAGAATTCTCACAATTGACAGGATTTACTAAATTTGCGGTCTGTTCTGATCCGGACTATTGTATACTTTCGGTTTCTTGTTTATTTCCTTTCTGGTAACATCACAACAGTGTTCGGAGTTACTGTGCAGACTACTAGGTTTTCATTCAATAAAACTGTTAGCGTTACACGCATTTTCGTTTATCGGCTATTACAAAATGCACAAAAACGACCCAAAGGATATGCATACCGCATGCATACACACATGAATAAAAGCGCTATCATATTTCATAGAAACAAACTAAAAGAGGGACCATCACAGTGCGTTCAAAGCGGTGTACAGCAATCAGGTAAAGTAAAATATGAAAAACAGTGTATGACCTAGGTACAATGGGTCTTACAGTACATGACCAACCATGAGGTCATGGCCTTTTTTAGGAAGGTCAGTCCGTCCTCGATCTGGAACTGAATCATTTTCTTGGCGATCGCATACGGCAGGTCACGGACATTCGTGTGAACAAAGAGTTTCTCAAAGTGCATTCGCAAAACAAGGTGAGCGCACAGAAATATCAATTTCCTCGCAAGCACCACCATGGAGTCCGCCGGATTCGGAGGTGCGGGTAGGCGGACTGCTTTGTATTCGCCGTATGAGGCTGTGGCAGATGATCGATGCACGCGGCACCTCCTGGAATAGTTTCCTCCGCGCGTCCACCCACGATAACGTGGGCAACGCTGACCTTTTGCGCCACACGCGGCACATTGTCGATCTGTGTTCTTCATCTCGACAGGGGACTGCAATTGGAAACGTTCAGTTATGGAAACAGTAGCTGTACATCATTCAGCAGCAAAAGTGGTAACCTGATAAATAAATGACACTACTATTAGTAAAGGCTTTTTAATCGGATAAAATATCTTTAAAAACTAGGACTGAATACGGGGAGAAAATATCTTCAAAAACTACGACTGAATACGAATGCAGATGTTCGCAGGAATTTTTAATCAGACAAAAAAATGTAATGGTCCTCTTTAGGTTTTGCAGTTCTTATATACCTATCCTGATAGTGTCGGAACATTTTTATGCGATCGTAATCAACTCAATCAGTATACTCATACAGCTATCTACAAACTCAGTCTGGCAAGACAGTACAATAGCGTTCATACGTACAGTAAGAGCAGTATGAGAATGAGATGATACGACGCTGATTAATGAACAAAAATATAGCTGATCTGTATAAAGTTTTTACTCTAATTGTTTTCATAGTCCAATTTCTTCTCTTCAGTTGTGACATAAATATTAAAAAAACTACTCTGTAGATTGCAACTAAATTATACTGTAGTGACGTTCACAGGTTATCGATGTCGAGATGCTTTGGCCGGGCCTATGCTTTTGCTGTCTAGGAGGCGTGTTCCGTTTCAGCCGTCTAAAATGCGGGTCCTGGTTAGTCATTTATTAGAAAAAAATAAACAATAAAAAGGCCCTTTACTTTTTCCAAAACATGAATGTTGCCCACGGAACTCCAATTTTCTTCGCGTAGGATCTGGCGCTGATGTTAGGCGCAGCATAGCCCAACATAAAAGCTCGGATTTCTTCGTCCGTGTACTTCTGCTGTCCGCGAGCCATGTGACAATCAGAGCTCTGACATTATTTAAAATTTCCCCAGCCATAAAAAAACATATCTGATACGCAGTAAATTAGAATCAGACTTTGTTAACAAAATTTAATAATGGACAAATTCAAACTTGTTATTTATTTGATGGTGATTTATCGTGAATTTTTCCCATGCAGCGTTGATGCGGTCAGTGCACATTTTTCCGGTATACTTACTCTGTGGTCTAATTTGTGAACGTCACTACAGTACACATCCTGAAATTATTTTAAAAAGCTGGTTGGAGAATGTAAATTCGCTGCCTAAATTCATCGTATACAATGATCGTCTGGGATTTAAAGCAGTTATTATTTTAAGTGCAGTTATGCTACGGACAGAAGAATATTATTGCCGAATTAGAATTAGAGTTTAAGAACGTTCTTCCTGCTGACCTGCAAACTGAATCGCTCCCATTTACGTATGAAGCAGAACTACCTCTGAATCCTGTTGCTAGGATATTAACTGCGTCTAAAGAATCATTCGACTGTACGACAGAATCCCCGATTGTCGCTGTTCAAACTGTTATAAGCACTGAACCGGAGTCAGGTGAGATTTCCATTTAATATAGTTTCCTTTATAACATTACCTGACCGGATTGCATTTAATTGATCCCTTCGTTATTTTGTGGATCATAGTATGTGTTATTATGTCGTTTCTTTGAACAGACAAAAAGAAGAACGTTTATCGCGTAACTTGCAATCTTCATGATGATAACGGCAAATTCCGAGTTTCCCGTGTCGGCTCATACATACCGCAATATGCCCAATTATACTCGATCCGTTTTCTGTTAATGCAGACACGTGTGTCCGATATTGCTGAGACCAAATGGGGTGAGACTTTCTCATGGTACATACCATTAATCTATCGGTCATTGCTGTGTACAAGTATGTTGTTGTTCATTGCTGAATATTAGTGCTTTTATTTCATTAAGTCGTATAATTGTCGGTCACAGGTCACTCGTACAAATTCTGTAGTATCGGCAACGCGGAGATAAACGAACCAGTATATATAGTGGGAACACTGTATAAAGAGATGCTGTTAAAGCCGAATATCATCCGCACATTGTGCCGCGACCCTGATGTATCGGCGCAACCCGTTGTACCGAGATATGCTAGCGATGACATTCTGATGCTGGAGGATGAATCCCAGAGAATCGCCGTGAGCGGGATTCTAAACAAGCAACAAGTTGTAAGCGGTATTGTAGTGGCGGTGGCCGGTCGGGTGAATGATCGTGGAGAGTTCATTGCAACGGATTATTGTTTCACTGGAATGCCTCCACAGCCTCATTTCACACTTCCAGATGCTAATCGGTACAGTGTATCACCTTGTTATCTTTATAGAAATAAAATAAAAAGCATAATGCTTTTCTTGCAGTTACGTTGCATTCCTTACGCGCAATACGCAATTAACAAATAATTTCAGTCTTTACCATTTCCTGTTATTTTAATGCCGTTGTTTTATTTTTCGCTACATGACTAATTTTTCAAACAAAATTAGACGCGAACACTGAGCCGCCTTAGTGTTAAGGGAAATGTGGGGAAAAAATGAAGAATGTGGATGAAACTCTGGAACAACTCTTAAGTTTAAGTGATGCTATTCTGGCAGTAAACTTTGGATGGCAAAATTTCGTGTATTTTTCTCTCTATAATTATTTCACATAGTAACGGGGCTCATAAACTGTTTTTTCACATTCACAGCGCAATGTAGACGTATATATTATGCCCGGAAGTAAAGATATAGCCAGCTTCATGATGTCACAACAACCCACTGCATCCCAGTATGCTACCGTTGTGTTATGCATCTTCTGGTCTTCATCTGGTTACCAATCCATTTAAGTTCGATGTGGACAGGGTACGGTACATGAATTATGCTTTATTATTCGCGTTTTACGTAGCAGGATTTTGCACACTGCTAAAATATGTTGTTTTCTGACAGAATACTCGGACGTCTGGGCAAAATGTTAACGACATTTACAAGAACTGCCGTGTAAATGATTTGTTGGACATTCTGGAGCAGACCTTACATTGGGCCACATGGCGCCCACGGCACCAGACACTTTAGGTAAAAATTGTTTTTCCACCAATTCCTGTTCGTTGACTCCTAGGTATTTTCCGTCTGTAAAGGATGTTATGGATTTTCCGACTATCTAGGATGGCAATGTGGCCATGTATGATCGTCACTTGTTACCATAATCTCACACAATGAATTATACATCCGGCCCAGATCTATAAAAATATTTAGATCAATATTTAGATATTTAGATCAACGAGCCATACAAAGTAAAGCAACGTGTAACTAACATAAATGCAATTGATTGTTGCCAACATAATTGTTGATTTTCTTATGAAAACATAATAAAATCAACACGCCTTACGCAATTGTCCGATGACGCCACTTGAAGGTGTCTTATCGCTAGCAGATGCCGTGGATAATTGTCCCGGCGCGTTGTCGGCTGTTTTACAGGTTTCAGTTGAAGCTTTCATGGAAACAGGCTGCACTTCCTGCAAATCTGGAACATTAGGGCTTTAACAACTTCACCTGGAGCTATCTTATCGTTAGCAGAGGTGCGTGGCTGCTCCGACCCCTGTTCATCCACATTGCGGGCATTAGTTGCTGCTGTCGGCTCATTACTCTGCAGTTCCGTAGGTCCACCGCCTTCCGCAACAACTGGTTCACCGGCTTCCGCAACAATTGGTCCACCGGCTTTCGCCACAACTGGTCCAGCAACCACTCCATCATTCGGTAATGTCCGCGTTGTCCGATCTTGTACAACCACCACTGGAACAAAGGACCGTTCAGAAGCCGTCGTATCAGGTTCGACTACTTGTGGTGCTTGCTTGTGTTCAATATTTTGGTCGCTGGCGTTGCTGACTGACGAGGCTGGCGCTTTTTATCAAATTAAAGCAATCAGTCATGTTAAATACTGCGCTCATGGTCGTAATATTTTAGTACTAGATATGTAAAACAAATTACAACGCTATTCACCTTTCGTCCATCGGGAATCCCGTTAATGTTGCCGGCGACAATGGCCGCATGCCAGTTGATTGTTAAATCTTTCCACGTTTTTCCGCTCGGAATGGTGACTATACGTTTCAGAACTGTGTGCGTAAGCCGGTGGCCACTCTTGATACCCACTTCAACTGCATGAGATGCGATAGCTCTCAGAAGGTTCAGTAATTCCAACGATTCCGATATGAGACAGTATGCTGCTCGGATTATAAACCGCCAGTCATTTCCAAAAAGCGAAATATTCCCAGTAACGACTTTCATTCAGCTAAAGAGCTTCTTTTTCCGCTCCTGTGTCATTGGTGGATCCAGTCTGACTCCGATTTCATTAACAAACGAATGTCCAAAGTCCTGATCGGGATGTGGTGCCACCGGATTCAGACCCTCCGCCATAATACGCAACGCTTGTTCCCTAGTATAACAGATTAAATAATCCCTGTCGTGTTGGATCTCTTGCTCTTTGATGTTCAAAAGCTTGGCCAAATGAAAGGTCATTTCCTGTTCCGTTAAATTCCGGAAACAATTCATCTGTTAAAATTATAATCACTGAAACATTTGCAGCGACACAAATACTAAAACTATACCGTATTTCCCGCAAATGTTTGCGAAAATTAGCAAATAAACATATCCACCCACTCACCTCAATTATTAACTGTAGAAAAAATTTTACTCCGTCCGGCGCCGTCCGTCAAACTGCCTCCACAACATGCCGCCCTGTTCACTGGCTTTGTTACTAATCATACTTTCGTATTATTGATGATTTCCTTATTATACAGTTTACTAATGTCCTATAAGTGACAAACGCCGTGCCAACAAACAATTCAAGCTGAGAACTATCTTTATGGGTACGCAGCCATTCGTCCAGTTTATCCGCATTGTCAATGTGGTCGGTGCCCGGAATCAGTTGGGCAAAAAGTTTTTCTTTCATGTTGGTTTTGAATATGGACCATGTTGAAAGCGACTTTCGAGTCTTCTCAATAAACACCTGATTCAGCTCGCGTAAACAGGGAGAGTCGGTCTTAATGGTGATCTGGCTTCGTAAATCAACATTTACGGCTTCATCGATAAGTTTGGCCGCTAAACGATCTTCCATTATCTTGAAATAAACGTTATCCGGATCAGTTTCTTTTAGCAGTTTCTTCAGCTGATCGCTACTAATACCGGGTGCCAGGACGCCTTGTGCACGGGACATGATCTGTAAACAAAACGTAAAAAAATCTTAAAGACCAAAACCTTAAAATCAGCACACAAAAAGACGACAAAAAATCCACTAACAAGTGGGTAAGTAAGTGCCGTAGAAAATATGCATGCGTAACAAATTTCATTTGGTGGAAAGTTGCACACAGAATACTCTACTTATTTAATGATTAGCAGTCCTTTGAGTCACTCACCTTCAATTAATTAGACAGGAATCATTTTTATCCGTCGAAACATAGTCGGTGAAACTACAAACCAACACAAACAAGAAAATTTATGACGTTATTCTTAACTGAGACGCAGGAACACTCGAGCAAACCGCATATTCTCAACCCATATGCAGGAAGACTGGAATAAACTTCACAATGACAATGCCGTTTGGCGAAAAGTGCAGCCTAAATCCAAAAACATGTTTTAACGCTACCATCATATATGAGAGTCGAAGATTACAACTAAATTCAAGAGATTTATTAATATTAACATCACGGAAGGATACGAAAACAATACGCATTGGAAGGCAATTGCCCCAGGTAGCCAGCTGTGTTATTATGGTCCAGCTGCTTTTAACCACCAGTTAACCTCACAGCGTAGCCGTTACGTTTGCACAAGGTCCGCCATACTGACCATGGACCAAGAATGGCCAAATTTTTCTCTTGATTGATAATCACGGTGTTCAACAATGTTGGATTTGTTTTTTGGTATCCCGTTACCTATTATTTTTTTCCGCTGATTTAGTAGGTGGCAGTTATCATGTTGTAAAGATAACTGGTAATAATGACACCAAAGAAGAAACCCCGTACTGACAGTCCATCCAGTACCGACAGAAATGCAGCGGCTGGAAGAAAATCGGTGATAACGGTCCACCTCCTGAAGACGACCTCAAGACAGTGAAATTGCTACGAGACTTCAGCCCCCATCCCGCCGATGATTTCGTAACTGTTGAGTCCGTACAGGATAGCGTAACTAGCAGTAAAGGAGCAGATACAAAAGACAACGCGGAAAAAAGGCTGCGGCAAATGCCGCTGAACCATCCATCACGAAGACCACAGGTCACACCGCTGGTCTTGCAGCATCCGTTGCAGGCGCTGCCGATGACGGCAGTCCATTTCTTCCCAACCATACATACCTGAAATATCAACAGCGCGGCTTTATGAAGGCAGTCTTCAACCTCCGCCATGCAACAAACGCCCGCCATCGTGAAGACTGCAAATACCCTACGACAGAGCAGTTTCGTGTCATGATTGAAGAGTTTTAGACGCTGTCAAAACACAAGAGTTGGATGCGAAAAGTAAGAGCCATCAATTCTTTCACAGATGATTTGAAGACACAAGCCGCGGAATTTGAACGATACTGCAAGTATCCAATGGATGAGAACGGGCAGACATTGAAGGACTTTTTGTCGCGACATCCCACCGTCCATTATAAGCTGTTTAAATATTACGTACTCAACGAGACCCGTTTCAAGTTTGTGGTACGACATATTTTACCAGGTATGTATCAAGATAATAGAAATTAAAAGGTTACCGAGCAAATTACTTATCATCTTCTACGTACAACAGCGTTCATTCGATATGCCGCGATCCTTTTCATACGTCTCACCATAATCATAATTACATTATTTATTATCCTTAACATTTTAGAAGTGCTGATACAGTTACAATATATCTGCAAACATCATTTTGTTACCCGCAACATAATTTTTATAGCCTTACGAACTAACAAGTATCTGTTGGATCTGTCGATGCCTGCTCGCGTTACAAATGAAGGAATGTACACGTTTCTATAACCACCAAAACCGAACCGGGGAAATCGTTCCGTATGTCTGTGCGCCCATTAACTTATCCTTGACAACCAAACGGTTGGTCGAACATGCAATACGTGAGTAGTCGTTCGTCATGCAAAACGTTATTTATACCTTGTTGTGCCTATAGACGACATGTGATAGTAATTATAAAGACAATATCGTACCCCTATTTTCAGATTAAAGACGCATGGCCTGAGCATTTTGTCCGCATGTATTCGACTCTGACCTGGAAGCAACTGAAGTATGCAGTCCACTCTCGTTTTGTTACGTGGATCGTACTAAGCAAGATACTAAAGTGAAAAAAGAAGAACAGGCGGAAGAAGGACATACACGCGATTTTTACCAGTGCAAGTTGCCTCCCGATATGGATATCAGTCAACTGAGTCCGGAAGAACTGAAGAAACTGGAATGGAAGCATCTCGTGACGGGCGTGCAGTATGCATTAATGCATCATCAGTCGGGGCAAGTTATCATAAATGTAGGTACACATGCATACTACAATAGAAAGTAAAGGTCAACAAATTTATAAATTTATTGTGCACAAATAAATAAAATAAAACTATTTATAAATTTATTTATCTACAAGCTTATTTTCTATGAGATTACCATAAAAATATGCTTATGCATTGTTAACCGTCTGCGCAGTTTTTATGCATAAACATCCGGTATATTATATTATATACAGAACATCCGGTATATTATACTAAAAACGCTACTCTGGCTTCTGTTACCCGACGACACTGACGAAGAAGAGCAAGTCAGAATACGTGAGCTGTTTACGAAGGACGACGAATTGCACAAGGTTGTAAACGTCCAATTCACAGGATCCAGGACAAAATACGGCGGTGGCTTTTGCGAAACCACAGGCGGATGGATAGACACTTTTCTGCAAAAGACCTCGGGTCTGCAGAAAAAGGACACTTTTGCCGAACGGTCGAATTTACGCATCGATCATTTGTGCTACTAGTATATCCGCACACACGCGAACGATAGGAAGAAAAATTTGCTACTCAAACAGATTATATAAATTATATTATTATATTATATCTGCTGTTGTACCGTGTGCAAGCGGCTTCGGCCCCTTACCATGCCCCAATCATCAGTGACCGCACAGATAAGATTCCGTTACAAGGAAGAAATCCCGTTCAGGCCAAGGAGATGGCGCAAGCATATTACGGTCGTGATGCTGCTAGGAAGCTGTTGCAAATGTTTCGCTTACAAATACGTTCCAAATTTCGGCCTTTTTCGGCAATTGAACACTCGTTCGGGTTTGGAGTAGCCCTGGAAGCCGCATTTCTGACAGCTCACAAATACCACGCTCTTCAGACAGATGGAGCACCCTTCGAGTCCATATATGATTACATGACGAAAATTGCGCTACCCATCTACAAAGTATGGTAGAAGCCTGTGAGCGGGCAATATATTAAATATATAACTCGTGGGTATTTTTTTACGAAGTTATCCAATTGGTGACCTTTTTATGTTCAACTCGCAACGCATCATGTATGACATGTTAAAGTGTACGAATTTTTGTATACAAATAATGACACAATATGTGCAACTTATTTGTGACGTGTTCACACAGAACATTGCGAAATGGAATTCGAGATTGCTCATCATTATGTCAGAGGGACTGCGTTTTTCAAGAAAGTCGACTATGCGACAGAATTTCTATGGCACACAAATCAGGCAAGTGTACGAATTTTTGTACACAAATAATGACACAATATGTGCAACTTATTTGTGACGTGTTCACACAGAACATTGCGAAATGGAATTCGAGACTGCTCATCATTATGTCAGAGGGACTGCGTTTTTCAAGAAAGTCGACTATGCGACAGAAGTCGACTATGCAAATTGTGGGACACAATGTGATCCGCAGCAGTTCGTCACGGCACCCATCCCCCCGGCAGCAGTAGCAATGGCACCTAAGAAACCACAAGTGATCATTTCAGTGCTGGCAGCGGCTGTTATCAACCAGCAAATAATCCTCACCGCACGCAGCCACCGACTTCGCAGAGTTGGACGTTAAGTGTTGTCCGTTTATCGAGCGATTGTCTGGATTCCCAATGGCCTTACCAGATCGAGGTGAAAGCGTAGTAGGGTGTTGATTTCTTTCGCGAAGCATACCGGTTTTATTTGAACCTACAATGGTCACAGAAATTTGTTTTCTGTTTTAATATTTTGATGTCTCAAACGTATTTGTTTCTGAGGCAATTCGTGTCAAAAATGAAATATTACGTGATGACAGTCGTACTTGTAAGCTCTATTGTTTCTATTACAATATTTCTATTGATATTTTTCTATTAGAAACACCAATAATTTATTTTTTTTAGTAATTCTACGCGATAATTTGCGATTAAAGCGTCATAATTCCTTTATCGGTACGAGACTGCGAGGATTGTAACAAACCAATCGCCTGGTAAGGAAATTCATGAATAATTTACACGCCAGTTCTGACCGTAATTAATGGGCTTATATCCCATAGTTATACCACTGTGGATCGAAAATTTACAATAACAGTTTTAAACGACATTATGCCGAAACGTGCGTATGTATCGCACCCGGAAATCTGGGAGTGTGACATTTCGCCGCAATTAAATTCGACGCACGACTTTTCGCCGCGAAGAAATTTCGCCGCGGGACATTTTGACGCTGGGACACTTCCGTTAGGGACAATTAGCATTGAGACATTTTGACTTTGCGACATTTTGACGCATGACGTTTGGTCGCGGACACTTCGCCGCAGAAGCATTCGACACGCTTAATTTTCGCAGTTTTTCTGGGTTTCTTGGGGGATTTTCTTAAGTCTTATGGTCTTCTTAAGCTGTTCTAAGGCTATTCTTAGGTTAGCCTTAGGTTATTCTTAGGCTATTCTTAGGTTATTCTTAGGTTTCTTAGGCTATTCTTAGGTTTCTTAGGTTATTCTTAGGTTTCTTTGGGTTTCTTAGGTTATTCTTAGGTTTCTTTGGGTTTTAGCTTTGGTATTTTAAAGGTTTTCCTGCTAAAATGGACTTTTCGTCAAAACAGCTCTGCGGCGAAATGTTTCGGCGCCGAAACGGCCGGACGACGAAAAGTCTCGCGGCGTAATGTCCTGCCGGTTAAATGTCCGGCGACGAAGCGTCGCAAGGCGAGATGACCTTGCGGCGAAATGTCTGCGACCAAAAGTCCTGCAACGAGTTGTCGGTGGCGAAATGTCGCGGTGCCGTATGTATACTGAATTCGCCAGCTTATTTCTTCCTATTGGAACTCAACTGCACGATTTGACTTCTGCGTTATGCTTGTTCCTTGATTCGTGTTTCCGTATAATTATGCTGTTTAACCTGTTCATATATCAGTAATGGCCTGTGGCACACATTCCTGAATTTCAAACGCCAATTAGTTTGCGAACTATTTGATCGTCCAGCAATGTGTTAAGGCCCGCTGTGTATATGCTGAAAATGGCAAGTACAGATACGTATTAGTCAGCGGATACATCCGAAAAACGTTCCAGTTTCCACATTTCCGCCAAGCAGCCTACTGGTATTTAAAATTTTGTGTCTTCAAACTTTTTGCGTCAATTTTTGCGTCAAGTTTTGCTTCAGGTTTTGCGTGTAGAGAACGGTCTAATGGTTTTGATGAGTATCGAGCTGACAAAAACGAAAAAACGGCGGAGTAAGGTTTGTCTCATCAACGGAACAGCACCAGTCTATTAAAGTCCTGGCTGACATGGACTTTTCAGTTTTCAGTCGCACGAGAGTGGTGGGAAGGCCTTAAGTAAGACGCAAAGAGGGTTAGTTTCATCGGAAGCCGGTGAGGGCCGGTGGGAAGAAGCTGGGCACGTCGTAGTCCAGCGCGGCGTGGACGCTGGCGTTGTCGGCGTTGCGGGCGTCCTCCCACAGGAAGATGAGGCCCAGGCCCTTGGTCACGCCCAAGGGGAAGGCGCTGGGGCACAGCTCCACCACCACGGACGCCCCCGGCGCCGTGAAGCTGACCTCGGCGTCCGCCGGGCCGCTGCCGGCTTCCGCGCCGCGGTACAGCAGCACTGCTAGAAGATTAGAACACAGCATTATGCATTGGAAAACCGGACGGTGAGGCGTCGCTACCGTTGCTGGTCGGTGGCGCCGTCGTCGGCGAGAGATCGGGAGTGGCCAGTGGGATGTCCGCCGCGTGCGTGGCGGTGGCGACGGCGCTGTCATGGGGAGTGGAGCAGACGCGGTTGGCGCCTATCACAGCGGGGTCGGCCACCAGCAGGTAGTCCATGGGCCGCAGCACCAGGTAGGGAAAGGTCACGCGCACCTACAACGTTTTTAATAAGCGTAAGAACGGGACGCGGTACTGAATGACAGAATACTAATATTATACCTTGCCGGTGGGCGAGGGCAGCCGAATGGTCCAGCGGCATTTCAGGCCGAAGACGTAGGGCCGCTGCGGGAAGTCGGCCGGGTAGGTCAGGTTGCCCAGGACGCGCGCAGGGTACTGCCGCAGCGAGGACTCAGCAGAGCATGGCGCCTGCGATCGGCAGGTTATTTGTAAACTACTCAAACTACCGGTCCGGATACTTTGAGTCATACTCATAAACGACTCCTATGCACCGGTACGGATATTATAGGTCACACTCATAAGCGACTCTGCTTACTCTAGTGCTCATGGCTAGCACAGCAGCTGCATGTACCCGTATATCTGTGCATATATGGGTGACCTTTGACGTACTTAACAGGCAGCTGCCGCTAATGAGTACTCACTTATCAATTAACGCAGTTAACGGTCATTAGCCAAAAAAATTCGTTTGAGAGGGAATGTTCAGTGCAGCTATCTTACTGCTTTGCAAGGACGCAACGGCGACGGCGCCGATGAGCAGCTGCAACCGCACCACCGGCACCGGCGAACTGGACACTGATAACCGCCACCTGCTTACGCAGATAACGCTCACTCCTCGCAAGTCGACTGGCTAGTAGCTGGTATAGCGCGGCACAGCTTATATTTATTTTTGACTGAGAAAATAGACGGTGAAGTATGGAGAGTTTTCTGGCTGACTGTCGGCGCTGCTGGATCTTTCAATGTACACGAGCAACAGATTATAGTTCAGCCGAAAGCAGGCAGAACTTTGGAATGAGCTCCATCGCAGTGCTTGAGTTAGCTGAGTGAACAGTAAAGCGTGAAATTAATAACAATAAATTGAGTAAATTATACAAGTAAGCTGTTAGTAATGAGTGACTTTTTAACTTTTCTTTAGCTAATAAAAAATAAGCTAACAGGATGAAGTTGAATAGGGTTATGAATTGTTTGTTAGGTGAATGAAATTTCCCGTCTGTCATTTTATAAATTGATTATTTTATTAATTAATATAATAGAATAAATTATAACTAATCGATAGTTAGTACTGACTGAATGAGTGAGGACGTTGAATACATTAACTGTATATCCATATCAGTATTTTTGCCTAAGCGACGATGCGGTGGAGCGCAGCGCCGTTGCTGAGCGCACTTCCGGTCGGCTTGCTGCTGCAGCTGCTGCCCACCTGGCTGCTGCTCCTCTCCGACGCCGTCACCGCCCAGTCGCAGCAGCTGCAGTGCGGCTCGCCCAAATCCTTCGACGTCATCGCGCTCTGGCAGCAGTTCAACCGCTCGTACGACACCTGCGCCACCCGACTAATCCATTATAAATTATTCATACACCTACATGTAATTTTCCTAATTAATGACCCCAACCCCATCCCGCTGCGCTTCGTCTACCTACAGATCCTGGACAACAACCGGCGCCTGTGCAGCTTCAACGCCGGCACGGACGCCGACCTCTTCCTGTGCGCGGGGGACGTGGTCGGCCAGGATTCCTGTCAGGGTGATAGCGGTGGGCCGCTTTTTGCCTGGGACACGGGGAACAAGGTGTACTACTTAGCCGGCATCGTTTCCTTCGGGGAGGGCTGCGCGCGCGGCACCGGCGGTCAGTACACCAAGGTGCAAAAGTACCTGCCCTGGATCCGGCAGAACGGCCAATCAACTGGGCTCGGTATCGTCTAAGAAGGAAACATATGCAGTCCAGTCCAATAATCCACCGGATGTTTTATTCAGTCAGCTGGTATATGCGCCGGGGCATTGTTTTTACACATTTCCGGCGTGCTATATATGCCATCCAAGGTGACCTTAGCCGGCGAGGTTTTATTTTTGCACGAATTTTTTATTGCAACATTTTGTACTGCTCAAACGTAGATTTCTTCGTATCTATATTGGATGATCAATCGCTGTGATAAAACAGAGATGCTGACCGAATTATCTGTACTTGCCTATGTATCTGTATAAGTATTTTAACTTCAAAATCATTACAGTAAGCATTGTACATTACTCATACGACAAATGTACACAACTATCCCCAGTCTCCAGTAGTCAACATACAAACAAAGGTTTTAAAAAAAAACTTTCTATCACGATCCATGCACAAAGTGAAAATAACCATTAAGTGTGACTGTGTGAGCATCGAAGTGACAATCATAATTTACTGCAGAACTCAGCACAAATAGACAGAGAGCCCTATGATATCGATAGTTAATACGATTGGCGTATAGGTCAGCTCCTGCTGCGCGGCTCCTGCTTCTCCCGCGTCCACTCGCCTGCCGTCCCGTGGACCGTCTGCGTAGCGGAATCTTTATGGTCCAACGCGACGCTCTGGTCGCTGGCTTTCCGCGGGAACTCGGCGCTGAACTGGCTCTCCACATCCTGCTCCGCCGGCGTCGGAGCGGACCCCGGTCCCGGCTGCAGCAGCCGCGTCTGGGTCAGCGTGATGCCCAGCGCCCCGAGTGGCGCCGTCAGGACGATGCACAGCACCGCCGTCGTCAAGATCTGCATTAATGCGTGTGAAGCCGTATTCCTTTGGGAGTAGGCGCTTACTGCTAACTTGTACGGGCTTCCTCACCTGAATGCCGATTCTCTGCACGGACAGCATGTATTCCTTGTCGAGGGGAATTGAGTGTGTCCCGGCTAGCGCCAGGACGGTGTAGTCGTAGACGCTGGAGCCCAGCGCCGCCTGCACCGTGGCCTTGGGCACCCAGGCGATACCGGCGAACACCCGCTCCTTCCAGCTCAACGCCCCGCCCATCGACATCACCAGCAGCGTCAGCAGGAAGCGCACGCTGGCGCCGATGCATATTACCGCGATGCTCAGGCCTGCAACATCACCACGCTACACTCACTGCAAAGGTCATGGGTTATTCTTAGCGTACCGATGGTGTCGGCTTGGATTTTTGACAGCGACACCGCCGCGCCGATAAGTCCGAAGAGGACGGGTTGAAAATACCTCCATAAAATGCCGAATTTACCCGATACCTCCTGTACAAGTAATTTATTTGTAAAAATAAATAATACCGTAACTGTTTTAATAAAATATATTCAGTACTGAAAAGTTATATAGAAAATTAAAGGTGGAATTACCTTGAGCGACGCCGGATCATCATGGGCCCAGCGAATTCCGGCCACAAAGGCCATCAGCAGGCACGCCAACGGTCCGGCGCCGGCGTAACCGAAGGCATTCCCGCCGAACACCGCCACGATGCCGGCGGTCAGCAGGATGACGAAGCGGTAATCCGCTTTGCGGGGCTGTAACATTTCGTCGATCGAATCAACAATGCTGCATGAGAAGAGCGTGAAGAGACACCTACATGGCAATCGTGCGGGAAGTACCAGACCAGCAACCCAACCAGGGTCCCATAGGTCACTCCGATGGCGATCTGGATGGGCGCCAGGGCAACCTGCATGCCGATACCTTCTATACAACCAAGCATCTCTTACACAAATTGTACGTGTCGGGGTAGCAGTGAATCAGCTATGTCGGTCTCAAAAATTAAGCCATGCATATCTCAGTACTTGCTATAACAAAACGAAACCGCGAACACCGCTTTGGTCTTACCGGACGAGAAGCCGGCACTGACCAGCACACTCATGACGACGATAACGTAGACGTTCTCGATAGAAGCGGCGGCCATCAGCAGGATGGGCAGGCCCCGCTCCACGCCCAGCCCTTTCTCCTGCAGCACCAGCATCTCCGGCACCAGCACGGCCGGCGAGACGCCGCACAGCAGGAAGCCCAGGACGAAGGCCCACAACCACGGCAGGCCCAGCAGGCAGTGGACGGCCACGGCGCCGAGGAGGGACTCGAGGGTGGCCGGGAGGAAGGCCAGCAGCAGGATGCTGCGTCGCAGCCGGCGCAGCACCACGACATCCATGCCCAGGCCGGCACGGATCAGGATCATTACCAGGGCGATGCTGCGCAGGGCCGCCGACCACCCGGCATCAATGTGCGACGCCACGCTGATGTGAGGGACGTTCTGCAGCATAAAGCGATCAGCATTCCTATAAAAAAATACTAGATTGATATATGTAAAAAATGCATAAAAAAGATACTCAATCGCGTACCTAATAATTCCGGCAAGCGCAGTTTTAGCCCGATCTCCCCGCCCAGCATGGCGGCCATGCTGACCAGGCACAGTCCCCAGAAGTTGCTGCCGGGCAGCGCCTGCTGCTTGAGCAGCGTGAGGACGCTCAGCCAGGTGAAGGCCACGCCGGCCAGCTTGGTGGCGTTGTAGGCCAGACGGCCGTGCGGCGGGCACTGCAGCGCGCGCAGCAACCGCTGCCGGCAGCTGGGCCGCTCCACTTCCGGTCCGTACTTAAGCAGCACTTTGTCGCGCAGACCGCTGACCAGCGGGTAGCGCATCCAGCGCGCCTTAGGCTGATCCGGTCCCGGGGCCGGCTTCATCGGATTCAGCTCCAGGCAGGGGCCGTCTGTGTCCTGGACACTCGCAACAAGCGTCGCCGGTTTCATCGCTCTACATGTACAAGATCGATTGGCAATATCACACTGCACAGATTGTGTCGTATTCATGTACCGAATCATACACGTCTGCTTGCCCGCGCCAATCAGACTGCCATATAAATGATTATGCGATCGATTAGTGGAAAGGAAATGAAAATTAATGACTAAGTAAATGTGGTCCTAAATTCATAATAACAGCGGCCCTAATGCTAATGAAGAACGACTCGGGCATGCTACCATTACGTAAATTTACGTTGCACCAGCATGGACTCCATTCATGACGTCAAGGATAACACCTACGCCGCGGCCGCGGCCGCGGCAATGCGGAGAATACTCAGAATAGTCAACTGGAAGCCAACAACAATCATGACACAGCGGTTCGCACGTCTGTCTCTCATAAAACAATCCTATTCTAGTTAATCTATGTAAGTCAATAGTGATACTGCATGTGTTAACGTTGTGCCGGCGCATTATTGGTCGAAGACTCAAAACAGCCGGAAGCTGCGGCTAACGTTGTATTACAGTGCACGCTGTTCCTGTATTTATTATCATGGGAGGCACACTGAGATATGGCTTGCAGTCGGCAGATCATCCCGCATAAAGAATTGAATCTTCACGATGAAAACTGCCTACAGCGCCGATCAAGAACAGGATTGGCGAAAGAATTCGGCAGTAAATGTCAAATGATACATCCTACCTACTGTACCTGCACTCGACAACACTCATAGACATACGGTGCATAGGTACTCGTATTGATCTGCCTGTCGAGTACGGCAGTTTCCCGTGTGCCGTATGTGCAGCAGAAGGGGTGACAAGACAAAAGCAATCAACACTGCTGATAAACAGCCTTCGGGAACCATGTAACGTAGGGTGTTGTGTACAGTACATGCTACAGAAGCATCGTAAACTGGCTACTTACCAGCGACAGCGGATATCTGGCGGCCGCTGCACGTCCCGGTTAATTCCTTCCGTCGACCGCGATTACAGTGCAGCGGCGGGCCTTCACAATGGACAACTTCTCTACAGGCCTGCAGTAACAACACCAGCAACAGGTAGCTGGGGAAATATTGGTCAGTGCTTGGCCGACGTCAAACCTATCCCGCAGGAATGGAAAACGGCGGCAGATGACAAGCGAAAAGGAAAGGCTAGCCAGAACAGGATATTCCAGAATATCCGTTTCTGGCAAATTATTCGTTTGGGCTTAGTAAAGTACGAGTACCGATAAGAACGGCAAATGGTCTGATCTTTCCGCAGACGCTTCTGCAGTATTACGGCACTAAAGCAGTTCTGTCGATCCAACACTTCTGAGCCGCAAAGCAAGCAGCACGTGCATGAGTGATGAGAGAAGCAGGCTTCTTCAACAGCAGCATTAAATTCAATCCATTTTCAGTGGACACTGGTTACGCTGGCGATGATGTCATCGACTGAATATACCACGGAGTGGCCGGTCGGATGGGGGCTGCCCCTGCGATACAGGGCGCCTGACACCACGGACAACGGGCAGTACAAGTTAATACTTCTATGCAAGCAGTCAAGATTCCAGTTTCGTGCAGCGCACGTCCAAATGCCAATCTTTGCTTTTCCTTTTCAGAACGCCTGCCATTTACGCTTAGTTGTTTGTTTTTCCACGTCAAAATATGAACTAGAGTAGTACCACTAGAGTATTTGTCACCAAAATTGTTAGCCACATTTAATCATCCAAGTTCAAAACTGCAGTCAGCATTTATGCGCAGTGCAGCATTATGCGCTGATGTCGAGCACTCTGCTCAGGGATCGAATTCTTTCGCGTTTGCAGTAATAAATATTCATTGATCCGATTTCGGATTTCTTCAACTACAGAGTACTTCCCACTCCACGGGATGGTTTCCAAAGGAAATGTACGTATGTGAAGGATTTAGTGGCCGGAAGCGTCACGCGTACCTATATATCTGTATATATATAGTATAACGTACATGTATTGCCTGATATGGTGAACTCAAATGCAGACACTCGTAAGAGGACCATGGTGCTTTTTATTTTGGTCCGCTTTAGGTTTCTGCAGTCATTATGCAGCAGTGCATGTTTCCAGCAATAGTATTATTATGCTGCTCGATGCCTACTCCAGTGTAGAAAGTTTAAAATAAGTACACGGTATTCAGTATAACTATATTGTTTCAATATAACTTGGATTCTACGTACAGTTTGTTATCATAAGCTACGAAACCATCCACGAACCAGAGCATAAAATTAGTAAAAATATCTATATCTCTCCGAAGCTAATCAAATGCGTAGCGTTAAAGGCCGCATACGGTAACTAGCGCTGATACAGTACGACTCGGAGTATAACTGTATAAGTATTTAAGTAAAGTTTTTAAAACAACTTTTTCCCGCTTACACTCAGTACGGTACCGTATGCTGTTACAATTTTGTGTACGGCTCGTCGGCTTTGTAGATGTACTTACTACTTACATCTTATGCCACGAGTTACCTCTCCGGTGCCGATCAATAAAATAATAGCGTAAAATTTAACTTTTCTTATTTAACTTTGTATTACGGCAAGGTCATTGTAAGGCCTTATAAGAAATCCTTCTTCGACCAATATATATTTATAATGCAACAGTAAGAATGTCGTGCTTATCTAAATTCCTTTATGTGTTGTTCATAGAAAACCAAGAATTTGCCAGGGTCGAGAGCGTTAACCCTCCGAAGCAGTAGCGCGAACCAGCGCGGCACGGAACGCGCCCGCCCGGTGGCGGTGGTGGTGCGGCACCCTGAAAGCGAGAGCGCGACGGTGCAGTGGTGCCTGGGCTTCCTGCCGACGCAGCCGGCAGCAGCCTCCCTTTCTGGATCGGGAGCCGACGAGGTGGCCAGCGTGGACTTGCGCTGCGAGCGCCTAGCCCCGCGCTCCTTCCCCTTACACGCGGTCTTTCCGCTCACCAGCGCTGTCGTCAACGTCTGGACCTATCCGGCGGTCGGCCAGCGCGTGCTGGTGGTGCCGCGCGCGGGTCTGGGTCACCGGCGCGATCCGCTGATCCTGCAGCCGGCCACCGTCATCTCCTTCACCGGGTTCGGCGCAACGGGAGCGCTGTGCTGGTGCAGACAGCGGCCGATGGCGCCCGGCATCTCGTCCATCCCCGCCAACTGGTCGCCCACTTCGGCGAGGCTCCGCGACATTCACTACTGGGTACGGTTAAAGCTGGTAGAAGTGTTTGGGAGAATGGCAAGGGTTCCGCTGATGCCGGTACCACGGTTCCGCGGGAGGGCGGGGTCAGCAACGTCGTTCCCAACGAGTGCGACGGTCACGACACTCGTTTAAAAGGTGGGCAGCGACGCCTGCGAAATTGTTACAAGGTCTGCTTATCACGTTGTCCTGATAGATGATGATGATGCAGAGCGGGATGCCGGTTCTGCAGCCCTGTCGCTGGACACCATCGAGGGCATCCTGGAGCATGTAGACATGCTCACGCGGGCCAGACTGCGAAGGTACAGTACGAATGCAATCCCGGGCTGCTAACATTTCGGCCCAGATGTGCAGTTTTTAGGGTCTGTTCAGCGTGGAACGCGCTGCTGACCACGCGACCGGCACTGCGTCAGCACGTGACCTTTGACTTCCGGCTGCGTCCAACCAGCGCCAACCTGTCCGACGATATGTTCCTCCTGGGCCGCGCGCTCTTCCGCTGCTTGACCGGCGACGTGCAGACGCTGACGCTGCGCCACTGGACGCCGGGGTTGGCGCAGATCTACAACGGCAACGCGGACCTCGTCGTGCTGGCCTATATCCTGCCCTTGGTGGTCAGCGGGCCGGTGCCGCGCCTCGTGCTGCAGCACTGCATCGTCCAGGAGGAGATCAGCCTCAACTGGCGCGACCGGCGTGCCATGTACCCGCGGAGAACAAGTGCCGACAACCCCGTCGGCGTTGCGTTGAGGAGTCCGCTGCACTGGGTGAGCCCAATGGTGCTCATGTGTCGCCGGCTGATTGTCCGCGACTACGTCATGCAGGACGTCTTCCGCCGGTTCAAGGGATTTAGCCTGTTTGATCCGCCGTTCCAGCACACGTACACTTGGCTGAAGGGAGCGCGTGCCGTGGACATCCGGGTGGCCGACGCCCGTCTGGACGCTACCAGCGACACCGACACCATTCTGAGTGTGGTCATTCAGGCGATGGAGACGGCCGTGGCGCCGACAGTGTCCGCCGCCATGGACAGCGCCGTAAAGGTCATGCTGGAGTACTGGCGCTCGCTGCCGGCGGAGGAGGCCCACCGCTACTGGGCGGTGGTCAAGGCGGTACTGGCACTGTGAGTCAGGCTCAAAGCTGATGGCCACTATAACTATAACTAGCAGAGCGTTTTGTTGGACTACAGCACTGACCCGCGCAACCCCGCATGGCATCTGCCGCCGGAGTTGGACGGTGCGGAACTGGATCCGGTTGTGGAGTTGGCCGTGCCGGCGGCGGCGATGCGTCTCAGTCCGTTGACCATTCTGGCCATCCACAGCATCTGCGGGCCAGCCAGTGTCCGTGCCGACGCAGCCCCTGGACCATAGTTCACTTATCCCATAGTCCATACTGTAATTTAGTGAGCTTGCACCGGCCATCGGAGTTTATACACGTTTGCCGGCTCCGGCCGAACGTTGACATCAAAAAACGAACGCCTATTTGAGTGGCTGCCTATTGCCGTGATCGGCTGAGGCTGTGTAATCATTACAAATATCTTTTACTTTTATAGCAAACTTGTCAGTGTATTATATCGCCAATCTCAATAGAGCAGTAAAAATATTAGAAACGAATTTTGTGTACCTGCCGATCTGCGTATACAATTGCGAATCATGGGAACCTTAATATTCTTCGTAATGGTCAAACTGTCCCGAACTATTACTCGCACGTTTCATTGGACGGTCCAGCAACAGATTTTACGCTCAATAGCCACAACAGATCATAACTTTGGACACCGATTAATTTCGAATAATAATGCTCTACTGGTTTTTCCTGTAGTGTACTTATGCTTGGGACAAACTTCGCTCAACCGTCTTATTTATTCGGAATCATTTCGGATAGCATGGCGTTCAGACCATCTAGTTCTGTTGCAAAGTGTCAAATGCGCACAAACAACCGAGAATTCAACAAAAACTTCAGATAGCGAAATCGACTAACGAACCGTTCCATCGGCTTACATCAGCTTGAGATCCATAACTATATCACAACGATGTGACCCACAATTTGTTACAACAGTGTAAATTTCCTTTAAGTCAGATACACACTGACAATCATCGAGCATCAACCACGTAGTCACAAGCTTTGCGAGATTCATATAGCTAAAGACTGCAAATCCTTGGTACCGCATTTCCGGTTCTGATACTGCGTCAACTGCTCCCGTAACGACGTCTTCCAGCGCAGCCCGTTGCCTTCCGGCGGAGCCGCCGAAAACCACAGCACTTGCCGGAAGAACGACCTAGAGAAACAGTTGCACGCAATCACCTTGGTGTTTAAATACGCGGCTGTTTTCTTGTTTAAAGCTTGATCTGAAATGCTGTGTATTCTGGAGAATTTTTTATTGTTGTGCGTGTCTGCTGCCTCGAATTCCGAATGTGTGCGGACGTTAAACCATTCAACCTTAAGAACCTCCGAGCAAAAGCACAAGACTGTACATCCACCATACCTGTCCTCCGCAATTCCCATGGCCATTTTCCAGTTGTCCCACACGCCGAAGTCATAGGGATTAAAAAACGGTTTCCCTTCCGCGTGCAGACGCTTCTGTTCCGCTTTATTCAAATGCGCTTCAATACTCGTCTCTCCCGCGCCGATCAACCAGGCGTGCCACAGCAGCAACAGGAACACCGACACACACGCGGCCGCACTGACGAAATACATGTACACCACACTGAAGCGATGCAGACGGTGCTGCGGATTCGCCGGCACGTAGGGCGCCGCGGCCGTCGCGTTCCGCATGGCGGCGTAGATCGCCGGGTGATTGTGCGGGAGGAAGTACAGCTCCCAGAATTCCGGGAAGACAAAATAGCACAAGTATCCCGCGCCGAACGACATGAAGGCCATGAAGAGGAAGAAGTGCCGGTGGTTGTAGTGACCAACGCAGTTATTTAGCCACGCTGCCAACATTAGACGAAATTTAATTTTCCCTTCTTGTACCCGAATTAACACAGAGACAAAGAACTTACGACAGTGGTGGTCCATACGCAGAATACATCGGTTGCACACCTGCGTTCATGAGCGCAAAAGCAAACAAATTATATTAATTAGCGTCATTCACGGATACGTTAATTTTCATGTTTTTCCTTACCGAGCAGTGATGAGTGCGTGGCGGTTTGGGTTTGGCACATTTTCGGCAGATTCCTACCGCCTCGGGAATGGATTGGTCCTGGACAAAAATAATGAAAACACAGGAAATAAATACAAAAGCCTGATGAAAGACGATAAAAAAAGCCAATATACGACAGTGAGTTCTATAAATCTGAGTCAAAACCGGGATCCTCATTTTACAATAAACTGTTACTGCTGCATCTCTCACATCTGGCGGACATCCCGGCCCGGTGACGAGTCCAAGGAAATAGTGGAAAGCGATGCTGAACACCAGGTAGATGGCCACGGGTAAGTGCCACGCCAAGAGCAGCGGATGCCGATACTGCCAGCCAAACAAATCGCTCTTGGAATTTCTATCTTTCTTCGGTTACAAAATTACAAGTTACGTAGCTGATGCGATTTACCTGATAGTACCACGGCATCATTACCACCAACAAAATGATCACGACGGAGATGGTCAATCCAATAACCAGAACAACCATACCCTAAGAAAAATAGCCACCATCCCATTTGTTGCTTTGCACTCTAATTTTCCCAGAAGCGACGCAGAGACGGTGCAGTATCTTAAAACTCGTTCCGATTTATCTCCGAAACGCCTCCAGCCTCTAGCCTCCCAGTTCTATAATTTTCTTCCAAAAATGACTACAAATGCTTACCGGGCCCAGAAAACGCACCCATCCTTTATCGATCAGACGAAAGACTGGTTCCAATACCGTATCAACAGCATACGAAAATGTCAGATGCTCGTTATAACACAGCACCAAGAAGAACAGTCGAACCCCGCAATACAAGCTGGAGAACGGAGAAATAAGGATTTTCAGGAGGCATTTAACCAACTTCATGGATCCCAGCATTCAAACCTCGATTCACAAAGGCCAACAGTAGTTTGGACTTTGGAGTACTGGAGAAGTATCCGTCAAAAAAGAGACTACTCGTAATAACCAGCTGGTGTACTGTACTGCGAAATCTGTATCTGTAGTGTGGACTTCGGAATGTGGAAGATTGAAATTAAAACTGCAACTCCAAGCACTTGTAACTTGCTTTATTAGAATACCTTGGTATTAGCGGTGTACAAAGTTCGGGAGTTTAATGATTAAACTGTTTAATCTGTTAATCAGTTCATCCAAATACCTTGTGCAATTACTTATGCACGACTTGCGCTGAACAACAAAATTAAAATGATTTTTGGTGTTGCAAGGAAAGTGTCAAGTTATCCAGCCCGTGGCGGTCGCCAACGCGACAGACGGGCTGCATCGCCATAAAATGAGCGTACGTTACGTACGCCGTACGGTGTGTATTGTGTTAATAAACAGTTAGGGGGCATCCATAAATTACGTACGCAGAAAACCACGGTTTTTTCACCCCTCCCTCCCCCTTCGTAGCGGTCCGTCACGTTTGCTTGACCCCTCCCCCCCCGGTTCGCTCAATCGTAACACATGGAGCTGACCACCCCCTCCCCCTGGGTTCGCCGGGGCCGTCACAGCTTGTCACGTTTTTTGGACCCGTCCCTCCCTGGTTCGATGCGTACGTAATTTATGGATCCCCCCTTACTGTACTACCGCTGCAGTGATTTGCGGCATTTGCCTCATTTGCCTACGTAGTACGTACCGTACCTGACTATGCCGCATGCAGTGAGAGCGCTCTAAATCGGCACGCCATGAGCGCTCTACATCGGCACGCCATCGTGGAAGTCAAAAATTAAGGAACGAATTTCCACGGGTTCGAGCCCGAGGAAAGGATTTGGAGAGGAAATTGCCATGGATTTCCATGGATTCCGTGGATTTACGGAAATCCAAATGGATTTCCGTAAATCCAAGGATTTCACAATTTTCGTTGGAAAACAGTTTTTTAGCTTTGTTTTCATACAGATAGTTACCCAATGTAACTCGGTTACCAATTAAGCATCATTTCAGTTAATGCATTTAACTGTTAGCTGCAGATTTATAGTGTCAAGCTTGATTCTAATTCCCACGTTTAAGGATGATATCCTGGCCAGACCACTAAGCCAGCTCTTGTTGTTGATAAAATGGAAGCTTATTAACGACTAATTACTGAATACGAATTTACTTTGCTGACTTGTTAAATCGCTTTACTAAAATACTTTTTACTATAAAAAACACAGCTGAAAAGTAAAAAGAAATTGACATTTTTGGTCGTGGCAATATAAACAGTGCATGTTTTGTTTCCATGCCGCCAAAAAAACTGAAAACTGCTGGAAAATGACATGCGTTCCATGGCAAAAAAGTAAAAAAAGTGAGAAAATGCCGGGTCAATTTCGATAATTTCGAAAGTTTTTGTTCGTTTGGAAATCCAAATACAGAAATTTGGATTTCCATTCGAAAAGCGGAATTCCACGGATTTCCTAAATTCCGTTTTCCAAATCCAAGCACGTCGCCTGGAGCATGGATTTGGAAAGCGGAATTCCACCGTGGGATTCCATTTTCCGTGGATCTTCGTTCCTTATCAAAAATATAAAACTTGCTGCTGTAATTGAGGAACCTGAAACAGTGAAGAGTGTCGTTAATGTTTCTGATTATTATACAGCAGTAACTATTGAGTACTTATATGCTCTTATTGATTATAAATTGTATAATAATATATAAAAAAATATATGGCTGGTGTTATGGATGGATTCCTTATAGCCGTTATAGGCTCATGAACCTGTAAAGTGTAAGTACGAGTAAGTAAGTACGTACTTTATATGTTATGATCAGTATTCAGTATAGCGGAGCGGAATGTCGTTTTGCGAATAGAATTACTTCTACAGTTAACTATTACAGATTACTGTACTAAACGTACTTTTATTAACTACTGCTGCAGCTTTTTCTCGTCCCGACTTCCCAGAACTTGGTTATTAATCAGTGCCATTGAATTTAACATGGAGGCTGGACAAGACTTTTTCATAGATACGAATTCTTACGATATTTTTAAGCTTGTACGGCTACAGTTTTTAAGCATGCAGTGTAAGTATTATAAAGTGTAGATATTAGGGGAAATGCTTAATGCACCCGATACAAGGTGCCAAATTCGGGTACATGCACGAATACTTGACATTCTCGCACTTCGAAACACTGTTTGTATCGTTTTATTGCGTTCTGTAACCAAATGTTTTGTAAAATTATATTATGGTGGTGCGAAAACCGTTTGTACGCGCAACATCCGCTTGCGGAGTTATGGATAAAGCAGATTCCGAAAAAGTTAGACGCCATGAGGCGTACTTCGTAGTTCGTACTAAAAGTCTGATTATGAACCGATCTTGAAATTTTGCAAAGCTGCACTTAAGCATAATGCACACACTAGTCAGGTTTCCACCATGTGTTTCAAATTCTGAAATCAATTTCAAAAATTTTAAAAATCATTAATTTTTTTAATTGAAAAAAGTTGCCAGAACTGCTGCGGGTCAACACAACGCGCTACTCTCTATTGTGAGTAGTACTAGTACAGTACAATAAAGCCCCTTGACCGTGAGTAGGGCGATGGTCTTTCTGCTTATGTGCAAAGTTTGAAAGAGATCGGTTGACACTGAGGTTTTTGGTACACCGTCTTGCATTTAAACATTCGGGAATCTTATTTCACCCATAACTTCCCAACCGGCCGGAACTGTAAGTACTGTACCATATAATAGTGTAGAGTACTTCCCAACTGTACTGTACGATATAAAATCATATAATAATATTAGCTACTTCTATACGAGTAATGAGTATCGATTCATGTTACTTTGTAGATTCATGGTGATTAAAGGATGCACATGTGACCACTGACCTCTCTGCTTCAGCCGTTCAACGCATGAGCCAAAGTTGCTGTTGGCATCGGTACGGCGATCGTTTGCACGGAGATCAACGTACAATAAATATTCCTGCATGGTGTCACAGATGAGCCTAAGAACGCCCTCCTTCCGGCGTCGGCTGGTTGGCGCCGATGGCATCAACTACCAGAACACGGTGGTGGTGTGGGTGGAGGGGAGGACGTTCTGGCTGGGATTCATTCAGGACATTCACGGAGCATTCGTCTACATCCACTTCGACTCGTCCCAGGCCGCGGCCGCGCCCTGCTGGCTGCATGCGTCGTGCGTGTGGCCGCTGCAGATGTGGCGCGACAGCCCCGACTACTTCCGGTCGTGCACGAGGCTCTCGGGAGTTGTGTTTGCCGCGCTGCGCGATGAAGACGACGGGCCATTCCGCTTCCGACCGGCGGTGTACTTGGGTGCCGGCGATTTAACGTTGCCCACATGCTACATCAGGCTGACTGGCGAAACAGCGGGAAGTGCAGGCGCATCGCCAGTGGTGGATGAGCAGCGGCCAGTGCAGGTGGTGGACGACGGCCAGGTGATCCACCAGCTGCCCTGCGTGCCCAGCGAGCCGCCGTTGCTGGAGCTGGACAAGACCCACGGACTGCTGTACACGAAGCACGTCATCCCGCTGACCCGAGCGCAGTTGACGCTCAACGCAGCCAGCGACGCCGCCGGCTTTATTGCAGAGCTGCGTGCCGCATACAAAGGTCATGCATTGGTGAAGAGACTGCAGAATCCCTGTCGCTTTCATCTGCACATCGGTGCGGCTGAATGCACCGTGATTATCATTAGCCAGCAGACGGATCCCGCCACCCTGGAGGGGACGCGGCAACTGCTACAGCGGATTCTGGACAAGTACCGATATACTGCGACAGCTGCGTCGTTGCCCGTGCAGCTGCAGCCGACTAATTGCTCTCCGAACGCCGGTCCTTATGATGGTCAACGAGTGCTCTGCGAGTTACAGACGGGTTAGTGATTAGCGTTTGAATAGACATGCAAAATCACTTTAACCAGAGCCGGCCGACACCAAGTCTGCGCTATGCATGTGTATGCCAAATGTAGTCCGAATACTGACTTTTCTTATCAATTGGCTGTGTTCACATTCCTACCGACATAACTACAGCCTTCAGTTGTAACATACAAGTACAGTAATCACTGGCCGAACTACACCAAGTTGATCTACATTATAATATTATTAGGACTAGTTAGCTTGTGCTTCGGACTTGTTAGCGCAGTACAGTGTCAGTGATTATCCAACAGATATGGAAGCTGGCACTAGCGGCTTCCCCACCTGGCCTGGCTTGGGCCGACTGCCAGCGGAAGTCCTGTTGACGATTCTGGCTAACCTAGATGTGCACAGCCAAGCGATCGCCACACGGTAAGCAAACTGTTTAATTAGCCGACAGATACAGCACTCCAGCCACAATATTTGTAATGCAGCAAGGACTTGGAATTCGAACGAACATACCGTACTGTAACAGTAGCCGATCTGGCTGCTGTTCTAGTTCTAGTGGGTTGGCGTGTTGACCGTACCACGATGTTGTGTGGGCTCAGTGGGCTGTTGGGATGAAAGGTTAAACAGGGAGCAAGGTTTAGGCAAGAGTTTAACAAGCGGAACAAGCTGATCCAAGCTGTAGCAAGCTGATGACAAGAATGAATTCTAGAAATTCATTGGAAGAAATCATTAGAGGAATTCTAGAATTCATTAGAGAAATTCATTCTAGAAATTCATCAGAATTCTAGAAATTCATTAGAAGGCGAAGTAGCCGGTAAAATGAGCAGAATTCATAACGTAATGATGAATCATAACAGGGTGGTCTTATGGTTGTACAACTTCTATCGCTACAGTACTGTACCTAGCTTGTGCACATCACTGCCCATGAGGGGTTACCGGCCCCGCTGACAAGCCGTCGTCACAACTCACAGTAAAGAATCAAATGAAATTCAGTGTGTAATTATTGTGGAGATCCAGCTGGATACTATACCTATACAGTAAAATCCTCTACTACATACACCCTCCGTTCTCAGCTCTCCGTATGTTGTAAAGAGGTGTATGTTACACAGGGGCACTGCCCCTGGGGGCGCTCATTAACTTACCCCCAGGGGGCTGGCCATACATTGGTCAACAGCAACTACGCACGGTGCTGCTGATGTTTCGTTTATAAATTCATGCTATTCCTGAGAAAAGTGGCTCTGCAGCGCTTCTTTTACGCATTCCTTTTCGAAAAGCTACCGTATTACTGGCATTTTATGCTTCAGAATGAATCGGTAACCAATAATTTTTAATGCCTTTTTGCTGTTTTACTGTCAGACCTTGTACTTGACAGATCTGAAACACAAACCGGAACTTTCTTTGAAACTTTTTTTGCGCTTATTCGGCCAGCTGTATGTAACGCAGGGGTTGACTGTATGTTAAATACAGTCAGCGGTTCCACGAAAGGTGTATGTTATAGCTGTAAAGGGGTGAATGTTATATAGAGAACTGCCCCTATGTTATAATCCACCGAACAGTCCGGTTCTCAGCCGCACGTATGTAATAAAGGGGTGAATGTTGTATAAGGGTGTATGTTACGAGGGGTTTTACTGTAGCTGGCTATAGGCTATTATAGATACGACTCATACGAGTATATAATTATTACGGTCACTACTCGTACTGGACTTACTGTAGAAGTATATTTATTACGGTCACCTGTCAAATGTACAGACAGATGCAATACGATGCACATTGGCACAACCATTGCTTTTCTGACCACAATGTGCGCCTTGTGGCAGCTGATTGTGGAGGATCCCCGCTGCACGGAGCATATGAGTGTCGTAGTGGAGCAGCTGACAACGGAGAGTCAGATGAGAAGTGGGAAAAGATACGCAGATGATAGCCGCTGCTATCAAGTGGCCCGCCAGCTGACCCGTGCGCTGAGCGCCGCCACGCGCAGTCTCAGCATTGTCGCGCGGCATCCGGCCCCGGCCAGTGACGGCGGCATCGACTGGCTGGCGGTGGGGCCGTCCTGGAACGTCCTGTTCCTGGTGTGCCACCTGGCCGAGACCCTGCAGATCCGGCTGCCTTGGCTGGTGGTCCACTCCTTCCAGATGGAGTACGGCTATATCAGCCGGGAGCAGGGCAACCACTTGCGCTACGTATACCCGGCCGCGCAGCGCCTGCTCCTGCGCCACTGGAGACTGTCCGGGGGCCTGACGTCGTCGCTGCGCACGGTGTTCTACGATAATTACCTGCTCCGTCTGGTGGATCTGTCAGCCGCGGAACAGCGCTTCCTGGTCCCTATCAAGCGCTCCGGCCAACTGGCCCTTGACCGGATGGACATCTGGATGGGCACGCTGCTGGTCAACGGCGCGGACGGCTGGGAGGCCGTGCTCAGTCGTTTCATGTGGGGCCTGGATGCGCACTGCGCCCCCCTCACCGAGGACGTCTACAGCAGAGTGGCGGCGGTGCACCAGCGCTGGCAGCGCAGTCTGCGCTATCCCGACGAGTGGCAGACCATCCGCCGATACCTGTCGCTGTAAGACGGACAGTTACTCTTTACTGTCGCGTACTTTTGCTCTACTTTACTCTTACTTTTTTCCTGCCCAAATCGTTCCTCTTTACTTACTCTTAACTAGTCGCCTGAAAAATTTACTTTACTAAGTACACCAGTGATAAACAGTAATACTTTTGGCTCGCCAAAAATTCGATCAAGAAAAATTGTTTTGCCACGGGAAATTGTAATGCTTCGTCTTAGACCAAGCATTATGTAATCGTATTATGTAGGTACCTTACAGTTATTGCTACAATCTGACTAAATGAGGAGGCTACGGTCTATGTTAAAAAGCCAGCGAACAGCCTTTTTTGCCCGCTGAGGCTGGTTGATCAATGCAGCCTCTCTGTTGTGACTATAAATAGACCGAAGACAGCGCATTCCGGTGCTGCCAAAAAGCGCAAGCGGAGTGCTGCCTTGCTGTATCGATCGATCGGCACATGTGCGTGTGAGTGGGTAAATCCGCTCGCATTCACTACGCACGTATGAGTGTGGCTGTGACAGGCTGTCTGTGCGCGTACTAGCTGTACAAACCGGTTTTCGCTGTCTTCGCTACAACGCATACCCTAAACCCGTAGCTTCCTTTCTTGCTCGCATTGTATGTACCCGCGACCGTTATTTCGACAGCATACATTTATACGACTGCTATTCAATTTAATCTCCTTGATTATATTCTGCAGTATGTACGGTTTGGTCTGAGTTCAGACAACTGCTGGTACTTGGTAGCACCGTTGCAGCACTTAATTCCGTACTTGTAGTGCTGACTGCTAAGACGCTGGCCTGGCTGCAGGTACAACGGGTTCCATGCGGACGGCAGCCCGCGGGCGTGGGACGCTGTGGACCTGCGCAGTATCGAGGTGCGCCAACTGGGCCGACTGGCGCTGCTGGGCATCGACGCGGTCTTTGGCCAATGATCGATGGGACGGTCGGCACGGGGCCAGGGGTTGGGAGGGAGTGGCCGCTCATCGACATTGCGGGCCGGGTCATTTAGAAGTGCCATCGCCTCGCCACTGGCTGTGTTGCACAAAGTGGCCACCGCATCGCGGCACCGTGCCGGTGAAAGCGTCCAGTCCACCGCGGCGGCATCTCCTTGCCCACCGCCCGCTCGCTTCGGCTTCCCCTGCGCCGCGCCGCGCCGACATCGTCCAGATGGAGGAAGCCCGCTCATCTGGCAGTATTCTCTGGCTGGCCCTGGCCGGCGCTGGCTCTCCACCACTGCAGTATCCCCGCACCTTCTTCATACACAATTATCCCCGGGGCCGGCTCACTCAGCGCCCGACACTTCCGTGTTAATTCGCCATGCTACGTTTTTATCACCACCATTTCCATTGTCCCGCATCACGCATGTCCAGCGTCCAGCCAAAACATCATTTCCCAAAAACCATTTGAGATGACTGGTACTCAAAATGCTGTTTTTTCTCTATTTTATTACGGTAATTAAATGATTCTTAGATAGAGAAATTGATCAGATTCAATTTCGATTGAAGAAAAATTACAATCGAGTAACTTTTAAAAAAATTAAGAACAATACATTATACATATACCGAAATCTGCCATTTCCACCGGCATGAAAATGGTAAATATTTGACGACGGAGTGTCGCTCTCTTGGCTGCTACTGATGCATCCCTTGTGCTGCGGGTTTGTTCCTCGTGGCTCCTGCTACAACTTAATTAGCTACACATGCCTATCTGTTCATCGCATATATTATTAATTTTTAATGTTTAAATTTTAACTGTATAGTAGTGTGCCCGCGCTTGCACTTTTGTTGTTATGGCGGCTATTGCCCAGTAAACATTTCTTATTAATTTATTGCTTATTATTTTTTTTATTTTATTGATTATTTACATGTTTGTGTGTTGCAAGCGGCGAGTACGTGGGCGTAAATCCCAAGATCAACAACATGATGTCCGGCTACCGGGCGGCCAAGTACGACTTGCTGCTCGTCTGCGACAGCGGAATTATGAGTCCTTCTGCCGGCCTTAACGCTGCACAGTGGAGTGAGTATACTCGTAATACGAGTATACTCACTCCACTGTGAGTATCACTCCACACTCACTATCGTTGCTCGTTAGATTTATGTTCGCAGTTGTTCAGTGCAGTGCAAACTGCAGTCCGCGGGCTGAAGCAGCTGTCAGTTGCCCCATGTCCAGCTCTTGACGTCATGCCAGTTAATCGGCTTACCTGCAAATTAATTAGAATTAGAATTAATTAGCAATTCGCTAATGAATCACTCATCCGGCCAAAGTGCTGATTGGTAATGATTAAAACTGCACTAATAATAATTAACTACATCCGTAACCACGTATACACGACCGCGGCCTTCGGCATCGATCGGCACGTTACAAAGTATTGAAAATGTAAGAAGCATGTGCAAAAATTAATCGCAGTCAATCCCACCAGCGTGATCGGTATACCTCGTATTCTTTCATATACGATATTTCTTAGATATCTTAGGCTTCTTAGGTTTCTTAGGTTTCTTAGGTTTCTTAGGTTTTCTTAGGTATTCTTAGGTATTCTTAGGTTTATCAGGTTTCTTAGGTTTCTTAGGTTTCTTAGGTTTCTTAGGTATTCTTAGGTTTCTCAGGTTTCTTAGATTTCATAGGTTTTTTTAGGTTTCTTAGATTTCTTGGGTTTGTTAGTTTTCTTAGGTTTCTTAGGCTTTCTTAGGGATTCTCACGTCTTTTTAGATTTTCTCTTTCTTAAATTTCGTATTTTTTTAGCGGCTGGGACCAATGCGATCAACCGTTGCGAAGTGTTCATTTCGTAACAAACTTGCGCCGCAAAAGTTTGTGTACGGATGTAGATCCCGTAAACTGGTTATATGAATACTAACTATGTAACCAGGGTCCTCGACACTTTGCCGTTGTAACCAATTTTCTCCCGTTCCACACATCCAATCTGCACGCTCTAAAGTGCTACAGAATCCTCTCAGTGTCGTGAGTGTTCCTGCATCATCAGTTTTCTGTAAAGCCCAATCCCCAGAGTCCAGCGGTCACTCAAAAGCTTGTTACCATGGTGGCCATTAGCTTAACATGGGCTGTTTGTAAATCCCCAGATTTTTACTATGTGTTATTATATCAAATTGTCATTGAAATTAGCGAACTGCGAATTAGCAAAAATAACAGGTTCTGCTCACGCCTGTTTATTTTGTTCGTGCCTCCTTAATGTAATAAACATCGTGCCATTATTTAATACATATGCAGTTAACCTTTTTACATGCTCGAAATCCTAAGACATTATTCATCCGTGCTGGGCTTGTAACACTACTACTAGTACTAGTACTATAATGCTGCACTAAATAGTAATTTTCATTAAGTTGTAATGATTTATGCTGGTGAAAAAAATTATTATTTTGTCAAAATGTAAAACTAATTTGTAAAGAACATAAAAAAGTAGAATTGTAAAAAATGGAAATAAAACTATAAAAAAATTGTGTCGTTGCAGTGCGCGAGGACACTCTGCTGGACATGATGTACACGATGCTGGCGCCGGAAGTGGAGCGCGGCCGGGCCGGGGCGGGCAGCCGGGTGCGGCGCGGCTGGCAGTGGCTGCGCAACCGCGGCGCCACGCACGGCGTCGGCCTGGTGCACCAGATGCCCTTCTGTCTGGACCGCGACGAGCTGGGCTTCCCGGCCTGACTCGAGAAGGTGCACAAGCGTCCCTTTCCCGCGCGATAACACCACCGTGACCTTGGACCCTCGTCTGTCGTAGGTGTATTTTGGGACGGCGCACGCGCGCATCTACTTATCGGCGGACGCCGTGGGCGTCAACTGTCCCACCGGCATGTCGGCGCTGATGCGCCGCCACCTCCTGGAGGCGCGCGGCGGGATGGCGGCCTTCGGGCAGTACCTGGCGGAGGACTACTTCTTCGCGCGCGCCGTCACCGAGCAGGGCTGGACGGTGTGCATCGCCTCGCAGCCGGCCTGGCAGAACTCGGCCGTGTGCAACCTGGCCCACTTCCAGGGACGGCTGCAACGGTACGCCGACGCTCGGAGTGTGTTTCTGGGGTTGTTGTCAAGGGGGTGTCTTGTAGGTGGGACGAGCTGCGGCTGGCGATGGTGCCGGTGACGACGCTGCTGGAGCCGCTGCAGGAGTGCTTCCTCCTCGGCGTCCTGGCCTCCCTCGCCGTCTCCACGCTCCTGGCGCTCTCCGCCCTCGGCGTCTTCCTCGTCCACGTCATCACGTGGTTCCTCCTCGACTGGATTCTCCTGCAGATCGTCCAGGTACCTCCCTGCCGGGTGCTGCTTTTCGTCAACATATGAATGTTAATAATGTTTCATTTGGCCCCCGACAGAACGGGCGTCTGCAGTGCAGCAAGCTGGACTTCCTGATCGGGTGGGTGTTCCGCGAGACCACCTGCTTCCTGCTCTTCGCCGACGCCATCCTGCACCCCCGCATCCACTGGAAGTCCGCCGTCTACCGGCTGCAGTGGGGCGGCCGTGCCGAGCTAGTCAGCTGCCCGTCGCCGCCCCTGGCGGTCAGCAGCGGCGACACGCTTCCTCCGGCACATTCGCTTCCCGCTGCCTCCCCTCCCCGGACGTCCTCCGGCAGCCGGCACATCCGCTCGCGCTCCCTGCCGCAGCGCCCCTCGGCCGTCTCCCTCCTCAGCGGCGCGCCCTGTGATGCTAGGGGGCCCGGCCAGTGGGCGGGGCCTCCCGCTGCCCCTGGCCATCATCTTGCCTGAATATGATCATCCGGTCAGTTCCGTTGCGTCATGCAATGTCATCCGTGATGGCGGGTGGATTATTCGGCGGAATCGTCCCGTTTTGTGCTTGCTGGGGCCGGTCCGGTTGCGTTGCTGGCCGTGGACAGCCAGCGTTTTCATTGATCTTGTTTGTTGCTCTTAATTGCTGATGACGTTATTTTTGTTGTTGTTGACCGTATTTTGTACTTACTAACTTACCTGATTGGAGATTACTGGATTTTACTTGTATATTATAGTAACTGTGGAAGGGGCTGTGCGGGATCATGAGTACAGTTGTTATTAACAGTTCATGATTAACTGGGTTTCGTAACTTTCGTCGAGTGTTATCTAATTTTAGTTGAAGCCTTTAACCAATCGGCACGTCACACCGCCAGCGATAATAATTTTCTCCCTTGTAGTTTTGTAATAATGTTTATACACCCAGAGTGACAGAGTGCCGAACCCGATACTGTGGTAGACACGATCCAGTAACTAACCGTTAAAAATTTATGGCACACTTTAGTTCGTGATATGCCTACAGTACAGTAGACTCACAAGTCACAGCGTACAAAAGTCTGGACAAGTGAAGGACCGAGCAGACGTTGAAGTCCGCCGCCTACCGGCTGCAGTGGGGCGGCCGGGCCCAGCTGGTGGACGCGGCGACGGCGCCCGTGGCGGTCACCAGCAGCAGCCGCACGATGGCTACTGGCGGCCGGCGCTTCCGGCCGACTCTTCGTCCCGCACCGTCTCCGCCGGCCGCCGCAACCGGCACATCCGCTCGCGCTCCCTGCCGCAGCGCCACTGGGATGTCGCGCTCCTGCACAGCGTCGCCTGTTCCCGTGATGATCCGCTTCCGATGCAGTCGGCAGCGGGATGCCATCGTTCCCCATGATCTGTTTTGCCGCGGATTGCCCATGTTTTCTTGTTGTTGTTAGTATTTTTTACTGATTGCAAACTGCAGGATTTTACATGTACCACTTTGTCCTAGCAGTTGTTACTTGAAAACAATAATTCTTCCATTTCCCGTCTTTTAATCAACACGATAACGTCACTCCGAAAGACAAAACTCCAAAACACAGTACAAATTTCCTCAGCATCTTAGCACTAAAATGTTGAAAATCACAATGATCATCTGCCAGTTAAAACGTGAAAATATGCACAATTTCGTATAAAAAATTCCAGCCTTCCCCGCGTTAAATTTTTGGTTAGCAGTAAAAAATCAACACAATACTGTGGCAAGTGGTCATGGTCAATATGCGCAGATATCAAAAATCTTAGACGAAATGTCCGCAAAAAACCAGTGTCCAGTGACGAACTGTCGCGCAGCCACATGCTGTCCACAGCTCTCATTTCAAAACAGTAGAAGGGGTCAACGCGATGTAGCCCGGCGCAGGTGTTATCACAAATGGGAAAGGATGAGGACTCAGCTCCGAAACTCCTAACATTTCTACCCCGACGTCCTTGCCCACGCTTCTATGGTACTCCCTGCAGATCACAAAACAACTTGATGAAAGGAAAGTCAAATCGTAATCAATGCTAACATACAGTGCACAGAGGGTATAATGTAAAAATGTACATTGAAATAAATTCCTGCAATTTCTGTTACAACAGAGGAAACTTTGTTTGCAGTGACGTTGTCCCGACAAAGTGACGCGGCGGAACAGGTCCCGACAACATCCCGATCCCGATCACGACAGGTCGTCGTAGACGGGTCGGGAAAGCACGCTGTCGGGCGGGAAATGTCAGGAAACGGGACCTTTGCAGATGTCGGGAAAATCCCGATTCCCGTCCTCGTCTTTGGGCGAGATGATACCGAATTTCAATAGAAAACAGCTTAAAACATAGAAAATTTTCGCGCTCCGCGCGAAAACTACAACGAATTTTTTTAAAATTTCAAGTTCAACTTGTTTCTTAATTAGAAACAATGCACTACAATTAATGGGCAGTAAAAAGTTTATAAATTTTTGTGAAGAAACTGCTCATACCAAATTACATAGAATTTTTTTTTTAAATTGTCGGGACGGGTTCGGGACCTTTTCTAAGTGTCGGCAACGGGTGGACGGGAAAAGCTGGTGTCGGTCGGGACTGTACGGGACGCGCCCATTACGCAGGCGGGACAACAATGGTTTGCACTTACGCTTTGTTTTTCTCGAAGGCTTCGCGGGCGTTTGCCGTATTCCGCACCGTAACACACAGGACATCTTGGGAAAAATCAGCCGCATAGTAACGACAATTCTCAGGTAAATACGTGCTACAAAACCAGTCCATCTGATCGAGGCGCAGCATCGAGACCACCTCAGACACATCGCGTTTCGTCCGCTTGAGGTAGCTACGGACGGTTTCTTCCACTACAAAATAACTCTCGTTTGCATTGCCAACAACAAACCATTCATACGTGATACGCAACGTACCAATCTTAACGTTAAGCTCAGCCGTCGCGGGTCTCTCCGGTTGAACGGGATCCGAGACGGTACTGGACGACGGGCCGGCTGACAGGAGATCGGAATGTGTGGAAGGCGGGGGAACTGGATGGCTGTCAGGCCCGCTAGGTGGAGTGTAGTCGGACAAGGCGGATGGCATCTCCATCCCGGCCGGAACGTCGCGACCGGAAATGCGAGACACATGGCCAACTGACCCGGTGACATGTGCGTGGCGCGGCGGATTGGATGTGGGCAATGGACTACGTGGCTGCGTGATGGATGGTGGGTGCCACGTACGGCCCATAGCAATGCGCGGCCTAATTGATGTCAAACGAGTGAATTCTTAGAGTAATTTTTTAATTTGTTTTATCAATTGTTTTATCAATATTATTTTACAAATTATTTTAATGGGCAATAGCCACCAAGATAACAAGAACTGCAAGCGCTGGTACACTACTTGCTAGTTAAAATTTAAACATGAAAAAAACAACCGAAATCTTCTCTTCGATTAAAAGGTAATTTTACAATTACATTTAATATCAGATTACAGGATGACACTTGTGATCGAGCAGTGACGATGAGCATACAAGTGCGTACGAGGGCACGACAACATTAATTTTAATCAAAATTACTAATTCTTACAATCGACTGCTTAATGCTGCTGCATAAACTAACCAGCAGGCCGTTGGAACACGGCACTCCAGCACGAAAACGGGATGCCCTGTGTAAAACGTCGCGCGCGAGGTGGAAAACGTTGCCATTGCGGAACGATAGGCCTCATACCCTGGCATCACCCGCATGCCCTGCGTGGCTATCACCGCTGCGCGCCCGCCGCCGAACTGCGGCTGGCCCTGGTTGACGAAGGGGCTCTGGCCGTCCGGATAGCCCTGGTGCGTGCCGTACGGAGGTCGCATCGGTGCATTCTGCGGCGACAGGTAGGCGTTCTGTCCCACCGCCGACGTCGTCCACGAAGACGCGCTAGTCGGGCCTGCGCCGGCTCCCGCTGCGCTGTAGGGGAACTGCGCCTGCTGCTGGCCGGGATAGCCCGGGAACGGCGGATGCGGATTCGAATAAACCCTGAATAATTAATATTTATAATTAACTGTGGGATAGTGTATAAACATTAAACTAACTGTACCTGTTGGCCATTTGTGCTTGCATGGAATAGGGCCCCCCCCGGCAGCCGAATCTGCGCCATGCCCTGCGCCTGCTGCTGCCCAGCATAGACGGGAAACGGCGACGCCAAGGAGGAGGAAAAGGCTTGCTGGACCGGCCCGCTCCCGGGCGGCATCCCTCCCGCGTACCCGGGCATCATGCGCATCCCCTGAAAGCCCTGCGTGGCGGCCCCCGCCGCGTTCCCGCCGCCGAACTGCGGCTGGCCGTGGTTGACGAAGGGGCTCTGCCCGTCCGGGTAGCCCTGGTGCGTGCCGTAGGGGGGGTCGCATCGGCGCATTCTGCGGCGACACGTAGGCATTTTGCTCAGGCAGCTCCACCGCCGACGTCGGCGAGAAATAAGAGGGAGCGGGCCCTCCACCAGATCCCGCGGTGCCGTAGTCGGAGAAGAGCGGGTACGGACCTTGGCCGAAGTGCTGTGGGGGATTGGCAGCTGGGTAGCCGCGGGGGGCGTGCGGAAGCGGGTGCGGCGGGGGAAAGGGCACGTTAAAGGCAGTGGAAGACGTGTTCAAGCCCCGCTGCGTGAAGGACAGGGTGGGGTCCCCGAGGGGTAGGCCCAGGTCTGGATGGGGGCGCGGGCTCGCCGAGGCTCATGAGGGATTCCGAGTCGAGGGGCTGGTAGGAGCTGGCGACTGCCAGTCGGAGTGACAAAACTGGGTTGCACACTGGAGAGGAAGCCGCCCTCGTCCTGGCCCTGCAGCGAGGCGAGCATGTTGCTGGCCATAGAGGAGGGTTCGCTGACCGATTCTAGGTTTCCTGAATCCTCCGCCATTCTCAACCACACCACCGCCTCACGTCCAAATCAATCCTGCAACCAACACTGTCATCACTCAACCATCCACCAACAATTCCCCGATGAATGGCGATGGGTATCAGCGACGATAACCAGCCAACGCGCGACAGAAACAATAGGACCTTGAACAACGATGCTTCTAACTGCCAATGCGACTCAACGCACAATCATTCGATCAACGCTGGATTCCCTTATTCCACGCTAATCATAAATTATTCTATACTGTAATCTGGCAACGTGATACTCGTAGATAAATAAATGAAAACACAAATCAGGAAGACATGGAATCAACGCTGAATGAGAGCCTGGCCATAACCAGTGTTCCTCTGCCAAGCAGCGCAACGCGAGGAAAAATTTCTCTAAATAGTATAAAAGTCGTAACCGCCCTTAGTGCAAGCGAGCGAGCGTGTAAATTTTTGTTGTTGTAAAAGATTCGGTTGGGCAAGACTGCAACAGAAGTCGTGGAAAGTCTATTCGCTTTTTGTAGCTGTTGCATATGCTGTGGAAGGCTTATCAGCAGAGCTGCTCAGATATCAGTTTTTGCCAATGCTACGATGCCGATATGATATGATTATTTTTGTGCCGTTTTACGGAATTATGTATGCTGATACAATATATTATTTTTGAAAGCTTTCTATTTTTGCTTCCGTTAAAAAAGGTGTAGTATTCTTTGAGCTTCGTACTGGCGCAGGCGTTTCAAGAAACTACGTTCAGAATTTCGTAAGATGAAATGGTTTTTTGTTGGCTGAAAATTGTGTGTAAACAGATATGATTTTTGAATGTTTTTTATGTTTGCTTCCGTTAAAAAAAAGTACAGTATTCCATGAGTTTTGTACTGGTGCACGCGTTCCAAAAAACTACATCAGAATTTCGAAAGATGAAATGGTTTTTTAATGGCTGAAAATTGCGTGTAAAAAGATAAACGATGTCTTTCTATAACGCGCAAATTTTTTCTGGTTAACCTTCTACGTAAAACTAAATTCCGAAAATTAAAAATTTAAATTTTTTGTTACTACGCGGAAGGGGAGGGTGGGCTTCCAAAATACTGTTTGCGGTTACGCTCGCCATTGTACAGTCGATTTTGCGTCCGATAAGCAACTAAGCGGTTATTTATAATAGCTGAACGCTGAGTCGACAGTCGGTGTGATTGACTGGCACGAGTTTACCGCTATCCACCAGTCTGTCTAAATCTTTCCATACTCTCAAACGCGACGCAGCGCGATACGAGCTTGCCGCCCCCTTTGGAAATCTCATTTCGTGATATTTATGATAATACTGATATGAATGACAATGACGACCCCGCGGGTGGCACAAATGGACTGCCACATGATCAGATGTGGCCACGCAAGCAATTGCAACGCGGGCACTAATATTGTAAATGCTTTATCGCACAAAGCCGTCCATTATGCACCAGATTCTTTATTTTAAGATACTATATGTTGCCTTCAACTTGTTAAGACTTTTATACGGCTCTCCGACAGACCTAATTTAGTGGGAACGTTCGGCTTCTACTTCTCCGTTCATTTAGTGGGTGCGTTTATATTGGATCAGAAGAATTAGAGCCTGTTCAAGAATCGCAACCCAGGCCATTATCCGTCAAGTACAATCGTTTGCGCAGGATGAGTTTCCAAACCTACCGCTTGCAAAGGAAAAAACAAAACTGAAGGGATTTTCCACCGCAACCGCAATTAAGAGCGAAATTTGTGAAATGGTTTGGCAGCTCAATTCATCAGTCAGATAGCTACACTGAACACAGTCACCGTCACTTGACTTCTGGCGACCTTGAATTGCCATACACGCTGCACCGCAGTCGTTGGCTGGCTGCAAGTCAGTGATTTTCTGCAAACTATTTTAAGAGTACGTGACGGTCCATCAAACCAATTTTTGGTGGTAAATCATAAACTTAGAATTATTGGATTTGGTGCTCGCGATCCATGGCAAGCAGAAAATATGTTTCGCTTCAGATCTTTAAATATTCGCTAGATGGCATTAGGCCAGAACTCGATGGCAATGCTTACCGGTAAAGTTACCGAGTCGTTTCATTTTTTTGGCAAAAAAGCCCATTCTATACCGAATATGTGACTACGCTGTCAATATTCCGCAAACTTCTAGCCTTCTGATTTTAAGCTGAATACGATTCTCCGCCGGTAGTTAATATCCTAAAAAAACTCTTTGTTTTAATTTGTTCCAGTTAGTCGTCAGACGCATAGAAGTTTCAGCCATTTAAATCTCAATATTTTCAAATTCACGGAAAGATTGTCTTTGCTGCAGATGAATTGGTACATTGATTCACACAAACGGTGTATCCCGATGTAACCACGCAGGATCTGAGAAGCGCCGGTGCAGATTTCTGTTTTAGGGTCCAATGTTTTTCGTAACGCCTGGTTAGGCTTAAATTATTGCGCAAACGATTTGTTGTTTCAACACCTTGTTCGATGTCTGGTGGTAGGGGCAACGTGGGTAGCAATAACGCAGTAACGGTTCCTAACTGGATGATTTTCTTGGTAAAGCGTACCATGTTTTTCTATGGTTTTCAGTTTAATTCGGTCGATTTTATTCTGAAGCAGAAAAACGATCGAGTAACTCATACTTACCATGGTTTTGAAAACACAGTGACCGTTTGTGGCATATAACTACGGCTGGTATTCCACAGTCGCTTTTGGTCTTGACGTACTAACTTAACTCGACCTGGTGCAAGCCTTTTATTGTTTGGGTGTTGATTTGACTAAGCTTGCCAGAATGTTTCGTCTACAATAATGTTCATGAATGGCGTAATTTTCTTCAAAATATATCCACAACAATTTTTCCGAAAGTCTTAAAAAGTTGTGAATTTTGTTAAATCTTGTTTCAAAGATGGGGAATTTCACCACTCTACTGACTATGTTGGAAATTACCCAATGCTCGTGAGGGCAGGGCCACGTGTTTAAATTTCTGTGAACCCCGGTGTATGAAATAGAAAAGACCTTTGACCTAGTGTGACTTTAACTGAGAAATCGCTGACTTAAGCTGATTGACTTCGAAGGGCTATATCTTCCGTCATCTTTCACTCATATCGTGCCTGTACGGTTCAAATTGTAGGGAATTTAGTGTAGATTTTAAAATAGTATTAAGTAGTCAGAAACTTTGATCTCTGTTTTCTGCATTGTCAAATATCTGGGACTATACAGTTTTGCTCAGTTTAATTGGTCAGAATTAAGCTGATTTCAGCCGTTCGAGGAGTTCTCAAAAACTGCTGCCAAGGTTTCATGAAAATAATAATGCCGTTTTATTTAGAATTCATTTTCAAATTTTGTGATATGTCAACTGCGAAAATCAGTTCACTTTGAGAAAAGATATCGAGGCATCAGCTTAAGTGTAGTTTTGCTCAGTTAAATTCACACTACTTTGTCCTAGATCTCCTCTTTTTCTCCGCAAAAAGCAAAAACTTTAATCGCTGAAGTTTATTTCATTCGTACTCTTGTATTAAAGATTTATTTAATGCTTCATAAATGAGCTTGTTTTGAAGTTTGAGATAGGGAGTATTAGCACAAGGCGCGAAAATTTGATCAAGCAATCAAATTCGTTTTCCATTTGCAAAATTGATATTTAAAATTTCATGGAGATTTTTTTAAGATTTTGTTTTATTTATTGAAACAAAAGTTTGAAGTACAAAAATAAATGTTTCGTTCTATTAGATGCTTCAATTGCGCCGCCGCACGGCTTTTTCTTCGGTTTTTTTCGGAACGATAGTTTGCTATCAAATTTCATAACGGTGATGGAATTTAATCCGCAAAATTTTTTTAATAAGAAGGACAATGGAATGCTCTTGTTTTACTTGCTGTTCTGCTTGCATCGAATGTTTGCTCGCGCCGCAGCTTTGCGTCGCCTTCGGCTCCGCCTTCGGTTTCTGTAAAATGGAAGCTCGCTACCGTGTCATCACAGTTACAAAAACTTCAATCGGAGCTATAAGAACAATCTTTTCAGAAGAATATGACAGCATAATCCTCTCGTTTTACTTGCTGCTTCGCTCGCTGCGCTGCGCTTGCTCGCGCCGCAGCTCGGCGTTGCCTTCGGCTCCGCCTACGGTTTTCGCTAGTGTATCATCGCGATAACGAAACGCTCAATCGGAACTGTAAGAGTAATCTCTTTAGAATAAAAGGACAATAGAATCCTTGCGTTTTATTTGCTGTTCCGCTCGTTTCGCTGCGCTCGCTCGCGTTGCAGCTTGGCGTCGGCTTCGGCTCTGCCTTCGGTTTTCGTGGAAACGGTAGTTTCGTAACGTATCATCACAGTAGCAAAACGTTTAAGCGGAACTACAAGAAGAATCTCTTCAGAATAATAGGACAGTGGAATCCTTTCGTTTTACTCGCTACTCGGTAGCGCTCGGTAGCGCGAAATTTTGGTGGCTCGCGCCGCAGCTCGGCGTCGCCTTCGGCTATGTCTTCAGTTTCAACAAAAAAGGGACAAAATACACTACCAAAAACTGACACAGGTGCAATACCTTGTTACAATTAGGGTAGCGTAACATTTAATAGTGGCAACGGTTGGTTTGAGTGGTAACGCTGGTAGCGGTAAAGCGTAACGATTAGTTATCATAATGTGAACAACAATAAACAGTGTTAACGTTAGTAACGGTAGCAATGGCTCTTCAGTTCGCTGACTTTTCTAAATAAATGCTCTGCTACGGCAACGTAAATGCTTTGCTATGGCAACAAGTCAAAGCATATTTCCAACAATTGCTAAAAAGTCTAAGAATCCGTTGGATTTGTTTAAAATTTAACAAATTTCGAATGCGCGCTTCCTAAGCGTACCCCTATAAATAAAGTTATAACTTGCAAGCTGTGTGAGCGCAAATCTCTGTAGACCATCTTTGATGAACACCGGTGTGAGTGATTCTAAATCTTATTCAAGTAAGCATTTCTTAGAATTATTACATGCACTTTTTTAAGCGACAATCAAATGGCTGTTTGCGTTGCATCTCGTCTTCGCCCTCAGCTCTTTTATAGAAACCGCCAATTATTGAAGTAAGTGCAATACATTAAGACAACTTTTAATGCTATAAGGTTAAACTAACGGTTACCGTAACCCGAAACGGTGACAATAAGTTGCGCGGTAATCCTTTACGGCAACAGTAGCACTAACAGTATCCCGTCGTTGTAATCCTTTGCGGAAACGATTGTTCGTTTGATAGTATTTTGAAATGGTTGCAAGGGCTGTTCACGACGGAAGTAAAATGTTACGGGACCCGTTAACATAAAAACTTCACCACCGAACAAAATTATCGGACCGGGTCCATAAAACGGGATACCTCCACACTTGTACGGCGGACTCCTGAAAAATGCATAAGTATTTTGTTTAACGTCGGCTTTCCTAGAACACCAAACACCCAAGGTCGCTGCTCCAAAAAATTTTTACGGGTTCAGATTTTTCGAGCACCTGTATATTACTGCGGGTTCGTCAATAATAAGACAGTTATAAATTAAGTTACGATTTCCCAAAACTGACACACCCCGGGTCGCTAAGAAACCCGGTTATAATTTACGTTACGGTTTCTCAAAACTGTTCCAACCGGGGTCGCCAATAAAATCCGCAACAAGTCTAAATTTCCGGACCTCCCGTATACTACTACGGCAAGTTCATCATTAATAACCCGGTTATAATTAACGTTACAGTTTCTCAAAACTGCACCACCCGGGCCGCTAAAAAAATCCGGACCGGGTCCGAATTTCCGGACCCCTCGTATATTACTGCGGCGGGTTCGTCAATAATGACCGGGTTATGATTTACGTTACGGCTCCCCAAAACAGCTCCACCCAGAGCCGCTAAAAAAATCCGGACCGGGTCCAAATTTCCGGACCCCCCGTATATTACTACGGCGGGTTCGTCAATAATGACCGGGTTATGATTTACGTTGCGGTTCCCCAAAATGCCACCACCCGACCCGGTCTACGCGTTTGCGCTGGGTCCAAATTTACGGTCGAACACACATTTCCCCATTGGGTCCGTCAATTATAACCCGGTTAGGTTTACGATTTTAAACTACCTTCTCAATTGCTTCAGCGGGGGGTTGCGCCCCCCGCACCCCCTGCTTATTGGGGCTCCGCCCCAAAACCCGGCCAGGGGCTTCGCTCCTGGACCCCGGAAACCCGGTTCTCCGGTTCGCCCCGTTACACATATAAATTAAAAACGCTTCGCTCGCTTCGCTCGCTCGCTTGATTATTACCGCGCTGACGGCGCTGTGGCGTTGGGCCTAACATTACGTAAGCAGGAATTACTGCGAGCCTGCGACTGCACGCTACGGTACGAGCCATATGCTACGTTACGTGTGTGAGTGCTACCGCTACCACTGCAGCGCTGTGTCGCTTTAATACGTACCGTACCGTATCTAGCATCCTGCCACATCATCGCTACTGAGCCACTGAGCACTGAGTGGCATAATTCTTGCTTCATGAGCATTATTAATTTAAAAGTATAAACTGCAATTATGTACTTTGTCTTTTTGTTAATTATAGGTTGATTATAATATGATCTGATTGCTGCTGCTTTAAACAGATAGCTATCTTTACGAACTTATTGAATCTATTGCGTAGCTTTAGCGCAGTGCAGACACGTGGATTTGACACCGTGTGCTGTGTGGCTTTCGGATTAATCCTTCGTAGCGCTGTCCGTGCACACGCTGCAGAGACTTGCTGTCGCTAACTGAAAGTGATCAGAAATTCATTTCACTGAGGCATGGCTTCGTCGTACTACAACATGATGAAGGGCGGTCGCGGCGAGAAGAAGGACGAGGACGCGGGCGGCGCGGAGAACCCCTTCCGCAACCTGGACAGGAGCACGGTGCTGCAGGAGGCGCGCATCTTCAACGAGACGCCGGTGAACGTGCGCAAGTGCAGTCTGGTGCTGACCAAGATCCTCTACATGCTCAACCAGGGCGAGACGCTCAGCACGCGCGAGGCCACCAACTTCTTCTTCGCCATCACCAAACTCTTCCAGTCCAGCGATGTTCCTTTGCGAAGACTCGTCTTCCTCTGCATCAAGGAACTCTGCAAGGTGTGTTGTGGTTTTGTGCTAGTTTTATCCGTAGATAAATTGTAAAACCTTGGGAGAGGGCTGGTGTTGCTGAAATATTTAAGATCGCAGGACTTGGTTCGTGCAACTGAAAATTCGCTGTGCACGCTGCTGACGCTAGCTGGCTGCTAGCCTGCTGCTGATTGGTTTCATGTTTCAGATTGTTTCTGTTCTTAAATTTTACTAAAACACTTTTCCCCTTTTTTATCTACTTGTGGCATTTTTTGTAGTTGATTACTTAATCCTGAAAAATTCTGGGAATTTTTTTTTTATTTCTGAAATTTCGTTTGCAGTTTGTAATCAGTTTCGAGTTTTTCATGGATCTTTCCTTCAGCTGGTGCTGGCTGCGTCTTTATCATTGACGCTTGTACTCTGTACTTTCAAATCGTTAAGTGCATTACTAGTGTGTCAGTGTCACTACTACTAGTTTGGATAAGCGTAATTTGGTTAATTTCCATTGCAAAAGTAATCAGCCAGTTGATTGGTTAGGTGGCGGAGGACGTGATCATCGTGACCAGTAGTCTGATGAAGGACATGACGGGCAAGGAGGAGGCGTACCGCGCCGCGGCCATCCGCGCGCTGTGCATGATCGTCGACCAGTCCATGCTGCAGTCCGTCGAGCGCTACATGAAGCAGGCCGTCGTCGACAAGAGCCCCCACGTCGCCAGCGCCGCCTTACTCGCTTCGCTCCATTTCTGCCAGGTACCTAATTTAACAACGCCATCTGCCAGCCGCAGCTGCAGTTTTTAAAAATCGTTTTATCCGTTTATATCTACGTACTTCGTGGACGGAGTCACCGGGCCGGTACCACTTATTCAGAGGTTGACTTTTTTGTTATTCACCACTTTGCTTTAACTGAAATGCTGCTGTAAATATCTGTTATCTATTGAGAGAATAATTTATAATTTTGTTGACGGTTTATGATTTTATCAGACAGGGATTTAACGTTTAGTGGAATATCGATTTATTGGTTAACGTATTGATTTAATCCCAATTAATTGATCCGTGTGACCCGATTATTTACCGTTTCTTAGAGATTTATTTACTGTTAATTTATCAATTGATTGGATATCGTCCAGGCGTCGTTGCTGTCTGGTTTTTGTTTTGCGGAACAGTGAGCGGCAACCATAAGAGGTGTTTTATTTGTGTGGCAGCGCGGCGGGCCGAGCGCGGAGGTGGTGAAGCGCTGGGCGAACGAGGTGCAGGAGGCGACGAACAGCGACAACCCCATGGTGCAGTACCACGCCCTGGCGCTGCTCTACAACATCCGCAAGGGCGACCGACTGGCCGTCAACAAACTGCTGGCCAAGTTCACCGCCGGCCGCTATCTCAAGTCCCCGCTGGCCGTCTGCTTCCTCGTCAAGGTCGTCGCCAAGACCATCCAGGTCAGTCAGGACTCTTCCTTGTTAAATAGAGGATCGACTGGTGATTTAAATGTTTCATATCGTATTTTTCCAGGAAGAGGCCGGTTTAGGCCAGATCAACGCGAGTAACTTTGACTTCCTGGAGTCGTGCCTCCGTCACAAGTCGGAGATGGTGGTCAACGAGGCGGCGCACGCCTTAGTCAACCTGCGGCACGCCAGCGGCCGCGAACTGACGCCGGCCATCTCCGTGCTGCAGCTCTTCTGCTCCTCCGCCAAGCCCACCATCCGCTACACCGCCGTGCGCACCTTGAGCCAGCTGGCCATGACGCACCCGGCCGCGGTCAGCGCCTGCAACATGGACCTGGAGAACCTCATCACCGACACCAACCGCTCCATCGCCACGCTGGCCATCACCACGCTCCTCAAGACCGGCAACGAGGGCAACGTCGACCGGCTCATGAAGCAGATCACGTCATTCATGAACGACATTAGCGACGAATTCAAGGCGAGTGTGTTGTTTATTAATTTGAGATAAATCTGCTTATTTAATTTTACTACTGAAATTTATTTTTCCGATTAATCTGGTGTGTCTTGTATTTATTTTGAAATAAATTTGCTTATTTGGCAAGTATTACTGATGGTTAATTTGTTATTAATCGGGTGTGCTGTGTATTTATTTTCAAAATAAATCTATTTATATAAAAAAATGAAATTTATTTTGTTGGTAATCGGGTGGGTTTGATTGGTGCAGGTGGTGGTGGTGAACGCGGTGAAGGCGTTGTGCCTCAAGTTCCCGAAGAAGCACGCGCTGATGATGACGTATTTAGCGGGGATGCTGCGCGAGGAGGGCGGGTACGAGTTCAAGCGCGCGCTGGTGGACACGCTGGTCAGCATCGTGGAGGACAACGCGGAGGCGCGCGAGACGGGCCTGACGCACCTGTGCGAGTTCATCGAGGACTGCGAGCACACCAACCTGGCCGTGCGCATCCTGGCGCTGCTGGGCCGCGAGGGCCCCCGGGCCCGGCAGCCGCACAAGTACATCCGCTACATCTACAACCGCGTCATCCTGGAGAACGCGCCCGTGCGCGCCGCCGCCGTCACCGCCATGGCCAAGTTCGCCGCCTTCAACGAGGAGCTGCGCGCCAACATCATGGTGCTGCTCAAGCGCTGCATGATGGACCAGGACGACGAGGTGCGCGACCGCGCCACCTACTACTTCTACGTGCTGGACAGCCACCAGACCGCGCTCTACAACCACTACATCCTCGGCGCGCTGCAGGTATTGCGTCTGCAGTATTTTTAATTTTTTTATTATTTTGTCGGTCGGCTTTTCGGCCAATTGTCCATTTCGTTCGCGTGGTTTTCTTCGCTTTAAAATTAATTTGAAAGAAACAGAGAAATTACTGTACATTTGTAGTTAAACATTACCCAATTATGATGACTGTTATGAATTAAATTTTTTAAAAATTGAATATATATTATAATTAAAATACCATAATTATTTTGAAAAATAGTTTCCCTTTTTAGCTTCGCTCAAAGATCAATTTAAACGTTTAACTTTTTAGTTTCGCCTGAGAACTAAATTAAAAATTAGTAATTTAAACTGGAAAATCAGGTTAAAAATCGATTAAAAAGAACTATTATTAATTGAGTTACTATAAAAATTCAGTTAAATGGTAATCGCTGCCGCAGGTGTCGCTGGTGTCGTTGGAGCGCGCGTTGCACAGCTACGTGAGCGCCCCCACCGAGGAGCCCTTCGATCTGCGCAGCGTGCCCATCGTCACGGCCGAGGAGAAGCGTCCGCGCCCCGACGCCGCCACCGCCACGCAGGTGCGGGCGGCCGCGGCCGACACCCCCGGCGGCGGCGCCGCGGCCACGCCGGCGACGGCCAGCGCCGTGGACTCGTATGTCGAGACCTTCAAGAAGATGCCGCAGATCGCCGCCCTCGGACCGCTCTTCAAATCGTCGGCGCCGGTGCAGCTGACGGAGCCGGAGACGGAGTACGTCGTCAAGTGCATCAAGCACACCTTCGCGCACGACCTCGTCTTCCAGTTCGACTGCACCAACACCATGAACGACCAGCTCCTCGAGAACGTCACCGTCAAGGTCGAGGCCGCCGCCGACACCGGCTTCGTCGTCGACGGGACCATTCCCTGCGCTAAGTTGGAGTGCAACGTGCCCGGTGAGTGGCGGCGTCTATTATTTTCCTCAATTTTTATCATTATTCTTCTCTGTTTTGTTTTTATTTATTTTTTCGACCCCAGAGCGACGTGTTTTATATTTTTTAATTTGATAAAACTATTTTTTATATTTTTTTGTATAATACTCGCCGCAGGAACAGTGTGTTATTAATTTGTTGTCACGTGTTTTTAATGCCTTTTAAAGATAGGTATTAAATTTATTAAGGTAATATTCGGTATTTATTTTTGAATTTTTTCATATTTATTTTGTGGTGTTCTCTTTTTTATTTTAATTTATTTTATTCGACACAGGAGCGACGTGTTTTATATTTTTTTAATTTAATAAAATAATTTTTTATATTTTTTGTGTAATATTCGCCGCAGGAACAGTGTGTGTTATTAATTTGTCGTCACGTGTTTTTATTGCCTATTAAGATTAGGCATTAAAATTGTTAACGTAATAATCGGTTTTTGGTTTTTCGAATTTTTTCTGATGGTTCTTGTTGCGTTACTCGTCGCAGGAACGACGTACACGCGCGTGCGCCTGCCGGAGGACGACGTGGCGGCCACGGGGGCTCTGGAGTGTTCCCTGCAGTTCACGGCGAAGGACTGCGACCCCAACACGGGCGAGGTGGACGAGGAGGGCTACCCCGAGGCGTACTCCCTCGAGCCGGTGGAGATCACGCTGGCGGACCACGTGCAGCGCACCATCGTGGCCAACTTCGCCGCCGCCTGGGAGGAGCTGGGCGCCGACCGCGAGAGCAGCTCCACCTACGCCCTTAATCAGTTCAAGCAGCTGCAGGAGGCCGCCGACAGCGTCGTCGGCTTCTTCGGCATGCAGCCGCTGGACCGCAGCGACCGCGTGCCCGCCGAGAAGAGCGCCCACGTGCTGCTCATGGCGGGCGTCTTCCGCGGGAACGTCGCCGTGCTGGTGCGCTGCCGCCTGGCCGCCGCGGGGGACAGCGGCGTGGCCATGAAGCTGGAGGTGCGCAGCGAGGACCCCGACGTCAACGAGGCCATCATCCAGGCCATGTAGTCCGCCTCCGCCCATCCTTGTCGAAGAAGGGTTTTTCATCGTGTTTTCTTGTGTTTGCGCCGTTCTCGGGTAGTGAATTAACTTATTCCTTTTCTCAGCTTTTGTTCTTACGCGCAACTGTTTATTTAGGAAGTTTATTCGGCGATTATCCTGCAATGATGCTTTATAAAGCTGTAGTTGATTATTAATTATTATTGATAAAGTTTTATTAATAATGATAATAATATTTGGCAGTTTCTTTCGTTATACGCAGATCGCAAACAGTTGTAAATTCTATACAACCGAAATGTCGGTGACCTTTACAAATATATAGAACGTGGACTGGTTCTCCGTGGCGGACAGCCGTGCTGCCCGGCAACATGTGGAATTTGCAATCGGCAATCGCTTGCTAACGCCAGCAGGACTGCCTAAAGCGAAACAGCTGGCTTGAAATGAAAGTTATCTTTCGCGAAAAGGCATCAAGTCGTGCATTTCCTCCGCAGCTCACTCATCAATGCGATCCATATACAGCTTGTACTGCACGCACAAACAAAAACATCAGATTCCCCTCACAGTCGAAAAGCCTCGCTGACGGCCAACAAGGCCATCGTGCTCAGCTGGCCAATGTCCAGCTGCCTCAGGTCAACAGTGTCCCAGTGCAGTGGTGTCCCGTCCGATTGAAATCCACTGAATCTGTATTAAATCATAAACGATTAGGTCAATGTCACGGCGTGAGCGCCATGCAAAGATGTGACGGTATCGCAGCTTTTTTTACCGCCATATACAGTATATACTGCAGCACTTACACGGACAACATCTGGCGAATGCGCTGCCATTCGTCGGGATAACTGAGCTTCTCCAGCCAACGTGCGTGAATGGCCCGCACTTTCCGGTACACATCGGCGCCGGCGGCCGGGAACGCGGCGTCGATGGCGCGCATGAACCGGCTCATGACGGCCTCCCAACCGTCGACGCAGGGCAGCATGAACCGGTGAAGCGTGATCTCTGTGGTATTCATAGTAAATAAAGTTCCCTGCCCGCCCATCATCAAGTCGTTGGCTGGGATAATCAGATGCTTCTCCGCCGCGGGGATCGGGACTGGATCTTCTTCATCGTACAGCACATGTCCAAGATAGGATTACAAAACAGACCGGATAACTGGCAGTTGTGCAGGATCAAGCTCTGACAGTGACCTTTGAAGGGCGCAATGCGGCGCATGATGCCGTGTTTCAACAACGAACTCGTGTCACTGTACTCGTACAACGAACCAGAAAAAGGAAAACGGCCATTTCCAATGACCACAGGGGCAGGTGGATGTTGGTAACGCCCAGCCAAGCTGGGATGAAGAAAGTGTGCTCCTTGCGGTTAAGGTCCGTTATGGTGAGGCTCTTGGTTGCGGAATTGACTGCACGATGCAGCAACAGTGCCGTGTTGTAACAATTGTCGAGTAGACAATTCGTGGAGACACAACCTGTGAAGCTGATTATGACATGCTCGTCGAGTGTCCCAGGAGCGCTGGATATCGCATGCCACAACCAGCAAACGCTAAATAAATTACACGGGCTTTAACATCGAAAACCGCAAACAAAGAAACGGGACATTACCAATAAAAATCCATATTTACGTCTGCATGGTCAGAGCAGAGCAGAGCAGTGGTCAGAGTCAACGCCGGACTCTGACCACTAAATCTACTAATCTGATTACTTACTTAAAACTGTAAAAGTCATTTTACAATTGTTAGTGTAAAAACGGTCCTCTTACTTACGTGCTTTTATGTGCAAAATTTAAGGAGGTCGGTATATGTATAATGAGACTTTTGGTATACCAGATTGCATTTAAACTTTTGGAAATTTTCTTACAGCTATAACTCCCAACCGGATGTTGCGCGCCCAAACAGTTTTAATGCCTCGGTACAGACAAAATCACCTGGCTCCAAAACGTCATAAAACAACGCAAAGGGGGTTTGCGAGTGCGCGAAAGTGGAAGTTTTCGTGTATGTAAACGGATTTCTTACCATGTACCAGGTGACTTAGCCGTTAAGCAAAGCTTACAGTATTTTACTGGAGGCTTGGGCGGTGATTTTAGGGGTAAGGAAACTGTAGGACACGGTGGGTACCAAGTTACCAACGGCAACAACTAACTACGTAATTTACCGTTTGATCCGCATTCGAGCTTGCAGGTGCAGATTAGCCAATATTTCCATCAGAATGCTATGCGACATACTGCAGATGCTGGTTTTCGGACTAATACTCTCAGATTCTATAATAAAACCATCGTTTAGTACAGACTAAACCGATTCTGAGCGAGGTTATCAAAAAATATTCTGTAAAATCATGCACCATGAGTCCATGACTGACCAGTGAGTAATACTTGCAGTAGCTAGTAGCTACCATTAGTACCATACCATGAGCGCTGCTAAAGCGTCTCCACTTTTCCATAGCATCTATTAGTCTATTGTATTACTATTATTAATTGTGTGATAATAATGTACCATTATGATTGTAATAATACTTTAAGATAATATCACAGTATTAATAAGTGTCAATTGCGTTTGATACTTGTCTTGGTACGGTCGTTTACAATACTCGTATACAACTCCACAAACCGATTTTGTTCCGGCTTTTTTCTTTACCAGATTAAACAGGATGTGCCCTTTACAAAGTACTTGAAATCTTTAAAAGATCTTGAGCCGTTTTCTTGCAGTTGCGTCGTGAAGATCAGTGACGAAAGCACTTTAGTCACGCCACGTGAGCCACTGCACTACACAAATAGAACTGCAGTCAATGCGCCACACATGTGCGACTGCGCTTTGCAGTTCAGACTTCATTTTTTCTTCACAATTCATTTTTTCCTTCTGTTCTTCAGATCTAATTTCTGTTAAAATGAATTCGCTTTTGTTTATATGTCCATGTGCTAACTTCGTCACGGCGATGACGCAGCCGCACATGGGTCGCGGTGACTGCAATTCTATTCGTGTAGTGCAGTGGGTCACCTGGCGTGGCTAAAGTGCTTTCGTCACTGATCTTTACGACGCCACTGCGAGAAAACGGCTCAAGATTTTTGACAAATTTCAAGTACTCTGTAAAGGGTACATTCGGTTTAGTCGGGTAAAGAAAAAAACCGGAAGAAAATCGGTTTGTGGAGTTTTCTATTTTAGGTGGTCCACTTACACCGTTGTTAAACGACCGTACGAGTAGTACTAGAAGCGTACGATTGCAAGCTTTACCGCAAAAAGTTGCACCTGCATCATTAATATTTCCACAAAATTCCCCGTTGTCGGGGCAGTTCGGGTATCTTAAAGGTTGTCCATGATGCCGGCTATTGAAGTGTTCATCCAAGATTGCATGCAAAGCAAGTCTAGTTCTTTCGTGCTCGATGATCGTGTCCGTACTGTGCGTTATGACAAGGAAAGTACACGACTCCCATCCAACGCTCAGGTGAAAGCGGCAACCGTCCGACAGCGCAGTTGCCGGATTGCAACGATCGTCTTGGTAGCTTACGCGAAAGTGTGATGAGGCGGTATACATCGGCGGCTTCCTCAAGAACCCGGCCCGTTTTCAAAACAGGGATAATGAATTTCCTATACGTCAAAAGGTTGCTCTTCTCTTGAAAGGGCATTTCATCGGAAGGCAGGTGTTCCACTATTTGACAGCGGTCCACCACTTCAATAAAGGCCGAAGAGGTCACGCCGGAAGTCTGCCATCTGACGTAGCACAAGCGACACACTGTAAAAACCCCTTTCAATCACCTTGCCTTAACACGATCCAGATTAAACTTTTACTTATAGAACTCACGTTTAACACACTCCAGCAAAGTGGCAGGACGAAACCGAAATGGCCCGTCCATCTCGTCGCGTAGCGCTACCCATACCGGCTTATTCCTCCACTCGGTCAGTGACTTGTTGTCGAAAAGGAGCGGCAAAGGGTGTACGAAGCGGGAGAGTATCCAGCACGCGGGCTTTTTCCTGGAATCAAATTCCACGAACGCAAAACTCTCGTCCACTGTCAGATCCTGCAACAAAGGTCACGACTACACACTTAATCTCGGACCCGCCGAAGGGGTGGTGGAGTTCGCACGGGAATCACCCACTCGGCCACTCCCATCCCGGAGACTGCTCATTTCACATGTCATCCTTACACCCAACGCAGGACGCAACACCACAATGACAAAACGTACGCAAGCCCAATACGCACTGGTTTATTCTCCACTCTGGCGTTCTTTCTTGGTACATAGAACACACTGACCTGTATAAAACCTAGCCACCAAACGCCGTCCAGGCTGCGCACTGCCACCGTATTCTGATGGCCGAACCTGTTGACCCCGTGCAGCACGCGTCGAAATGCAGGCAGACTGGCCTGGCCCGGCTTTCCATGCTGGTCTACAGCAAAATAACACACACTCACCACATACATAGTCATTCAACTTGTGATAGCTTCAGCGACGCTTCGGAGCAAGTGTGTTCATTTGACAGAAACAGAATATACAAAGGACGCTCCAAAAGTAAGTTTCCCTATTTTGAATCTCCCGGCTCGAACGCTTTTAGTTCTTATAAACCATATTTTTAGAAACGTCCTTCATTAACGAACCGAAATAAAATATAACTCTACCTAACTACAATCAAATGGAGAAGAACTGCCGAGAAAGCCGTTCAAGGTTTTCGGCACTTTGCCACGGGTTTTACCCCGACAGTTTTTGTTATTTTTCTCAGTCTTCCTGCTCAATTTTCGGAAAGCACCAAATATCATTAGATTACTAATTCTTTTCTGTCCTAATTTCAAGTACGAAACAAAATAACTTCTTTGCAATGCTTTTCCAGAAAAGTAAAAACTCTCGGTGACTAGGTGGAAAAACCACAGAGCTGCTCAAGGTGCCAGACGGTAAAAAATCGAAAATTTCTTGTAAAACATTATTGTTGTCGGTACAACTTGAAGTTATTTGTGTCCAAGAGGCGCATGACTGCGCATGAAATTTCCTTTTTATTGATGCCAAGAACTTTTGGATTCATATCAGCAAGAAGGCTGAAAAGGGAGATTCCGGCGTCGTGGAGAAGAAAAATGTTTGCTCTCCTCCGTAAATTTTTCAAACCATTCTGATATTGCAGTAATGTTAAGAACAGTATTTGTAGCTGCTACTTTAAATTTGCTGTCGAAATTATAACAGGGACGGAAGTGGTAATAAAAGAACGAGCTTCGAAAAAACTCGTGGAAATTAATGTATAAGTGGTATTGATATTCTGTTTTTCGTTTTCCCAGTTCTTCATTGAATCTTTTGATTCTTATTTCTCTAATTAATTTACATAACTGTTTATACAACAAAAAATATATCACATGTCTATTGCTTCAAATGGCAGGGAGGCAAAATAGGGAAACTTACTTTTGGAGCGTCCTTTGTATATATATAACAACCTTTATTGAGTTCCGTTTGCTGTTATGCGGCAAAAAAACCCTATTACAAATTAGGGGAAAAAGCACGCATAACCTATTCTTTTTTGAAAAGTTTTGTAAACAAAACTTGTGCAACGGAAACTGCAATAAGGTAAAAGACCGCTTGCTCTCCTCTACTTTACACATGAATCTTTTTTTTGGTATTTTCTATAAGAATGTATATATGACAGGGATTATAGATGTTAAGAATAAGGAAAGGACGATCACAAATACAAAATATGCAGGATGTATGGCAAGCTACAATGCAATACACACCAACCGCATAAAAAAATGAACATAATTACTAAACTAAACATGTACAGATAAACTCATGCAGTCGCTTGGCAAAGGGCAGGCACTCACGAGGTTCTGCTATCTACAACAGTAAAGAGGTGGCGGTGCGTATATTATTTTGATGGCAAAGATGCTTTAGAACGTTTTCAGTGCCGTAATTAACCATGAACACTGAGTACGAGTACGTACTACGTAGTACGTGTTGGAAGATTGTCAATTTGTCAGAGTGCATTTAATAATACCCTCTGCCCAGTGGTTACTCGAAAGTCAAGAGGTAATTATGGAGCACTAGACCTCACACTTATTATGCCATTATTTCCGGACAGCGGTGCAGCTTCGAATTCGGGAGGTAAACGAATTTTGGACCACTGTCGAGTAAGTAACAGTCGAACATATTTCGTATTACTGTATGTACGAGTCTGAATAATAATTTGTTATAAAACACAAGCCTTTAACATGCTGATGCCATAAAATTAAGTACAGGACTCATATTATTACACTTAGAACACAAGCCTAACACGGAATATTCATACGGATGTAGAGTATGAAAATCGTACATTATTTGCATTAGTTGTATCAGTACAATGTACAATTTTCGGTTTGAAGTGTAAAAATCTTCTTAATGCATCGGGTGGAAAAAGACAATCGGCATTCTTATACTGGTCTTTGATCACAATGGTCAGCAACAAACTTTAAAAAGATACGATTTGGTAACACCTTACACATGACTATGAGGATCGGTCGGGCTTCTACAAGTACTTATCTGCGAGAGTGGCCAGGTCCATTTCACCAATTTGACAAAAATATGCGCCAAAAGGCAAACATTACAAATACCTAGGACAGCGTCTGTGCGCGGACAGGCTGCGGGACTATTTGCGGAGTCCGTATGAAACGTGCGAAGGCTTATCCAAAGGACGGCGGGAAGGCGATCGAGAGTAGAGATCGGCAATTAAAAAAAGGGGACCGTTGCAGTGTATTGAGTCCTCGAGTCAGTGAGCTGGTTCTCTTATTGTCCGATCAACTGAACATCCCGATTAGCCTTATCGGGAAAATAACAAGAAGAAAAAATTGTCAAGGACGCTTCCCATACAACTTGCAGGTTTAGCGGGAATGTCTTTTTACTGCGAGAACTGAAAATAATGCGGATTTTCTTCTTTGAGTGCTGATGTAGATACCCCAGTTCACACTGACCCCACCGGGCGGTTGCCACTGCTCCAAGCGCGGCAAGTCCCTGAATTTCCTTCTTTTGTTTTTCCGCGGTTATTCTGATTACGGAGTAAAATATTCCTTTTTCATCAGGGTCAGCTTTTCTATTCTTATGCGCAAGGGTTTAAGTGGTCAAAACAGGTTCGGTGGAGCGTCTGTTTAAGGAGTATCTTGCAATGATGCTTTGATAAAGGTGTGTTTTATTATTATTTTCCAATTAAAAAATTAATAATATTCGGCACAATTTCTTGCGCGGTGCATGCGCAGGCTGCAGATAATAAATGTTATTAACTGTATAAAACAGGCGCAGATTTTTAACCCGGAATGATCGCCAGGCGTCCAGTAAAGCGGAAGGAGAATCAGTTTGCTGGCAGGCCGGTGAGGTTGGGCGGGAAGAAGCTGGGCACGTCGTAATCCAGCGCGGCGTGGGCGCTGGCGTTGTCGGCGTTGCTGGCGTCCTCCCACAGGAAGATGAGGCCCAGGCCCTTGGTGACGCCCAAAGGGAAGGCGCTGGGGCACAGCTCCACCACCACGGACGCTCCCGGCGCCGTGAAGCTGACCTCGGCGTCGGGCGGGCCGCTGCCGGCTTCCGCCCCGCGATACAACAGTACTGCAACAACAGTAGAACACATTGTTATGCGTTTGCGCACTGGACGGGAAAGCGTCGCTACCGCTGCTGGTCGGTGGCGCCGTCGTCGGCGAGAGATCGCGAGTGGTCAGTGGGGCGTCCGCCGTCTGCGTGGCGGCGCTGTCATGGGGAGGGGAGCAGACGCGACTAGCGCCGATCACGGCGGGATCGGCCACCAGCAAGAAGTCCATGGGCCGCAGCACCAGGTAGGGAAAGGTCACGCGCACCTGCAACGGTAGTGTCCGAACGGACAGCGGTGACGGCGGTGCCGGGTGATGGATACTGTATGACGAAGCACGGTACCTGGCCGGTGGGAGAGGGGAGCCGGATGGTCCAGCGGCATTTCAGGCCGAAGACGTAGGGCCGCTGCGGGAAGTCGGCCGGGTAGGTCAGGTTGCCCCAGGCCGAGCGCAGGGTACTGCCGCAACGGGGACTCAGGACGGTGGCGCCTGCGATCCGCAGATTATATGTTTAGTTAAGTAAGGTACCAGTACATGTACACAGGCGACTCATGCCTATCCTAGAGCTCATTGCTCAGCACCTGCATATATATCTGTATATATGGCGTGACCTTTGACGTACTATGTAAAAAAACTGTCGGGGAGAGCCGCTGTTGAGTATACGCGTACTGGTCATCAACGAAGATAGCGGTCATGTATACAGATGAAAAAAAATCGGTAGAGACTAGAGAGGGCATTTAGTTATCTTACTGCTTTGCAAGGACACAACGGAGACGGCGCCGATGAGCAGCTGCAGCAGCAGGCCCGGCACCGGCACACTGGACACGAATAACCGCCACCGGCATGCGCTCACTCCCCGCAACACGACTGGCCGGTACAGGACGGCACAGCGCCGGCTCATAACACTACACGCCACGAGTGATGGATTGATGCCAGGCCAGCGAATGTGGAATATCAATCAGCGGATTACGAATATTAGCTATCCGTCCAAATGATCCAGTGCGTCGGAAGTGTGCAGCTAGTGTGCCAGCAGTCGTCAGCAGTACTGGCCCATCGTGGGCAGCTTGCGCGACTAGCTGGATGCCCCGGAATACACCGCTGTATTATGCAGCAACCGGAGTAAACAATCAACAAGCTGCTGGCAAGTGTCCGCGCGCTGCTGCAGTTCTCAGCTCGGTGTCGCGTCGTTGCCGGTGCAGTCGGCGGAAAGCACGATACCAACCATCCTGGTCACTGCCAAGTGACAACGCAGTGCCGAATCACCACCGCCAACATACTGTACAAAATACAAGGTGCAATGCAAATATCTGTATATGCCGGCAGACAGTATAATGTTAAATGTAATACGGTCTACCTACGTCTTACGAGCAGCAATAATCGCATAGAAGCATGAGTAAGAATGTCAATTTGTACAAAATGTACAATATACTGTGCAATGCTCATAATCGATGTACTGTGTACTTGAACGTGGCCCGATCGAGCGAGCCGTTAAATAAGGCGCAACGTAATGTCCGTCCGCGTTCGTGACCTCGCTTTCCGCCGGCTCATATAGTATGCAGTGCATACGTAACTGCCAAGTTATAATTATTGCGACTGCTAGCCGACGTGCACCTTGAACCTGCTGATAACGCCAGCCGGTCCAGCAGAACACGGCCGCTGAGTGTGACATATCTGTTAAATCGTTGTTTTTGTCGTAGCACGAAACCTCACAGTCCGACTGCGGCGTCACACCGGCCGCGTACAGCCGTCGTGCGCTATGGATATTCTATTCGCGATATGGTCAGTTGCACCGGCTGCCGGGCTGCAGCGTTAACGCTACGCCCACTGCACGTCCATCAGCCGAGTATCTGTAGACGTACAATATATATAAACACCGCACGATTGCCATGAATTTATTCAGCTCCGCTTAGCGTTCTGCCGCAATTCGTAAACATCCAAAAAAAGCCGAAAATTATTATTATTGCTGCATCCCGATCACCATCATACTCGCACACTGACATAAACGCTAAAAAACATCAACAAAACTGCCGGGAAAAAAAATTGCAAAAATGCATCGAAGCCGACAGTTGAATCGGCGACACACGTATGCAGATACCGCAGGGAAAGACGTGAGTGAAAGCACGCATCTGAGGCTCCTACTGTCCTACACCATCCCGAAGCCCATGGATTCGTCCAGATTGGCCAGGAGCGAACCCGGCTGCTCCGGTTCAACGAGGAAATTAAACGAGGGCGCGCGGAGAGGCGCCGGCGCGGCGCTCGTCTCCTTTTCGCGCTCCGGCGGGCCGGGGTCGTCGGGGAAGAGGCGGCGCCGGATGGTGGCCGTCGAGAAGGAGCGGCTGGGGTGGAGATGCCCGAGGGGACGCAGCGCCCCCCGCGCCAACTGGTAGTCGGCGAAGTGGCGGCTAAAGTCCATGCGCGCCGGGATGGACACCTCCGTCTGCACGGCGGCGTCGCGCTGCTGGCGGGCGGAGGGCGGCGGCCGTTCGAGGGTGTAGGAGGGCATGCGCACCACGCCCAACATCAGCGCCTCCGCCTCGCTGTCCGAGTCTTCCTCGTCGCTCGACGGCGCGGGCCGGCGCTTGCTGTCCGGCGTCGGCGTCATCGGGTGCACCGCGTCGTCGTTGAAAAATCTGCAACAAGAAAGAAACAATTTTCATAGAAAAAAATCATGTCAACAATTTTAAAAAAGTCATTCACAGCGACTTCATAATTCCATCACTGCGGAGTAATAAATTTACCGGCGAATGTGGTCCTGCGCGTCCTCCTCGTCCGACTCGGACACCACGTGCTTGAGCAGTTCGGTGCGCAGGACGTCCTGGTGCGGAATGTCCACCGGCTGCAGCGCCGCCATGTGGTCGATGGACCAGGCGAAGCCGGCGTCCTCGTTGGAGCGGGCGCGCTGCTCCTGGTCGAGGAAGTCGGCCCACTTGCTGGCCATGGCCTGCGACAGGTCCAGCGGCTCGAAGGGGTTGTCGTGCTTCAGCGGCGTGCGCGGCGACAGGCCGCTCTCCTTCTTCAGCTCCGCCCGCAGCGCCAGCAGGTACGGCTCGGTGCGGTAGCGGCGCAGGCGGGTGCGGCGCATGACGCCCGAGGAGCTGCTGCTGGCCAGCGGCTGACTGCGCGGCATCTGGTTGGAGGACAAGGAGCGCAGCGGACTGCAGCAGCGGGAGGAAGAGGGCTGCGCGTGGCTGCAGCCGGCGGGGCTGTTCTCGTTGCAGGCGGACGGGAGGTGGGTCAGGGCGCGATGGGCGGTGTGGCGGAGGACGGGGCGGTCGGAGGCGCGGAAGAGGTGGAGGACGGAGAGCGCCGGCGTCAGATCGCGGCCGCTGGCGTGCCGCAGGTTGACCAGCGCGTGCGCCGCCTCGTTGACCACCATCTCCGACTTGTGACGGAGGCAGGACTCCAGGAAGTCGAAATTACTCGAGTTGATCTGGCCCAGCCCGGCCTCTTCCTGGAGATGACAAATATGCAACATTGGAATGACCAGCCAGTCGTCTATTTAAATTAGGAAGCGTCGTGACTGACCTGGATGGTTTTGGCGACGACCTTGACGAGGAAGCAGACGGCCAGCGGGGACTTCAAGTAGCGGCCGGCGGTGAACTTGGCCAGCAATTTGTTGACGGCCAGTCTATCCCCCTTGCGGATGTTGTAGAGCAGAGCAAGGGCGTGGTACTGCACCATGGGGTTGTCGCTGTTCGTCGCCTCCTGCACCTCGTTCGCCCAGCGCTTCACCACCTCCGCGCTCTGCCCGCCGCGCTGTTTAAACACAAACAACACAGCTGCGTTACCATCGCTGTTTCTTCCGCAAAATACAGACTCTAGACAGCGACGACGCCTGGACGATAACCGATCAAGTAATAGTAAATAAACGCATAAGAATCTCTAAGAAACGGTAAATTCGTAATATGTAAATCAATAACTTCTGATCAAATCAATATCAATAAATTAAGAGTAAATCAATGTGTCAACCAATAAATCAATATCCAACCACACGCTAAATATCTGTAAGATATGGACTGATCAACCGCCCACAGCGCTATAAATTAATCTCTCTCTCAATAAAAAATATCTACATCAGCATTTCAATTAATGCAAAGTGGTGAAAAGCAAAACGGACGAATCGCCGATTAAGCGGTACCGGTCCGGTCCATCAAATACATATAAATGGGTTAAAAATTAATAACAAAATGGTTGAAAATGATATTTGCGGTAGGCAGATGCCGTAGTTAATTTACCTGGCAGAAGTGGAGCGAAGCGAGCAAGGCGGCGCTGGCGACGTGGGGGCTCTTGTCGACGATGGCCTGCTTCATGTAGCGCTCGACGGACTGCAGCATGGACTGGTCGACGATCATGCACAGCGCGCGGATGGCCGCGGCGCGGTACGCCTCCTCCTTGCCCGTCATGTCCTTCATCAGACTACTGGTCACGATGATCACGTCCTCCGCCACCTAATCAATCGATCGATTAATTATTTCCGCAATGGAAATTAATCAGAATTACGCTTAATGCAAACTAGTGACACTCTAATAGTGCAGCTGATGATTTGACAGTAAAATCAATACCATAAAATACAAGCGACAGCGCCAGCTGAGAGTAAAATCCATGAAAAAAATCAAAACTAAATAATAATGGCGACCAAAAATTCCAGAAATGCGAATAAAAAACTTCAAGCATAAAATCCTAAAATTAAGAATTCAGCTAGAAACAATACCATACATGAAAATGGGGAAGGGTGTTCTATTATGAAGACAAACAAGTTGGTAAGCAATCACCAACAGCCAGCTAGCGTTAGCACTAGCAGCGTGCACAGCGAGTATTCGGCTGCACGAACAACTCAACCAAGTACTTCCATCTTGAATATTACAGCAAAAACAGCCATCTCCCAAGGTTTTAGAATTTACCTACGGATTTAACCAGCTCAAAACCACGACATACCTTGCAGAGTTCCTTGATGCAGAGGAAGACGAGTCTTCGCAAAGGAACATCGCTGGACTGGAAGAGTTTGGTGATGGCGAAGAAGAAGTTGGTGGCCTCGCGCGTGCTGAGCGTCTCGCCCTGGTTGAGCATGTACAGGATCTTGGTCAGCACCAGACTGCACTTGCGCACGTTCACCGGCGTCTCGTTGAAGATGCGCGCCTCCTGCAGCACCGTGCTGCGCTCCACCGTCAGCAGACTGCGCAGTTCAAACGGGTTCTCCCCAGTCAAACGGCAGTTTTTCCCGTTCTCCGTCAAATCACAGTGTGATGGCGCCCACGCCATTGGCATACCGCCGTTCGCATTCATCGCAACGAAAGGCTTAAACAAAAACCAGGAGAACAATCTTCTACAACCGATAACGCCGTCGCCATGCGATCGCTGGTAACGATGATACAAGTCAAAATGCAGATTTACACTGGCCATCCAAAATTCAAAATTAATGACGTCGACTGAAAAGAGGCTGCAAGACTGCAGCGGGAGAGAACTTTGCTTTGATTAAGCGCTGCGCAGGGACCTGCCGCCTCGGGGCGGTTTGTCTAGCACTGGCAACCGCATCGGCCGGGCGACATGCAGACATTCCACATTTTATTACCATCACCGTAATTTCTGATTTAAAAAAGACTTGCAGTAAAAGAAAGATTTGTTTACAGTATTTTTCACGGTTTTCAAATTCTCATGCTGTTTACGTTAAACACTACTTATATTTTAGCAAGAACTACGACGTTCTGAACATCTCGATTCTCAACTTGTGCTGTTTTACACGACACGGTCTTGATTCGTGTGTGAAGTACAGAAGTGTAGACTGCTGTTATTTGCAGCTAATAAGTCTTCTGTGCGGACTTGCTGATTTTGATTTGGCCCACTTGTTACGAGAGACTGTGGTGTGGATTGTCATTGGGGCGTATTGGGGCTTTGGTGATTCTGGAAGCCAGCAAATGAGCGACAAACATTGGAAAGCGGAAAGCAGCCGCTCTGTGGAAATGAGCAGAAGCGCGCGGGCTACGAACAGCGAAAACAGGAGCAGCTCTCTGGCAGCGACAGCCACCGCGTTGGCCGGCATGATTCCCGTGTCGGAGACGGTTTCTGGTCAGTTTGGATGGGCCAGTCGTAATTTTATTTATTGCAGTACTCGTATTATTGCTGCACATAGCTATAAGTCTGCTTCGGAATATGAGGCTCGTTGATAAACGAAATGAAGCCTAATAAATTGTATCTGTATAGTATAGCGTGTCGTTGGATGTTGCAGGCGCCCTGGACAGTGTGCGCGCCCACATGGACGACGCGGGCAACGTGATCGTGCGGACGGGACGCCAGCTGCTGGATCCCGACGCGGAGGAGGGGGATGAGGAGGGCCCGCTGTCGCTGGTGGACCGCGCGCTGCACAGCCTGGCCACGGCCAGTCGCGCGCAGCAGATCACGGCTGGCGGCGCCACGGGGTGGTAGGCCACGCGACAGACACACGCCGTGTAACTGCTGGTTGAATAACTGTTCAATCTGGCCTGTTCGTTGCAGGCTGTCCGGGTACCTCTTCAACAAATTCGGCCGACCGGTGATTTACATCATGGGCAGCAGTCTTATCGTCGTCCTCGTAAGTGACTGTCACTCAGTGCTGATTTAATAAGAACAGAATGCAGAAACTGTTAAAACCAGCGATATACGCAATACAGGAATGTTCCACGGTCAGATTTTTTTTGCAAACCGACTTCAAATTCGTGCTCAGCGCATCGAATAACTCTTAAGAAACGAGATGTAGGCCATTTCACCACGTAGTTATTGAGGTCCAACAAATCCAAAATGCCGGTGAATAGCCAAGATGAGTAGGGAAAACAGTATTTTGTATTGCGTTGAATGTTTGTGACGTGTGTGTGTAGTTCGCGGAGCATCTGGGCTACCTGACGGTGGACTGGAGCAAGTTCCGGCGCGACTACCACGCCGGCCGGCGCAACGTGGAGCAGCGCATCCGCGGTCTGGCGCAGATGGACGCGCAGCAGGCGGCGCGCCGCGGCGGCCGGCCCTGGCTGGAGAAGGTACTTATTTCAGCTGTTGAACGTGTCGAGTGCATTAGCGTAACCGTGTGCTGGGCGCAGATCAAGGTGCTGGCACGGACCAGTCCCTACCTCAGCGGCGGATTCATCGGCGGCATCCTGCTGGGACTGGCCTCCTGACCGCTGACGCTCGGCGCGATACCAGTGTAATCTCTGATTAGTCCATGACTTGCGCTTGTGATCCGGCTGCTGCTTGGCCGCTCATTGCTGGACAGTTGATTGCTGGGCATCATTGCACACGTCTGCCTCTGCCATTTATTTTGCTGTGTCTTCGGATTATGATACTTTATCATTTTTGTGCTGACTGTTTACTGCGATAGTTCTATACTTCTGTTAAATTTTATTACTGTCCCGAATAAGGGAGGCAGAGAAATCTGGCAACAATAATGGCAAAATGTTGGCAGTGTTTGAAGAGGACTGATAGTGAGAATGAACAAATATATGAGAAAGACTAAGGAATACAGTAAATGTGGATTACACATTATCCATCTAGTCTTGCCGTGGCTGGCCCGAATAGGCTGTCCAGAGCGGCCATCGTCACCGGGCCGTGCTGCATCGCCGGCACCGGCCACTCCACATCCGGTTCCTCGACCTCGTATGACAACACCAAACGCCAGGCAGGATTGCTAGATTCCGTGCTGCAGGGCAACAACACTTTCAGCCACTACAATTCTGATTATTTTTCTTAATTGTTGTGATTTAATTTTATAATTTTGCCTACTTTTTTTGACTGGAAGCAATATAATAAGTGGAACGTTGAAAAACATGAGACCCACACTGCCAAAATCGTCTTCATCACGCCCCAGTAGCAACGGGCGTCCTTCAGCGGCAGTGAGCGCCAGTACTCCAGCATGACCTTTACGTTAGCGCTCATGTCGGACGACACCGCCGGCGCCAGGGCCACCTCCACGGCCTGCACGACCACGTCCAGGGTGGCGTCCCTATCCCGGCAGCTGTCCAGGCGGAGGTCGGCCAGCCGGACGTCCACCGAGCGGCGCGTCCCACCCCGAAAAGTATAAAGGTGCGATTCGCGCTGAGTCCCTCCGCGGCCGAACGAGCCGAAGACATCCTGCATGACGTAGTCGCGGAGAATCAACCGTCGACACAGCGCCAGCAGCGGTCCCAGGCGGTGCAGTGGACCGCACCACGCGATGCAGACGGGGTCTTTGGCGCCGATCCCCACCGCCTCCAAGGCACGGTTCATGCGCCAGCTGGAGCTGAGGTCGTGGTCGACGACGCAGTGCTGCAGGACGATGCGCGGCACCGACCCGCCGACGAGCAGCGGCAGTATGTAGCCTAGGACGGTAATGTCCGCGGTGGCGCGGTTAAAGGTCGCCCGCGCCAGCCCCGGCGTCCAGTGACGCAGCGTCAGCGTCTGCACGTCGCCGGTTAAGCAGCGGAAGAGCGCGCGGCCCAGGCGGAACATATCTTCGGCGAGACTGTCGCTGGCGGGGCGCAGCCGGAAGTCAAAGGTCACGTGCTGGCGCAGTGCCGGACGCGTGGTCAACAGCGCGTTCCATGCCGGACTGACCCTATACACCCACGGAAATGAATGTACGGGTGCGAGATACACGGCCGGGACTGTCCTTACTGTACCTTCTTAGTCGGGCCCGGGTCTGCATGTCGACATGCTCCAGGATGCCCTCGACCATATCCAGGGACATAACGGCAAAGCTGACACCGCACGGCATTGCGGAGGACGCAGAACTGGCGCTAAACGTGACCTCTGGCTGATCCAGAATCCCGGCATCAACGGAACCATGCCCGTCGAGTCCCCAAACGTTTCCCTGACCAGCGTGAACCCGATCCCACAGCGAACGCCCCGGTGAATCGTGAAAGGGCGCGACCAGCTGCATCCGGTGCACGAGATGCCGGGCGCCGTCAGCTGGCGTCTGCACGAGGGCGAACTGTACCTGCCCGAAGCAGCAGAAGGACAGGATGGAGGCCGGCTGCAGCGTAAGGGGATCGCGGCGGCGATCGGCGCGTAACGCCACCAGCACCGGGCCGGCGTGGGGCGGGTGGACGTGGGGGAACAACGCCTGCAGGGGGAAGCAGCGCGGGGCCAGGCGCTCGCACCGGAAGTCCACGCTGACCTCGGCGCCGAAGCCGGATGTCTGCCGCAGGAAGCCCAGACACCACTGCTCTTCCCGGCTGTCGGGATGTCGCACCAACACAATGGGGACGCGAGCCATTCCCGCACTAGCTGCAACTTCGTATTGCTAGTCCGGGCCGCTCTTTATCCTATATATACGAGTAGCGATTTGCGATGTCTCCCTTTATGGAACAATTACAAGATACCGCTGAATTATGTACTGACGCATTATTGACGCAATACCGTAATAGTTACTCTTTAGATGATTGTGTCTCTATTTACTTAGTTATTGACCAATATTAGGTACTTTTTAATATAATGATACTTAGTTTTTTCATATAATGTAATAATTTTTAGCAATATTTTTAATTGTTTAGCTTTTAATTGTGAAGATTTAACCTGCTTAGATCAAATTTGAACCGAGAACTGAAGCGAAGACGAGCAGTGTGCCTGAGCGTGCAATTGCTGTACGGTACTAACTTGTATTTTTTCAATTGACTCGTGAGTATTGTTTATTCTAATTTATTTGCCTTACATGAATTAAGAAGATAATTACTGGGTTTTAAAGTTTGAATTGAATGGCACTGGCTTGTACAAGTTGATAACAAAGCTGCTTCACTAGTAATTTTTACTCACCCGAAACGTGATGGGTGTAGCATTTACTGTGTACAGTGTACTGTATTGTTGATAGTTCTTTTACTTCTTTATTTATTTTGATTTGATAATTATCGCAGTGTTAAACTGGCATTACTGTACTGCTACAAAAATTTACGTTAATAACGTATGTTTGTACATTCACGGTCTCACAGTACCGTATTATAGTAATATCTATATAGATATAGATATTATTGTGCATTACATTATGTACATATGTATACGATACGAACACGGTGTATTTTACTTTCATATTAATTTGTAACTCTTATAATATTTCTGTTAACTTTACACTTCCTGTGTCACACTGTATCTATTCTATATTAACTTTATCAGTGCGATGTAAAAGCGCTGGTGATGGTGGGAAAACTTGAAAACGTGGCCTGTGCGAGTTACATAAATAATAACATTGCGATAATAAAATTAATTATTATTAATTATGTACTCAAAGTACTGTATGTATCTATACTATATTAGTATTACAGAAGGAAATTACGAATCATGTTTGTTTCTGTAGCGGATAGCGGATCATAATGGGCATTAATAATGGCCATAAAGTAGTAGTTTGGTACTCGTACTTATTTTGATTTTATTATCGCAATGTTGACTGTTGTACATAAATTTACCTGCACTTTGCGAGTTTTAATTCTTATTTTTGCAGCTTCGAGTGCAGACTACAGATACAGTGTACATTAGTGTTGTGCTACTAAATAAAATTAAATAACGGCCATTTACTTAGTAAAAGTCCGCCTAATATTAAAAGTCTAGCAAATAGTAAGGTTTTGGAAACAAAATAAGTAAAAGTAAGTAAATGTGCTGCCGGAATAGTAAAAAGTAAGTAAATATTAAGGTTTAGCGTTGACTAAATAAAAATCAATTACTAAATTATTTACTAATTCGTTTTATCTAGTGTTGTGCTACTAAATAAAATTAAATAACGGCCATTTACTTAGTAAAAGTCCGCCTAATATTAAAAGTCTAGCAAATAGTAAGGTTTTGGAAACAAAATAAGTAAAAGTAAGTAAATGTGCTGCCGGAATAGTAAAAAGTAAGTAAATATTAAGGTTTAGCGTTGACTAAATAAAAATCAATTACTAAATTATTTACTAATTCGTTTTATCAAGCGTTATGTAAAATTGGCGTGTTAGCCGCCGCCTCTCGCAGGTAAAGTGAGTGTGCGCAGTAGTTGGCTGACAGCCTACCGCCCTAAAAAGCAGCAGTATTTACTTTTCAGTATGCGCCTGCATGGCTGTATAGCTCTATTAATGCATAAGAAAATTTTCTGCGCCATTTTCAGTACTTTTCAGCGCTTTGAAACTAACGCAATTCGACACTTTCAGTCCTAATTACATTTATTTAGTAAATTTACTTTAATTTAGTAAGTAAATGTCCTTGGAAAAATTGAAATAGTAAGTAAAAGTAAGTAAAAGTCCCGAGAAATTTTAAATAGTAAGTAAAAATAAGTAAACTTCCAAAAGCAGATAGTAAAAATAAGTATATTGGCAAGGACTTTTACTACCCAACACTAGTTTTATCAAGCGTTATGTAAAATTGGCGTGTTAGCCGCCGCCTCTCGCAGGTAAAGTGAGTGTGCGCAGTAGTTGGCTGACAGCCTACCGCCCTAAAAAGCAGCAGTATTTACTTTTCAGTATGCGCCTGCATGGCTGTATAGCTCTATTAATGCATAAGAAAATTTTCTGCGCCATTTTCAGTACTTTTCAGCGCTTTGAAACTAACGCAATTCGACACTTTCAGTCCTAATTACATTTATTTAGTAAATTTACTTTAATTTAGTAAGTAAATGTCCTTGGAAAAATTGAAATAGTAAGTAAAAGTAAGTAAAAGTCCCGAGAAATTTTAAATAGTAAGTAAAAATAAGTAAACTTCCAAAAGCAGATAGTAAAAATAAGTATATTGGCAAGGACTTTTACTACCCAACACTAGTGTACATGTAGTGCGTAATTCTTTAAAATCCGCATTTACGTACCCTACATTTCTTGTTGAAATCTCCCCGTGGAAATCGGAAATGGTTGATAAACAACAAGAATCAAAATCTCCAAACATTTTTGGTCAATATTCTTTACTGCAGGTGTGAAAAACGTTGATTGTATCGTGGTACTTACGATTAGGTACTACAAAAGTACGTTATACAACAGCACGGTATTTCTTAATGATCTTTATAAGCCTTTCTGCGCTTAAAGAACTGCTCTGCAGTTTGTTTCAGCGCTGACAAGTAACTCTAGCAATTAAAAACTGTTATTTACTAGCCGAAAAATATAAAAAAAATGTAAATGCCAAACATTGTGGAAGCAAAAATTAAATCTTGTAACAATGTAACCGTAAGTTATAAATTTTGCAGGTTTTAATAGATTCCAGTGCTCAGTAGGTTATTATGCAGATGCACCGTTTTAGGCTTGAACGCCCCGCACAGAACGGAACTGTTCTCCCGGTCGGATCGAGATTACGCCGTGTTCTGCCGATGAAAAAGCCCATAGCAATAAAGCACTGCAAACCGATCGGCCCAGCCAAAGTGCGCCAATCACAGCGCTTCGTGCAAGCTGCAGGCTCCGCCCCGCGCAGCGTCTGTTTTGTTAGATTTTCGTACGGACTACGTAACACAAGCGCGAGAGAGAGAGACAGTGAGAGAGATAGCAGTGTAACGAGCAGAGTCATGTTTTCAAGCCAAACTGTGCTGTGCTAAATGGGACTGTGTGTTAAGTGAATGGCCAACGAGAAACCAAGGAGCTGTTGTGAAGCAGTGTCAGGGAATTTTGGGTGGATGATTCTGTGGGTGTTTTGATGATGCGTTGGTCTGAATTATCACGGTAGATTGTCGCGACATCTTGCTGCGGTGTGATGGCGTCGTTCGAGGCCAGCGCGGACCGCCGTAAACTGCACAACTACAAGTTAATGGCGGATCCGCTGATCCATCCTGGTGCCAAGCAGAAGGTGTACCGTGTGGACGGGCTCATCGACAAGAGCTGTCGTCACCAGCATCTCTATGTAGGGCGTTTAGCAGGGCAGTGAGAGTGAGGGTCTGAGCAGTGATTGAGCCGTCTCATTGCAGGAGGAGGCGCTGACGGTGTCGGACCCGCGGAAGCCCCCCAGCGCCAAGTTCTGGAGCACGCCGTTCGCGCAGACGGTCAAGCTGCAGCCCACGCACTTTGTGGTAAGTGGCAGTCCCTTCCCCTCGTCAGAAAACAGTGGGTAAGGGAGGGTTGACTGCAGATTGACGCCAACTACACGGGGAAGCCCCCCGACGTGCAGGTGCTCCTGGAGAACCTCAACGACAACTTACGCGAGGAGTTCCTGCGCGAGATGCTGCAGAAGACGGCGGGCAAGGTGGTGACGTTGACCATTGGTTACCATCCTGTCAGTAGGAAGCACCTGGGCTTCGCCTACGTGGAGTTCGAGAGCGAGGAGGCCTGCGCTGCGTGCCTGCGCAACGTCAACGGAAAGTCCGTCATGGGCAAGGCCATCGCTGTTTCCAAGGACCCCATGGGTAAGGAAATTGGGGGAGTGAGAAATGAGCATGGTTTTTGATGGGCTGGGTTGTAGGGAGGAGGTACAAGGCGCTGCTGGAGGAGATCACCGCCGAGGCGGAGAAGCCCAAGGCGCCCCCCGCCCCGCCCCCCGCCGTCCCCCCGCCGCCGCCCCCGGCGCGCCCCGAGCCGCCCAAGGTGGAGCCCCCGCCGCCCCCACCCCCCAGCGTGCGCACTCCCCTGGGGCACACGCCCCTGGGGGCGCTGGGGGACGGGACGCCCTTCCGCTCGCCGGGGGCCTTCTCCCTGGCGTCGGCCTCGTCCTCGCGGCGCAGTGTGCCGTCGCTGGAGGAGCGCAGTGCGGCGTTCCACGCGCACCCCTTCGCCTCGCCCAAGGAGCACCTGCCCCTGCCCCCGGCCAGCACGCCGACGACGACGCAGCGACCCAGTCTGCAGGAGCGCATCCAGTCGCTGCTGAAGAGCGGCCGCGGGCCCTTCGACTCCATCGCCAGCAGTTTCGCCGACTCGGATGACGAGGCGGAGGAGAAGAAGCCCAAGACGGAGCCCGGTACGTGGTCATTTGCGCCGACTAAATGCAGAATTCAGTTTGTTTTTCACAGAAAGTAACGAGGCCCCCGTGAGCGAGGGGACCAAGCGGTCGCGGTGGGACCAGATCCCTAAATCAGCGGTGAACAGTCTGAGCCACATCCCGCTGCCGCCGCCCGGCATCGTCATCATCAACACGCCGCGCGGCGTCGGCCCGTTCCCCGCGCCGGCCCTGGACCCCAAGAGCAACCTCCTGTCCAACCTCTTCCTCCACACCGGCCTCTACAATATGCAGTCGGCCCCCGAGGACCTGCGCGGCTTCTACGAGAACTTCTTCCGCCCCATGATCAACCCCTACACGGTGCGCGAGGACAGTCGGCACCGCCTCAAGCACGATCTGCGCAGCGTGCTGGGCCGCGACGTCAAGAAGCGCGTGGTGGACTCGGTGGTGTTCAAGGCGGTGGACACGTGGCACGAGAAGAGCCACCGCGAGTACAACGAGAAGGTGGGAGAGTGGTTTGGTCTACCTACCGAACGTACATGCTGTAATTTAATTGAAATTTAGATGTCGATTCGCGCCGTGCCGACGCTGCCCACGCAGGCGCCCCACGTCATCGACATCACCAACACCGTCGACCAGATTCTCAAGGGCGAGACCATGTTCGCCGCGCACATGCGCGGCGGTGCGGGCGGATTCGGGCTGGGATTCCGCAACGCCATCCCCAAAATGCCCTCCTTCCGGCGAATCGTACGTGGAAAAATTCGACACACACTTGAATATTTATCGTATATTTTTCTGATATATTTTGTAATTGATTGTGGTGATTATTTTGCGGCGTTTGGTAGAAACCCCCGACGGTGACGGCTGACCAGGAGAACGAGCGGGAAGTGGCGGAGGCCAGTGAGAAGGCGCCGGCGGTGGAGACGGCCAAGGCGGAGGGCAGCGGCAGTGCGGAGGAGATGGCCACCGCGTCCAAGAAGCGCTCCAAGGCGGGTAAGGAGAAGTCGCGGAAGAAGGCCAAACGGGGCGAGGCCGAGGCGAGCCAGGAGAAGGTGAAGGAGGAGGCGGAGGTGTCGCCCCTGGCCGAGGAGACGCCCGCGGTGAAAACGGAGAAAGCCGATGTGATTGTCAAGAAGGAGATGGTGTCGCTGTTGTAAGTTCTCCTCGGAAAAACCAGCTCTTAATTCTGATTTTTAAATAAATAAGAATCGACGCCATAGCCAAAATAATAGTGCGTAATTTAATGTTCGATAAAATAAAAAATAATGGTCCACGAAAATAATTTGATGTTAGGTTATGATGATGGATAAATACAGGAGTAATAATCGATGTAGTATTAGTAGTAATATTCAGCGGAAATTGAATAACAATTTTTGAATAGGAAACCGCCGTTAGCGGAAGCCGCTGCTGCCTCGGCGGAGCGGGCGGCCTCCCTGCCCGACATCAAGAGCTTTGCTCAGCCGGCGGCGCCCAGCAGCGCGCCCGCCGTGCACCGCAGTATTTCGCTGGCGGAACCGGCCGTCGTCAAGACGGAGCCGGCGCCCCTGGAGGACATGGACACCGCGGACATCAGCCCCATCGACCTGCTGATCCGCGCGTCGGAGCTGATGAAGATGAAGGAGGAGAGCAGCAAGGGCAAGGGCCTCGGCGTCCTCACCGAGCACGAGCAGAAGCCGGCCTCCACCGCCGCCGCCATGAAGGCGCCCCTGGAGCCGCCCAAGGAGAAGACCAAGCCCAAGCAGCCGCCCTGGCGCAAGATCCGCTTCCCGCCGCGCTCCGCGGAGCAGGAGGCGGCCATCCTGTACTCGGCGGTGGACGTGGGCATCGACCACGAGGACCTGAGCTACCTCAAGTTCGTCAGCGACGAACTGCTGTCCAACGAGCACGGCCCGGCCTGGATCAACGTCTTCCACTGGGTGGACCATCCGCCCACCCTCCCGCCGGGCGGCGCCGCGCCCCCACCCGACGTCACCGAGGGCGGGTGCGCGCGCTGCACCCCGTACAAGCGGGTGACGCGGCGCATCCTGCATTCGCGGAAGAACGCCACGGTGGACACGACGGCGTCGCTGGACAAGATCGAGCGGCTGTCGGCGCCCAACGCGGGCGGCCACGGCAAGTACAAGGTGGTGGGCGACGGCACGACGGGCGACATGGACACGCGGAAGGCCGTGGCCATTGAGATCCAGGAGAAGAGCAAGGGGAAGGGCGTGTCGGCGCGGCAGGCGCGGCTGAACAAGCGGCGCGTCATGTCGGATCTGGACTACACGTGCGCCGAGTGGGGCGTCGATCTGAGCGACATTGGCAAGTTCTACTCGCTGAAGGTGGGTTTGTTGATTATTCCTCGGTGCATCGTGCGTTAAATAAAGTTGCGATTGATCATTTAGCACGCGTCGAAGCGCGTCAAGTTCGGCCGGTCGCGCATCCACAACTGGGGATTGTTCGCGCAGGAGCCCATCGCGCCGGACGAGATGGTGATCGAGTACATTGGCGAGAAGATCCGCGCCAACATCGCCGATCTCCGGGAGAAGCAGTACGAGCGGATGGGCATCGGCAGTTCCTACTTGTTCCGCGTGGACGACTACTCCGTCATCGACGCCACCAAGGCCGGCAACTACGCGCGCTTCATGAACCACTGCTGCACGGTGAGTGATCTAACAGCGCCCCCGCCCGCGGGAGTCGATCGTAACGTCTGTCTTACCTTGCAGCCCAACTCGTACGCCAAGGTGATCAGCGTGGACGGGCAGAAGAAGATTGTCATCTTCAGCAAGCAGCAGATCAACACCGGCGAGGAGATCACCTACGACTACAAATTCCCGCTGGAGGACAACAAGATCCCCTGCCTCTGCGGCTCCCCCGGCTGCCGCAAGTTCCTCAACTGAGACGGGACGATTACACGTGCATTGCGCCGGAACACGGGAGCGGAGCGGTGTCTGTGATGCGGGTGGTGGTGCTGCAGTGCTAGTAGGTGTCTGTTTCTCTGTGTTGTCGCGCGTCCTCGTCGGTGTTGTGTTGCCGTGACCCGCCTTGCAATTCGATTAGGCCTTGTTAGCCCCTTCTTTCTTTCTGTGCTATATTCTCTTCTCTTCATCCACTGTTATCTATTTTCTGTTTCGTGTTTATCCCGCAGTTCTATTCGGCCTTATTTATCCCGTACGTAGTTTATGCAGAGCTCTATAGATTGACAGACAGACAGACAGCGCGTGCTCTTGGCTGTGCTGTGCGTCTGTTCTCCTCTGATCCTGTCTGTAATCAGCCAGAAAAGTATTTGCTACTCACTCAGATTCAGTCCCTTCTTGCGTGTATTTTTCCTTATAATATATAGAAGTATACATTAAATCGGCAATAAACGCTGCAGTTTTGTTGCACTATTGCGTATTGCTGGTTTTTGGTAGCAACGGGTTGTTGGGAAGGGTGCCGCTGCGACCAGCGACAGTGTACAGATAGGTACCCCGCAGCAACGCATTCGTCTTCGACGCCTTATACACGTTTTCAAAGAGTATCTCCATGCTTGAGTAATTAATACTCCAACTAATCAGGCAGCTGTACATGTTGTGTATTTTGCATTTTGTTGGGTTTCTTATGTTCACACTGTAGTCGATAAATACAGGGCATGCAGAGAAAATACTCATTGTCAGGCTTCGCATTTTGGTCGACATCGCGGCAACAGTTGCTAGTGCCAAGCGCAGAATGTACTCTGTAGATGGTTAATTAAGACAATCAAGTAGAAGCCGCTCCTTGATTCGCCACAATCCCACAGAAATCGTACAAAAATGCAGTGAACAACGATAAATTACAATTACACAGAAAAACTGTTGTATGGAAAGGAGTGCTTACACTGGCGTTGTGCGTCTGTTGTTTCTTTAGTGGGTGTTACTGGTCGGCACTGGTTTGATACCATTGTAAGACATGAACGCCACTGTGCCGCGGGGAAGTGTAGTTGTGTGGCTGCAGGTCACAAAGCGCATATGTTGCGCGCCGTTGCGTAAACATTCATTGCGAGCAATAAGCGATGATTCGCGCTGAAAACACGCGTAATTTTTATTTCGCCGACGGAAATTAACCTGCTTGTGGCAGTTGGCACGCTGTACTTGACGACAGGAGCAGTCGTGATATTTGATTTTTGACCGATGAATTTGGGGAGTGCCAAGGTGTCACCTAGCCCGGAAACTACGTGCATTTGGTCGATGTCCGATCTGCGATTGGTCAGTCACCGTTGATTAGCGCGTTTCCCAGGTGTTTCTCTTCGCGCCAGCCGCTTTCTTGTTGATAAGGGATACGTATTACATACATAAATACGAGGGGATGACAACTGCTTACCTAGATAATCTCTGTACTTGCTGCCGTCAGCCGGCTGGTGTTTTACGTTGTGGTTGAACAGGCCCTTATGTACCGCGCAGTATTTAAAATTACATGTTAAGCTTGCACAGGTACGTGTACACACAGTAATTACCTGTTGAATCTACGATATTTATTGCACTTATTGCAGTCGACAATTAATAAGTTTCCTTTGGTACGAGTGTGCAAATCTTCTGTTTATCGACGGAAACCTTTGTGATCAACAGATTTATTTAGAAAGTTCTAATTTTAGTTGTCCTAGTTTTATCCCGTATCTGACATTACCCAAGCATTTCTGTGATAGTTATGAGATTTCGCAGTTTTATCACAATGGGTCCAAAGATTGAATCATACATCGTGAAGCGCGTGCACGAGCTTAAACGGTTTGGAAAACGTCATTACGATATCGGACTGGAATTTGGCCATTCTGTAAACTGGGTACACAACGTACTGCATGATTATCTTCCTGATGGCAGCCGAAAATCTGGGAACAAACCTAGAAAGCCTCCGAAGCGAAAAACCATACCAGCTCAGGATCGTAAGATCATCAGTCTCGTAACCCAAAATCGCACAATTACCCACTCCGACGTCCTGAAGATTTTGCAGCAAGGAGCTGAACCAGTTCTTGTAGGGAAGCGAACAATAGGCCGACGAATCCGTGAGGCAGGATTTCACAAAACTAGCTGTGTCCAGGATGAGCTCTCCCAGAAAGCAAAAGATAAACGCATCGACTTTTGTCACCATCACCGTGTCGCCGTCCGGAAAAATCCCAAACACTTTCATTTTTGGCTGTTCTCAGACGAATCAACATTTCGACTTGTAGGGAATAAAGTTCAGGTACAAAAAAATAGTATTCTAATAATTTATCGAAATCGTTATTTTTAACAGTAGATTTTCAAACTACATACAAACATCATCTGCAGATTTGGCGTCGTAAGGGAGAATCGAAATACCAGGATAACCTGCAAGTTCCAGTAGCGAATAACCGAATGATTGGTATCATGGTTTGGGGGTGCATATCTCGTGTGGGCCCGATGAGCCTGGTCGAGATTCCAGGCAAAATGAACTCAAAAACCTACGTGGAGATGTTGCAAAAAGAACTGCTGCCAGTGCTGGATCAAATCGGGCGAGACACGATTTTCATGCAAGATGGTGCTCCGCCACATACAGCTGCGACAACCAAAGCTTTTTTGGAAAAGGAAAAAATTCGCGTTCCAACCTGGCCGCCAAAGTCTCCTGATCTAAATCCGATAGAGCATATCTGGGACATCATGAAAACATACATCAATAAGCGGTATTCCCCGCGAAACAAGGATGAACTGCGTGCACACATTAAAGAGGCATGGAATTACGTTACTAATAACATAAATTTCGAAAAATTGTATGATTGTTTACCAGGGCGCCTCGAGGCTGTGATAAAAAACCACGGTGCCAGAATTAGCACAAAGCGGAATTTTTTTAGCAACCGGTGATGAAATTTAATAAAGGTATTATTTAAATATAGATATTTATGAACGTTAATCCATAACAGTATGGAAAATGGATAATAATTATGAAATGAGATGAATAGTACGTGTGCATACGTTCAGCAGATAATACATGTGCTCATTGTGCTGTACCTGTGGCTAACATACACTTTTAATTACTGCGCGGTACATAAGGGCCTGTTTAACCACAACGTAAAACACCAGCCGGCTGACGGCAGCAAGTACAGAGATTATCTAGGTAAGCAGTTGTCATCCCCTCGTATATCCATCTGCTGCGCATCTTTTGTGGATCATAATGCAGTGTGGCACTGGCCGGTGACGGGTCCCGGCAGTCGAGGTAGTACAACGCAGGGAAGTACAACGCAGTTCGGTAGCGTTGATTAATTGTTGTAAATACGGTTGGTATAATGAGCGCCGCGATGAGCATCAGCAGCACGGGCCTGCACGCGATGGGCTACATCAGTGAGTCGTGGGTGCCGTGTCGGTCACTGCCGGGCGACTACTGGCCCAGTCGCAAGTGGCACGCCTTCCTCATCACCAGCGTGGCGACGCCCTTCCTGCTGGCCATCCCCGTGCTGCTGTGGATGGCGGGGGAGTACTGGCTGCGGCGGAAGCGGGAGGCCGCCGACCGGCAGCTGGTGCAGGACATCTACTACGGCGGCGATGAGCCCGAGGACGGACAGGAGCCGGCGCCGGTCAACAGCGCCTCCGTCGTGGCTCCGCGCGACACTTCGGCGTCCGGGTGGAAATACTCCGTGTTCAGCTCGCGGCTGCAGTACTACGCCTCGCGACTGGTCTCCGACCAGATGCTGCCCGGACAGATGCTGGTGAGCGCCTGCCCGGTTAGGGGAACTAGTAGCGGTGATAATTCAGAGGTTGGTTGCAGAAAGTGCTGGGCCTGGTGTGCGCCATGGGCTCGCTCTTCATCTATTTTCACGACAGCGCCACGTAAGTATGACTCGACAGGTGTTCATAGTGCCGACGTCGATTGAAAGCGGTGTGATTAAGGGCCTGTCTGGACGTGGAGATGTGCCACCTGTTCCGGCTGGACGTGGCCTGGCAGGTGGACCTGGCCTTCAACTGCTACCTCCTGCTCTACTACATCCTGCGGGTATGTATGAGGTCACTCCTCGCAGCAAGTAGGGCTGCAGCAGCCGTTAAGTGTGCGTTAAATGATGCACGCGGGACCGTTGTATGTTATGACAGTTCTGCGCGCACCACCGGAAGTTGTGGTTCATCTTCCACCCGGTCAACCTGGCCGACTACTTCACCATCCCGCCCATCTTCGTCGCCATCGGCCTCAGCCGCAACTGGTACGGTAAGTGCATGTGCCTTCCGACGTAGATATCACTTACTGTAGATAACTTATATATTTTCTCTAACTGTAGTCTGTAGATAATTCTCTGTATAACTATACAGAGTACAATGTAGGACTAAATGGTCGCATAGCCCCATACCCAGCATTCTGTACGCAAGCGGTGCAGTGCACTTGTACGAAACGGATATTTTGAACTCAGGCCTTGTCCCGAATTCAAAGCGAATCTCGCTTTGGTACGGTTGCTCAACCGCACGAGGTGGCTGTACGCAGTGGCCACGCCTACAGATACGGTACGCGAAGCCACCTCGCGAGGTGGAGTTGCTGTATCGCAACGAGATTCGCTTTGAATTCGGGACGAGGCCTCAGTCGTACAGTGCACTGCGCTGCATTCTTACTGAATGTGGAGATGTTGGGTATGCGACCATTTTGTCCTAAGCTGTATATAGAATATCTATAGAGTATATATACATACTGACTACTGAGTATATTTTACATGTACAGAGAATTGTCTATAGAATATACAGTATATATACAGAGAATAGCTATATCTAATTAATTTTACTTACACAGTGTGTATGTACCTAATTATTGTGCAAGTAACTAGGGTAGTAAGTAGATTAACGTAGTGTAATGGGCACTGCATTATTAGGTCTGCGGTACCTGCGCATCGTGGACCTGGTGTGGCTGGTGGAGCTGCTGCGGCGCATGAACGTCATCCGCACGGTGGTGGAGATGCAGCTGGCGCGGCTGGTCTCCTACGTCCTCATGGCCGTCGTCATCGGCGCCGGGTCCTTTCTCCTGGTGCGCTATTCCTGCACCGTCTATGCGGCTTTCAGTCTGTAATCCCGTGGGTATGTGTAATGCAGCTGGAGTGCGCCGGCGACCCGTGGGACGTGGAGAACACGATGGTGGCCAACCTGACCTACTGGAACATGGCCTACTTCTCGGTGGTGACCATCTCCACCGTCGGCTACGGCGATCTCGGCTGCAAGACGCTGCTGGGCCGTCTCTTCACCTCCCTCTACATCTTCGCCTGCTTGGTCAGTCAGCGGTACTCTCGCTTCTAGATGTGACTGCACAGTTGCCAGACAGTGAGTGTATCTGTATCGTAATCTGTACCATAATGGTCTAAATGCAGTTCTTCATCGCCTCCTTCATCGCCTCGGCGGCCAGCCTCGTGCCGGGACCGCGCAAGTATCCGCGTTTCGACAACGTCCGCTACGTCCAGTACGTCGTATCGCTTGTGTATATCATATATATACTGTATGTATATGATAATCATGTATATGTGATCTACCGTTAACTGAACGCCGGCCGCAAGTTAAGCTGGCCGGTCAGCGGCGATGCTGATTCTGATGATTGACGATGTTGACCGTGATTGCAGTCACGTGCTGCTGTGCGGGCACATCACGGTGGACTCGGTGCGGCGCTTCCTCAACGGCTTCTACGACGGCCGCATCCCCAACGCGGTGGACGCCACCTTCGTCCTCATCGTACACCAGTACGTGTCACTGTCCGGATAGTTCGTAATGGTAGTCCGGGCAGTGGCACAGCAGCCGATAATATTATCCTGTGTGGAATGACCGTTTCCGGTGGCGTTGCAGGGACGAGCCGGAGGGCGACATGCTGCTGCTGCTGCACGACTACCAGTCCACCGTCGAGTACATCCAGGGCAGCCCGCTGGAGGACGCCGTGCTCGACGCGGCGCAGGCCAAGTCAGTGAATGAATCAGTCACTGAATCTAATCAGTCTTCTGCTGGGACTGCAGTATACTAGTTGGCCTGTAATAGGCATTAATACGTAAGTACATACTGATTGTATTTATACGAACTGCTTAGGACGGCCAGCGCGTGCCTGGTGGTGAGCAACTTCATGACGGGCGACACGGAGCAGCAGGACAGCCGCAACATCCTGCTGGTGGCGGCCCTCAAGGGCTACTGCCGCCACCTCCGCGTCCACGTCCAGGTCTCCAAGCCCACCGTCGCGGTAACTAAACCAGTCTTCACCGACTGCCTAACGTTGGCTTCTTCGGAGGAAGGGATCCTGTTAGTATCAATCAATCACTTCCGGTCCGTTGCAGAGCTTCCTCCGGCGCCACTACCACATGGACGGCGACCGCGGCGACATGGTCAGCAGCGTCGGCGTGGTGCAGACCGGGCTGGTCGGCATGAGTGGAGGTCAGTCCGTCCGCGTGCAGTCTGCCTTGATGTATGTATAATGACCGTGTCGGCAGTGGTGCCGGGCTTCGTGCCCTTCTGCCTGAACCTGCTCAGTCCCCGCCCCCTGGACGCCGTCTCCGCCGCCATGGTGCCGGCGCTGTACCGCCACGGCTGCCAGATGCGCCTCGACTCGGCGCCCTTCAGTCCCGCCTTCCACGGCCTGACCTTCGCCGAGGCCGCCCAGTCAGTATAAGCGCCTCCACCTTTGACCTTACCGCGCTTAATGACAGCCTTCCTTGTCTCGCCGGCAGGATCTGCTACGACAAGCTGCACGTCCTCCTCCTGGCCGTCTTCTCGGCGCGCCACAAATTCGAGGTGCACTCGCTGATCCCCAATCCGCGCGGCACCTACACCATCGGCGAGGACACCTGGGCGCAGGCCATCGTGCCCTCGCCGCGCCACGCCCAAGCGTAAGCAGACTTTGCAGCAGTTTTACCACGTAGTTACAGAGATGAAAAACAACCGGTTAAGAGCCGCGTTTTCCATAACTTTTTTCGGTGAAATTTTTTTTGCAAACCGTCTAAATTTATGCTCAGCGCATCGAAAAACCCTTAAAAAGCAGACTTCGGAGCAGTTTTACCACGTAGTTACTGAGACAAAAAACCAACCGGTGAAAAGCCGAGATTTCCGTAACTTTTCTCGGTGAAATGTTTTTTATGTCCATCGTCAATCTACCGCATTATGCCGGTGTGGAAACCGTTGTTTGACAGGATCGGCAAGTTCTGCAGCAAATGCCACTGGGACGTCAACAATCCGCTGCTGGTCACCGACTGCCACTGCTACGCCGACACGGCGGCCGGCCACAGCAGCCGCGACAGCGGTACGTCGCCATCCATGCCGTACGTGACTGCTCAACGTTGGTTTGTCTGTGTCGCGCAGGGCACGGACTGGGCCGCGCGCTGAGCAAGAAGGCGCTGAAGAAGGTCAACCCGGCGCTGCTGGTCAACAAGCAGCGCGACGTGGCGCTCTTCGAGAAGGAACTGCCCTTCCTGGAGCGCGAGGCCGACGCGCAGGCCCACAGCGGCGGCGACACGCTGCGCCGGCGCTCGCCCGGCCTCGGCCTGGACAGTGCGGTGGGCGGGGCGCCCGTCCTGGACTCCACCGGCTATTTCCACTGGTAATGAGTGGTCAACAACGCTTTCAGTCGCTGCTTGACCGGTTCTTGTCGTACAGGTGCCCGCCCCGGGAGTTTGACGACTGCGTGATGGTAAGAAGCAGCGAGACGTGTAAGAAATATTCGGGCAATGTGTTAGTGTTACAGACGCCGGCGACGCTGAGCCGCTCCAAAGTGGCGTTGACCGACCACATCATTTTAATCCTGACGGAGTCGGCCGACAGCAGTGTGCTGCAGGTCAGCAACATCCTGCTGCCGCTGCGCAAGAGCTTCATCCCGGTCGACAGCCTCAAGGAGGTCATTGTCGTGTGCCGGGACGAGGCGAAGCTACGCGCCGAGTGGCTCTCCTTGAGCACTATCCCGCGCGTCCGCCCCGTCGTCGTAAGCGGCTGATTTCCTCCATCGCCCGTTTATTGTGCCACACTGCCACTATATAAGTGCATTGCAGGGTGACCCCATCAAGCCGGCGGTGCTGCGCGCCTGTTGCATCCAGGAGTGCGACTACGTCATCATCTTGTCGTGCGGGGAGCGCAGGTGCGCCGACGAGCACCTCATGGACCAGGGCGCTGTCATCATGGTGACAAGGCGTTTCTCCAACGTGTCGCTGTGTGTTACAATGGTCTGTGTCGTTGGCAGACGGCCCACATCCGCTCCATGGAGTTCGTCGGCCCGGAGAGCGGCGTTACATCGCGGAAGATGTCCGGCAGTCAGGCGGACTACCGGCGCTCCTCCAAGTACGTCAGCGGCCGCGAGGTGCCGGTGCTGACGATGCTGGGCAGCGACAAGAGCGCGCGCTTCCTGTCCTCGGTGGCCGGCAGCGTCGACTACCGCTGCACCGTGCCGTACCTGACCGGCTCCCTCCTGCCCGTCAACGATCTCCAGGACATGCTCGTCACCGTCTGTCTACCTGCTTTTTCCTTCGTTTTAGTTGTTTGTATGACGCTGTGTGTGTTGGACAGGGCTACCGCAATCCCTCGCTGCTCAGGCTCTTCACCGACCTCATCTTCGGCGGCGAATCGCAGGGCATGGTCAACGTCATCGCCGAGGGCGTCGGCCTGATGCCGCCCGACTCCTGGACCGCGGAGGAGACGATGTTGACAACCGCCCGCTTGACGGTCAGTTGGTGATATTCGCCGGAAGTGTTTAACCTTTCCGGTTAAAAAATTGTGTGTTGGCAGGCGTCCTGGCGGAGAAGGAGCTGCAGCTGACGGTGCGCCTGCGCACTATCGCCATGTCCTCGCGGCCCTTCCGCGGCTTCATCGTAAGTTTGAATTGTGGGCTGATTAAGGGGAGTGTGTTATGTATGGCGTTGTAGAACGCGTCCTTCGCGGAACTGTGGAGCCACTGCAACGCGCAGCTGGGCGTGCTGTGCGTGGCGCTGTGGCGGCGGTCGCACTTCGAGGCGGAGCTGTGGGGCCGGCACAACCGCTTCGTGGCCAGCTTCCCGCCCATGGAGACGCCGCTGCAGGAGGACGACCTCGTCTACTGCCTCCTGCCCGCCACCTACACCTGATTCGTCCCTATCATGATCCATGACCGGCGGATGAATCCCTTCATCCTGTGCTCATCTATATTACAGCCAATAACTCAAGTTGTAACTTGTAGCCAATATAACTTATCGATAAAAGGCTGGATGAAGCGTGTTATGTGCTGAAATAATGTACTCCGTGATTTGGCGTTTAACCAGTGTTCATTTAAATAACTCAATAAAGTGACCTTTACATATCCAGTATAATAATAATGGTAGTGACTAGTGAATAACGGGCCTGGTAAGCGCGCTGTAGTTTCTTTCTGTCGGTGTTTTCTCGTGTATTGTTTGAGAAAGACGGCACGTACTATGTTTACAATGTGCAAGACAGACACGCGAAAGCGCTAACATCACGGCAAACAAAAACGGCGTAACGGAGACATACGAAATGTAGCCAAGCCGGCACATACGGAGGAATATTGCCGGCACATACGGAGGACAGTAGATTTGTTTGCTCGCTTAGGAGAAATACAACCAAGGGACTTGAAACTGGGTGAGTTGTTCAGTAAGTACTTACACTGTGCATAATGTACAGGTCACAATACATCATAGACATGTCGCGCGCTTTTAGAGCAGCCCAATAGTACTTGTACATAATCATAATTTACAATAATTATTATATTATGTAGTGTAGGTATTCACTGTTCGCTGCACAGCGAGTGCGCTAGGCGTTCTTGTAACCGTTCAAATTTTCACGTACGTCATGACAATTATATTTCGCAGTTCCCAACAACGGATCTTTTAAGGTACGTACATGAGTATTATTACTATTTTCAGAACCGACTTAGTATAGCACATACAAGTTCGCTGATAATAAAAACTTTCATGATTAACCGTTTTACGTAATCACGTTGTCGTCGCTTCCATCTCACTTTGGGACATACATTTGCCAGTTTTTAAAAATACACTGTAGGTATAAAAAAAAGCCAAGTCTTAACACTCCTAAAACATTTTACAGGTTGTAGAACAATGGGCTGAGGAATACTTGTATGCGCCGTTGCAGAATCGCGTGTACTTATTTGCCATCAGCAGGGGTCAGGACGTGTGATTTCTGTACTTATGGGTAATTTGGTGATGTCGTGTGCACCGTGAAAATGGTGGCTACCAAAAGCAATCAGTTGTGAAATACAGACCTGGTACTACGAGGTAGAAAATCTAAACACAATGACACAATTTCAGAATATCTATATAATATAGTCTACGGTATACCGTATAGTCACTCTTGCTTTCGCCCTTTCACGCACGCCCAAACGCTTTTCTGCATTGATTGATGACATCACGCAGGCGAATGATGCAGACAGCAGAACCGCGCGAGTCTTTGCATTCTGATTCTGTAAATAAATTATGCGAAAATAACAGGCATGTATTTTACAAATTTCAAGCTTTGTTGACTAACAAACTTGTTCCAAAGCATCGCTCAAGCTGTGTACGTATCGCCTATCACAAGTTCAGTTAATCTGTGGCGAGTATCTGGAGTATACATAATTATGTATATGTACTATGTTGCTGTAGGTCAGCATGGAAGGCCCGGCAAGTCTGCCTCCATTTAGACGCCTGTTGCGGGGGGTCAACGGGTTCAGTCATCAGAATACGGTTGCAGTGCGCAGCCTGGACGGGATTTGGTGGTTAGGTTATTTACAGGTAAGTGTATTCTGTATACCGCGCGAGTTTTCGAGAGGAACGCAATTTAAAATTGACAAGGGATAAAGAGTACCTAAACAATTTGTAGTTAATGATATCTGTTATGTCATAGCAATCAGTAGAACATAAAATATAATTAAATAATTTAAAGAAGTTCCTTAAACGAAAGCAGCCATCATCTTCAGCCATAGCAATCTGTAAATGCTGCAAAGGTCACCTTTGATCACGAAAGTATATCGCTTGCCGGTGACCTACTATTGCTGGAGTGTATTGATCGTGAGTTGTATAAGGCCGCTTGTATTCTGGATCATGATGAGGCAAGGTGTTTTGAAAGATCGTTTTTTCAGTGTGTCATTTGTGCTACGTCAGCTGGCAGACTTCCGGCGTCACAGACCGCACTTCTTCAACCTTTATTGAAGTGGTGGACCGCTGTCAGATAGTGGAACAGCTGCCCTTGGAGGAAATGGCCTTTCAAGAGAAAAGCCACCTTTTGACGTACAGGAAGTTCATTATCCCTGTTCTGCAAACGGAGCCGGTTCTGCAGGAAGCCGCCGATGTATACCGCCTGATCACATTGTTTCGTCGAAGCTATCACCATGATCACTGCATTTACACAACGTCGCTGTCGGACGGTTGTCGCTTTCACCTGACCGTTGGATCGGACTCTTGCACTCTCATGGTCATAACTCATAGTACGGACACCATCACGGAGCACGAAAGAACGAGACTTGCTTTGCATGCAGTCCTGGATGAACATTTCCAGAGCCGGCATCAGGGACCACCTTTAAGACACCCTCACTGCCCCGACAACGGAGAACTTGTTTGTTTGTTTGTACGTCGCCGGTCTAGCAGCTCTTCCGCTGCTAGACCGGCGACGTACAAACGCTAACGCTGCGCCACTGGACGCCGGGGCTGGCGCGGGCGACCTTTAACCGCGCCACCGCGGACCTCGAGGTCCTGGCCTACGTGCTGCCGCTGCTCGTCGGCGGGCCGGTGCCGCGCATCGTCCTGCAGCACTGCGTCGTCGAGGACGACCTCAGCTCCAGATGGCGCATGAATCGCGCCTTGGACGCGGTGGGGATCGGCGCCGAGGACCCCGTCTGCTTTTCGTGGTGTGGTCCCCTGCACCGCCTGGGACCGCTGCTGGTCCGGTGCCGCCGACTTATCCTCCGCGACTACGTCATGCAGGATATCTTCGGCTCGTTCGGCCGCGGAGAGAGTCCGCGGCAGTCGCACCTGTATACGGGGCGGGGTGTTTGGCGCCGCCCAATGGACGTCCGGCTGGCCGACCTCCGCCTGGACAGCAGGGAAGCCACTCTGGGCGTGGTCATGCAGGCCGTGGAGGTGGACGCTTATTCACTAATTAATGTACCACATGCTGCAGTAATGAATACTAACAACAATAACTGTTGACATTTGAGAACAGATCAGTGTCGAGTTAAGAGAAAATGTAATAAAGAGTAATTACGCATTATCCATCTACTGTAGTCTTCCCGTGGCTCGGCCGAATAGGCTATCCAGAGCGGCGGTCGTCACTGGGCTGTGCCGCATCGCCGACACGGGCCACTCCACATCCGGTTAGTCAATCTCGTAGGGCAACGCCAGATGCCCGGCAGGATTGCGGGAGTCGGTGCTGCCGTGCCACCGTCGTCATCACAGCCACAACAACTTTAATTAGTCTCTTTTAACTGCTGTGATTTATTTTTTCTTGTATCAGTGAGCCGATTGTGCAAATGAACAATTATCAAGTTGCTTTCTAAAAAATCATTAGACTTACACCGCCGGAATCCTCTTCATCGCCGCCCGGTAGCGCCGGGCGTCCTCCGGTGGCAGCGCGAGCGCTAGTATTCCAGCATGACCTTTACGTTTAGTGCACATGTCGGTCGACACCGCCGGTGTCACGACTCTGTTGAATTCCAGCTGAAAATTACAGTAATGATTCGAAGCAACACACCGGGGAACCTCGCTCTCACACGAATTCTTACGTCAGCGTCTGTCGATCGAAATACAACGTCGAGGCAACGCGGCTTCCGTGCTGGGGACGATGGAAGGAGCGGATGAATTAGAAGAAATTTTGTTATTGTAATAATTATTCTGTTTTTGTTGCCAATTCATGTATTAATCTAACTGGCTTGTGCTATTAAAGTAAAAATACGGAGGAGAGATGGAAAGTAAAGGACACTAAATGTTAAGCCTCCCCTTGCCTGCTCAGTGGCCGATTCGATTCTCTGTCAGCCTCCCTTTTAATTGTAAGTAGTAAAGATGCTGTATCGCAAAAGACGGTTTTATAACAGCTGGACCCAGAGTACAGTTTAGTTTGGTTACTGTAGTTTAGTTTATTCATTGAGTAGACAAACCCACTTTCGAGTCTGGTAACAGAAGACCTTCTGAATTGTTTTGCCAAATTTATTCCTAATCAATCCACGCGCGTATACGTACGTACTGTAAGGTTTCCGTAGGAAACGTTCCGCAGGAGTTTGTTTAATAAGGGATAAATTGGTTGCCAGTTGCCAGCGCAAATGGTAAAGTTATCGTAGATTTGCGATGGAGTTATCATGATGTGCTGTTCACACAGCTATATTATTCTAAACAGTACGAAATATACACTCTCCTATATATAAAGGTGTGTTGCTTTGGTGCATGTAGGTCAGCATGGAACCTGCCAGAAATCTGCCTCCGTTTCGACGGCTATTGCGGTGCGCTGATGGATTCAGCTATCAGAATACGGCTGCTGTGTGGAACCAGGCCGGCGCTTGGTGGCTGGGATATGTGCAGGTTAGGCTACAAGCATTTACGCAGGCACAAAATAGTGTGTCCACAGTCGTTGAATCTGCAGGTCTAAGTAACTACTTGGTGCAGAAGAACCCATAAACATTTTTACCGGCAAAAATACTTGCTGTTGGAAGTCCGCTAGCAGGTACTCGTGCGTATACATATCGTATTTCACGAAACAAATAACAGAAAAAATAAATTGTTAGATCTTCTAGGGCAGCGTTTGGTGAAAGGCAGTCCATATAAGTACTTTATCCAGTGTTAACACGAAACTACTTTGTATTATCTGGAATGTCAACTTTCGCGCGTGGCGCGAAGTTCACGATCTTTGTAACTGCGCAAAATTGCTGGAAATTTCAATTTGAAGAAGTGTGCTGCTTTACATTGTAGTTAATAACTTAATTCTAGAGAAAGTTCAAGAGCAAATGCGAAGATAATTAATTACCATCAAGCCCAAAATTCATAGAAATTGTTGTGTTCAAAGCCGACGCACATTTCTAATGTGAAATTCGCTGG